TGTTCACGTCTTACGTGACCCAACGTAACCTGACTCGCGACCGATGTCTGGGCCTTATGAACTTCAGCTCATTGATAAACTCACCTCAGCGAGTTCCATAAGAGTTAAGACCTTTTGTGTGTAACTCTGGAAAAGTACATTTTTTTTCGAATAAATAATCTATGCGTAAAATGAATATATTACACAACGTAATTGAATCATATATAGCTATTACGTGCACAAAACTTTCCGTTGAACCTGTATAATGTTTTGCTTTTCTAACAGTTTATATTTATAATGGTTGATGAATGAATCAATCAATTGATTACAGTAAACTGTAAATTCAAAAGAATTTCGATAATTTTATCTTGATAAATGAGCCAGATTTACGTATGATTATATGATCCAATAGATTCATTTATTTCATGATAAATGAAATTTCATCTATCTAACTAATAATAATTCATATGTATTTATATAAATTATGATCAGTATGGTAAAGCCAACAAATGGACTACTTAAAATACTCAGCAGTTAATAAAACTTTAATTAATTAATTACTTATCAACAGCTAATCAGCATTTTTAAAAATTATTGAATGGACTGATTTAATTTACCACTTCAACTTCATTTACATAGATTAATGCTAGCATACCGCATGAATTTTTTAAATTTATTTAAATAACAAATTTTCCAATGATTATCAAACATAATCGAAGCTTTCAATCTGACATTTCAATAGATTATTTAGCTGGTAAAAATAATTATATTTTGCAGCGAAAAAGCTAAACTGATTTACTAGTCTCACTGAGGTCTGAAGTAAACTAGATATCTTATTGATAAAAAATACTAGGACATTTCAATCGAACAATTTGCATGAAATAAGTGTTTATAAAGACCGGATCACAGGATCGACGGGTGACAGAGCGAGAGAGAGGAAATGAGAGAATCGGTAGGCGATACAGGAGCCCCAGGGAGGTCGTCGGACGTTCGGTGGGACTTGGTACCCGAAGAGGTCCGTAGAGGAGCAACGAAGAGCATCGAAAAGAAAGAGATAAGTGATGTGCAGGCTAAGGTAAGAGACAAGGGTCTGTGAGAAGAGGTAGAGTGAGAGAGGAGTGCGGTGTGGTAGTATGGTGCGAGGAGGGAGGGCAGCGAGTTGGTATCGCGGATGGCGATGGCGATGGCAGAGTCAATGTCCTAACGCTCGCACTGGGTCACGGCGAGCTGCGGCCAACGACCCAACGGCTCCTCTTTGCTCAGAGAACTCTCTTGGGCTCGTCGCTTGTATACTGGATGCTCGCGAGAACTCCGGGCCTGGTCGCGAGGAGCCCTAAGGCTTCAGTTCCACACTGGCCCATCCAATCACAAGTAAATCCTCAGACTCTACTTATGCCAAATGCAATCTCTTCAAGCACCAAAGTTGACTTCATTAACTTCCTTGTGTAACGTATTTTGTTCTCAACAAGTTACATCGATTTATTTACGAATGAATTTATGAGACATTGATGATAGATTTGTAATTCATTGATAGCATCTGTCACAATGAATTCATTTGAATTGTTAAGATCAATAGATTTTTTGAAAATTCAATCTCATTTTCCACCAGTTATGTCAACAGAGTACATTTGGAAATTGTTTTTATCCTAATTTTTATCATATATTTCAACATAAATCTATGGAAAATGTTGGCGGATTATAAATGCTATTCATAATAAAGTATGATTTACATTAAAATTGAAACTCTATTCCTTGGTATAAAACACAATGGTAAGAGGGTTATAAGCGTCTGGTTTCGTCCAAGTCTTTTTAGCGGACCCAGAAGAAAGAAAAAATATTCAAAGTCAAAAAAAAACAAAGATTGTTCGATTTGGGATAGCAATACGCGGAAGAAGTTTAAAATGAGAGGTCGGTGAGCTGGACAATAAGAAGAAGAAAATTAAACAAAAGAAATTGGCCCTGACTCCCTTACACGAGAGACCAAAATTATACCACATAGAACCGTTACATTCTTAGCTCCACGTCTTTTAAAGAATTATTATCCATCAATAGTCGTCCTATTTTGCTTCTCTTTCACTTCCTCAATTTTAAGAGCCACGAAAACCCACTTCCTAATTATCTTCATGATGTTTACAATGTTTCAAGTCCTCAGAATTAGATCCTGGTGAACCAGTTTGATGTTTTCTTCGTATTTTCTTCATATCCTATTAAGTGTTGTAGAAGGAGCTGTTAATTATCCACATCTAGATTTGTAGTGATAAAGTTTAGTTGCATAACATGTAAATATGAAATAAAATGACGCAGTGTATATCAAAAAAAGTCATAGGTAACAAAAAAAATAATAAAAAAGAGTTACGAGACGAAATATTGGATGCACTGGACGATGCAACGCGCCTTTGACTTTCACTTCCTTTCCCCCTTAGTCGCATAGACTCTACTTTTCCTTTCAGGCCCTTGACTGGTACCCCCGACCATGCCCATGTCGAAGCGCCATCAAACTCGACTCTAGATGCACATGCACGTCATCGTCAGTTAATTCTTTCCCTCACCAGTTCTTCATCTATGTCAAGTATGGGGTCTACTTATGCATTTAAATAACACACAAGTTAAATAATGAGTGTGACGAGAGCAAGAAAAGGTATAATCAAGGAGGAAGCTTGGAAGAAAGAGAAAAGAATGCAAGAAGAAATGTTGATGGATAAAGAAATATGTGAAGAGATAAGAGAGTGGAAAGGTGAGTTGTCTTCCTTTTCGTTTGGATTGTATGTATAATCCAAGAAACGAGTGTGTTACATTAAATTCCGTGGGTGTGTTTATTTATTAGAGGATAAACTCATGGAGTTCTGAATGTGTGAGATGCGCGTGGACATCGTTCAGGAGCTGGCCGAGAGCCAACAGCAGTAACAGCAGCAGCCAGGAAAGATGTTGGAAAGAGTAGAGGTTTGAGGAGAAAAGGAGGAGAGATGATGCAGTTGTGCGTTTGCAAGGAAGGCGGAAGGAGGAATCGCAGAGGAAACCGGTCCCGGTCACTGGGCCACCAGCCGGCCGTCGAACTCGCCACGCTGTCCCCTGCCTCTCTCCTCATCCAATCCGTCGTCATCTTTTTCTTCTCTTCCTACTCTTGCATCTTCTTGTCATCCTCCTCCTACTCGATTTCTTCCTTTTACTTAATCTCTTCCTTCACTTCTTCTTCGCGTTCTTATGCGACCTCCACGCCGAGAACTTATTTCGAATTCATCTGAATGGTATCACGTCCCTACAGGGGGGTTAAATAATGTGAGAGATACCACACAGACGAGGGAAACTGCGGAGTCAGGGGACGACCATTCTTGAGACTTAAGGAAGTGACCTCGTGGAAAACGATACGCGAGGGCGGCTTACCAACCAACGCGGATAGCAGAGAATGGCGATGATAATGTTGTGGTACTGGCAGTATTCTGGCTTGGTGGTGGTGTGGCGAAGGGGGCGGTGAATAGATTCTGGGCGCGTGAACTTTGCCGCGAGAATTTCCGCGCGGATGTTGTTGTCACGCCGCGGATCGCAGCGTTGCCGGATTATTATTAGGAAAATCCTAGAGAAAATATGTTATTGTGAGAGAACTTCATCCCATAAACTATTTTCAATTCATTTCCTCCCAGGCCAGCTATTTTACATGCGTCTATTAAATCACTTTTATAATTATTTATATCTACTTTTATAAAAATAAATTATATACACAAATGTAGAATTAGCTGGTAGATAGTTTTTTAAATTAACATAATCATGATAAATTATTATTTCTAAACTTAAGAGAGAAGATGTTAGATAAATGGCTAAATTTTAAGTAGAATTTATTAGATATTATCATCTCTATCAATTTATCATCTTGTGTGTAGCCAATAGGGTTTCGAGAATGCGGAAACCAACAGGAGTAGCGTGATTAACGAATCCTGATCTTCCTGAAACTGATAAAATGTGATCGTCTTAAGAAGAAGCTGTTTTATCAGCTTTCATGAAAAAAAGTTTACCTGTGGTAAATTAGAAATCCACCTGAGTTACCTGCAGTGAAAGCAGATTTGCTTGAAAACTCATGGAAGAAATCTACTCTTACTGTAACCGAATAAATAGTGAGTTTACTTCCTGATGATATATAAGAATTTATTCTGATTGATTGATCATCGACAAATAACTTATCAATGCACAGATTCAGGAAATAAAGGTAAATATGAATGCACAGTAATATTGACATTTCCTAAATGACATTCTCAACTGTACGTACTTAAAATATTTTTTATCTTCTTTGTACAGTAGTTTTAAATCAAACTATTAGAATTTTTTTTAGAAAAATAACCAAACACATAAAACGATGAACAACTCATAAAGTTGATGCTTACTCATAATTTATCTATATTACCCAATCTCAAATAAATATTTAGCAATAATTAGAAAAGATTGCAAAAGTTAAATAAAATCACAGTATTTTAGACAATTTTCTCATAATTTTAGATTTTCATCAATAAAGTGTTAGTGGTTAAAAATTTATTACACTTTTAAATCATAACTGTATAGATTTATTATATGCATACTTAATAAGAAAGAGGTTCTCAAAAATTATCATAAACTTTCAGGAACGAAAATATTGTATAAAAATTGAATTTCGAATATTAAGAATCATTGAAAGAAGCTGTAACTTAATGGTCCACTTTCTTAAAAATGAATCGTCAATTGATGTTTGTTGATAGTTTTGTTTATGTGATTAAAATCCGAATTTCAATTTCAATAGTTTGTAATACAAGAATGTTTTTGGTCTCATATTTGAAAAATGAATTTTTAAAGTCTTTGTATCACTGGAAAATTAAAATGTGTATGATAAATGAGCAGTGTCAGCTAATGAAGTCTGAAAAACAATTACTACATATACGATCAATAACCTGACATGACTATGCTTATTCTTGGACACAATTTAGCAAATGAATTGACTTTTAATTTATAAAAAAATTGATTGACAATCAAAATATATTGGTATAACAATGAATAATATCTAGATTGTAACCATAATTTTTTTTATTAATCACGCAGTACAATATAAAATAAAATTTCAAAAATAAATAATTGACGTGTTATTAATAGCTTGTGCACTACGCTTGACTAATCTACATTGCTTATTTAAGATTTTTATGACATAAATATATATTACATTTTGATTTGATGGTTTTATTATACAAATTAAAATTAAAAAAAAAATTAATTATTTATCTGTACAATTATCCGACCAATAACAATAAATAAGAAATAGTCTCGAGTTTTTTTTTTAAAAAAGTTATCAATCTTCGAAGATTGTCATTGTCGATAAATTTTAAACATTTATCGATGATTGTCATGAAATCATTTGGCTTGTCTTTGGACGAGTTTCAAACTGTCACAACCGCCATTTAATCAGATACTTCCATGTAGTCAGAATTTCAAACTCATCTTAATAAATTCAGAGTGTTATATTATTTTAATAGTTCGATGAGCTACTTGAACTACTTGATGATGAACCGGATGACGACGATGATGAAACTGGTGCACTATAAGAATTAGAATTACTGCTACTAGGAGCATAATAACTGTATGCAAGACTTTGTCCATCAGCTCCATTAGTTGGTGTCCAAACTCTAGAATATGGTCCATTTCCATCCCAAGTATTTGGTGGTTCATAACCGGAAGTCGTTGATGGAAGAGGTGGTGCACCATAAGTACCAGCCGGAGTTGCAGGCTCCATTGACATTCCTAAAAAATATAATTTTTCGTTATCTATTTAATTTAGAAAGCCAACTATTCTGTTACTAAAGTCCTTTACATTTTAGAAAAATACTCAATAATTCATTTTAAAATAAGTGAATTATTTATTGGTAGCTGAAATTATATAAGTTCTTACCCATCGGTGGAGTCATTCCTCCTTTTTTAAGAAATTGGAATGCAATGAATCCAACAACAACCAAGATAGCAATTTTGGATAAAATCAAAGCTTTCATAGCTTTCAATCCAATAATAGCAACGAAAATTGGCATCAAAGCTTTCAGTTTCAGTTTCAAAAGTAAAAGGAATGGTAACAAAAGTTTCTTTTTCAGTATTCCTCTGGCTTGACTTGTAGCAACTTCATTATTTTTAAATTCAATATCTAAATCAGCCAAACTGCGACTAGGGCGGTATTTCAAATTAGCATCAACAAATGGCAAATCCACCTTGTATTCGAAACTCTTCAAATATTTGACAGTTCTCACTAATAAGGCTTCATCAATAGACTCCAAAGATCTAGCTTCTGTACTGGTACCTAATTTTCCATCCAAATATCCTAATACTTCTTGCTTTAGACATGATGACCATGAATCTGCTCCGATACACTCATTAAGAGATTTCGTGAGGAAATCCGGGCTCGAAGCTGAGACACTTGCTAAGAGGATCGTAAAGCCAATCACGAATAACGAACGCATCTTTTAAACTCGATATCAACCGTAATCGACTTTATGTGATTGTTTATTTATTAGAAACTGGTAATTAAATTAATTAAATTGACGTCGATCGTGTCTCCGAACAGGTTACACACAATCGGCGATCGAACTGCGACTGGCAGAGGAGTGGCCCGTCCCTTATATTTAATTTGAAGCGTTCTATCTATGTTATTCGGTCGCACATGATTCGCATTGATGATCAAAAGAAAATTATTTAAATTTTACTCGCATAGAGGCGACGAGAATGTCCATCATTTGGCGCGGCAAAACGCGTTGAGAGCAATAAACGCACGCCATATTGTATACGTCTCGGCATGTGCCACCGGGAAACGGAACTCGATCATGTTGGTATGTATCCGTTGCTTGTATGCTAACGAGAATCGTTAGAGAAAAAGTCAGAGTTGTCATCTTAGTGTCATTGTCATTAAGCTGTTCATGTTGTAGAACTATCATTAACATTATTTTTTTATCCAGCTTTGACTTTGAACTTTTAATATTCAGTTTAATTGGAAGAGAATTTAGGTTGACATATAATTAGGATAATGATTCTGGGTTACTAGAACCTTTTTCATTTCGAACCTCCGTTGACTTTTGGATGTTGCTGAAAGTTTTGCTATCAATGCAAAATTTAATTATATGTGAAATTGTTGTCAATTAACGTAAATATATGTATTATTGCATTTTTTTGTAAGGTGATATTTTAATCACTTGTTATTATTAATACATTTATTTGCTAACTACTTAAATTAGCAGTAATTTTCTAATAAAATTACATCTAAATATTTCTCTGCAATTCATTTCAACTCGAATCATGGTATAATTAACTTTCCTTAGTTTACTCATTGATCAAGTCTTTATGGCTTTTAAATGGTTAATTGATATGATTAAATTATAAAATATTAGTTTAGTATTGTCAATCTAGTCAGCATTGAGTTTCACTACAAATTGATAAACTATCACATTGAACAAGTTTTGAATTGATGTTTAAGTTTAACAAATGAAAAACTGATTTTGTTAAATTATACAAAAAATTATTTACACACGAATTCGTGCTCAAAGCATACATGAAAGAATTAATTTTTAAAACATAATCAAATTTTATTCCTCTTCCTGATAAATAATAGTTTGCAAAAGAACTATCTAAACATCAGCGTGAATAATGACAATCTTGTATAAAAATTTTATTTTAATAGACCTTGTACTTTTTATCTAATAATCTAATGATTCACGATAATTATATCAAAATAATGAGTAACTTCAAGTAGAACAAATAGATAAAAGAAAAGATTGTATTCATAGTAATGTCATCAAAACAATGCTTGCTGATTTTTTCGGGTAACCCAAAATTTAATATTCATTTAAATCTATCAATTAAATAAAAGAATACACATTAGTCAAATTATAATATATGCTCAGCTAAGTTTTTTAGTTACAATAGTTGAGCAAGTGTGTTTCCTGTAAGAAGTAGTCAAGTTAATTCAATAGCTAAATTTACGTCGCAGCAAGTAATCAATGCTGATGTTATCACACGCTTTCATAAGCATCAAATTGTCTTGTCTCATGGTATTACATAGTAATTTTATACACGCAGGCTGTTCACTAAAGGTAATAAAGAGGCGATCCATAACAAGCATATAGGCATTACATTAGAGTAGTTATCTGAAACTATATCTATTACAATCTATAAAAAAAGCTCATTATTTAATCAAGAAGACGTTATTTATTAATCACTGTTTCATTAATCGAAAGTTAGTTTTTACTCATTAAAATACAACTTTCTTTAAAAAGCTGACTCTAATGCTAATTTCATTTTAAACAGGTCAATTTTTATCAGCATTTAATCTAAAATATAAAAAAAGATTCTTTGTACCCTTTCCAGTGGACTTAACTTCTTATATACATTATACATATACCAAATATTTTATATATTAAAAAATGAAATAATTGATTGACACCTATGATGGATTATGGTCTTCAGAAAATGATATCATTAACAGTTATAATTCATCAACGTGAACATTCTAATGATAATTCTTATTATCAAGTTAATAAATAATAACTGTAATTGAATCTTATGATTAATTAGTTGAATGTATTTTTTTTTCAAAATGGATTATAATTATATATTTTTAACGTATGTAATTCAATTAGTTAATGCTAACACGTATGTCTCATGTAGCACGTGAATAAATAAATCAATACAATTAATTGGACTTTCAAGGTGCTAATAAAAATTTTCGTCTTATAATTATTTATTATTTAGCAAAATGGCATTTAATTGAATTGTTGTAACTTTAATGAGAAGCTTAAGATAATAAAAGTATTCAATGTCTCTTGAATAATGGAATTATTTGTTAAAAGTCTGTCATTTCTACTTTATCTTATAGTTATTGTTCAAAGCTTATTGTTAGTTCATGTGGATATTTTTTATTAGTAATGGTTGAAAGAAAAGCAGGTTTACATGATATGACCCAAGTATTATATTCTAAAACGAGTTTAGATATGCCAGCCAACCGTGAAAACCACATCACAATTGACTTTTTTAAAGATTAAATTCAAAAGATATTTAAAGTGATGGTCATAAAGTAGAAAAAGATAAGTAATTTTTAAAACATTAACATACCAGCAAAATATCATATTATATATTTTTGTAGATCCCCTACAAGATTATTAAAAAAAACCTGTAGTGTTTATAAAATGAATTTAATTCAGTGTGACATTAGATTTATTTCATAATTTCTTCATTCAAAATGATAAAAGCTAATAGTATATTTTTTTAACGAATATTATTTATTCTTATTTACATAAAAAATAGAATGAATGAAGTAAATAGCTTATTTTTTTATATTAGGTACTTATTTTCGCAAATATTATAAGCTAATTAGATTTACCAAAGCAAGTTATAATGAAAAAAGTAAAGCTAATAAATAAAAGACAAAATAAATGATTGAATTTAATCAATAATTTATTAAATAATACATAAATAAGTGAAAATTATTGTACAAAAGTATTATCCATAAAGATAAAAATCGGTGGTAATATAAATAGATTAAGCTACTGGAGCATAAGCAGAGTATGCAAGATTTTGAGCTGCAGCGACAGGCTCTTCTTGGAAGGATCGGTATTGTGCAGCTTGGTATTCCCATGGCCCATGGGCAGCGATTGGTGCAGAATGACTCTCAGCAGCAATTTTCTTACATAATTGGAAAATAGCTAACCCAACCGAAACTACAAAGCTGAAGAAGGATAGTTGGAGAGCATTCCATGCTTTGAGTCCAAGGACACCAATAGCCAGAGGGATGAGAGTCATCGCCTTCAGCAAAACGAACACGAGGATTGGGATGATGACCTTCTTTAACTTGGATTTACGGGCTTCTTCAACTGCACGACCTTGACCGAACTTGACATCGAAAGAGATTCGATCATCCTCAATGTTTCTCGCACTCACTTTTACTGCTGATTCTAACGGAAGTTTGAATGTTACATCGTGGGAGATAAGGTAGTTTTGAACGGTATCAAGTAAAGATCCTTCGCTACGGGCTGATGATTCTTCTACTGGTTGAGAATTACGTGTCACCTCAACTGAGTCTGAAACCTGAAAACAAAATATTCATTATTTTTTAAATTAGTCTCAATAAAAGTTAGAAATGTTCATATTTAGTAAAAGATAAATTCAAACAAGTTACGTCAAAGTATCGATATTGAAACTATCAATTACCTTAAAGTTATCTTTGCGGAAGATTTGATCCAATAAGTTAAGAGCCTTGAACTTCATGCAAGCCATTTCGTCATTGTTCTGTGCACACTCAGATTTGGTTTGCTCTACCATAGCATCAATGCTGGTACTTTTCCACCCTTCAAGCTTAGCAGGCTGAGCAGCAGCCAAAACTAAAAGAGCTGAACACACTATTAAGAACTTCATAGTTGATAAAATATCCAAAGAGTTTTGAATGATAAGTCTAGCTATCGTGTTTCGTTGCTGAAGGCGACGATAATTGACGACGGTAGTTTTACAACTGATGATTGTTGATCGGTCAAGTGTCTATTTATACGAGACTATGCTCTTTATTGCAATACCCTCACAACTTTTAACCCCTACCACTTTGTTGGTCGAATTTTCTTTTCATTCAGTATGGTCTTCGATTATCGAGGTCTTGGTGTGCATGACAAGACTCACTGATGAGAGAGGTCGACTAAATGAGTCGCGAGCTGTGTCTCGGGTGACACCCTATACGCACGAGACATCAAAATGCGCGAGACGAATTGATAACGACAAGAGAGAAACTATAATAGACGTTGGAATTTTTTTTATTGAACAACGGTACCCAATCAAATTATTCTAATTAATTATGATCTATTTTCAACGTATCATGTATTCACCTGATGAGACGATTTCTGAAAGCTCTTACTTTTATACAAATTTTTTTTTTCATTCCAAATGACAAGTTGATATTTATTAAATTGACACAAGAGTTAGAATAATTTCGAATAATCATAACACGTTTTAATCCTTTATTATAATAATTTGTATTTTTTAAGTGAACTAAAAATATACTTAGAAAAATAGATTCTACTTCATAGGATAAAATTTATCAAGTGTTTGATATACTCTTTGGTTTTACATTTAAAAAATATATTTTTTGTTTTTATTTCATGAGCATCAATAACATATTCATGAATAAGTTGCTCTTCATTCCTACATTTTCATTTTTATTTGTTTTGTAAGTCTAAATCGAGGTCATTGCCTTAAAAGAATTTAAAACATTTTTTTATTCACCTAAAAGAAAAAGTCTATTGACCATTCAATACTATTACTTCTTTATTGTTTACATGAATTTTATTGCTATAACAGAGATTATAACGTAATTGTTATTAACAAGATTTTTTAAATACTGCTGTTGTTAAAATAGCAATAGTTGAAGCATTGAATGCAAATTTTAATTTTGTTTAAATGAATAAACTGGAACCCATGATGTACATGTTGTTGAAACAGAATTTTAATCTAACACTCCATTGATTTAAATCCATAGCTGTTTTTACAGTTCGACACTTCCTTCATCACTGTACTTTCCTTATAAATCAATTGAATCCTCAGGGAAGAAGTCGTGTTGCCCTGATTTACCTTTCAAGACCAACATGGTTTTGTAGATGTGTGAATTAACTAATTCTATTAAAAAATCATTTTTTTCTCTATTGTAAAGCAATTAGTTCTATCACTATGTACAACTTTACATCAGCTAAAAAAGTTGTTCATTGAAGAGGTGCCAAATAAATACATTTATCCACAATGATAGTTATTTTCTTCTTAATGGTATGGATGATAGATAGGCAAATATTATTGTTGAATACAACCGATTGGATTGTATCTGTGAAAAGTATTTAGTAGTTGCTATTGACATCTTGACATTAAATTGTATTCAATGATAGATTCATTGCACGAATGTCACCGCTACTTTCAACAACGTCAATTCGAGTACACGGGAATCCGTTAATTCTCACTTCTGGGTTAATTTCACCCTTGGCAAACACTATTATCTCTTGAAAGATCTATTGAATATTTTTGCATTCATGTCTCGTTTGAACCTTTTGTTGTGAAAATATGCAAAATGTTAATTTATCAATTCATTTATATTTTTAATGGCTCGCATATCAATTCTATCTTTTTTAGACAAACCAAGTATTTCCTGTTATTTCTTTGAATGTTCGTGACTACGGTAATGAAGAAAATTAATTTTTAGGTCGACTTTTCATGTGTTTACTCAGAATTTGCACAAATTCAGGACAAATATATGCAAAAATTTCCTGTATTGTTTCTCTTGACATACTGAACGATATTTTTTCTTGTCCTTGACTCTGAAAATTACTTTTCTTGAATCTAGAGTTCTACAAAGCTTGGCATGAATATTGAATAATCGAAAGTTTTATAGTGAATTCTATACAAATTGTTTCTTTTTATCAAAAAAAAAAAACCTAAAAAATATTTTTTTATTATTCATAATGTAAAATTAAATTTAAGCATATTTATAATTGAAATACTAATCATGAGATAAATTTAATTAATTATTCAAAAATTAAGCAAATTAAAAAAAGAGTTATAATGACATGGTGTTGTAATTGAATGCAGGAGTTTTATATAAATAAAAGCATTTATTTTAGTATAAATAAATAATAAATAAAATACAAAATTTTGAAGTAGGTAAGCTAGATGTTTAGATTGAAACTTTGGTGATTTTATTTTCTGTAACCACTGTAAGGCCCATTAGGAGCAGAATCCCAATGAGGAGCTGCATGCTCTACTGGAGGGTGTCCATAATGAACAACTTCGTATGCAACTTTCGGTTTAGTAAGTTTGAAGATGAGCATGGCACCACTTAGAACTAATGACAAGAGCCCAAGTGTCAAAGCTTTCCATGTTTTGAGAGCAATTAGTGCCAAAGCGAGAGGAACCAATGCTGTTGCTTTGAATTTCAAACCCAGAAGGAAAGGAATCATGACTTTCTTCACGAAACCACGACCTTGAACAAATTGTTTTTAATTAATCAACAATTCTCACTAACTTTTAAATGGAAAATTAATTTCTTTTGTCATAGTATTTTTTCATTAATTGAAAGTAACAAATTTACCTTGTCCCTGTGCCGAGTCTGAAAGAGGAACACTGAGACGTTGGGGAACTGATTCAACAAAAGATCTTGGAACAATATTGGATCCAATTATGGCTTCAGGTAATTTAGCTTCTAATCGATGAGACAAAAGGTAAGCGTCCAGTTTCTCTAACATAAGAGATCGAAGAAGTTCTTTCCTCTTGGAATCGATTCCTTCATATGGCAAATAGTCTTCATTATCTTCTGGCATTTCTCTAGACTTAACGATCGTTAAATCATCAGTTATTGGCACTTTTTCGTATTTAACAACATCACTCAAGTATGCCAAGACTTTTGGCTTTACACAAGAAATCATTGATTCGCTATCTACACATCTGGAAATGAAATTATATATAATTAACTGGTGTTGAAAAAATATTCGTTAGTTTCCTTTTGAAGAATTTATCAATATTTTTCATTCCTTACTTGTAGTAAATTTTTTGAAGAACTTCTGCAGTCGTTCCAATTTCCTGGGCTCTTGAAACGACTGCTGAAACAGCGATCAATGTAATTATGAGGATCCTCATGATAGATATAATACTGTTGATCAAACGATTTGTCAGGTTAACCAACGAATGCTTCTTCGCCCCACAACGACTTGGTTTTATAGTCGTTGGAAGCTTCGTACGAAGTTTGAATTTTTATTAGCAAACGTGCCACTGACGTTGAAGAAAGAAGAAAGCACCTATATCTAGGGTGACAATGTTTGGTAGAACCTGAGTGCATATGATCCAATTCTTGAAAACACTTTTTGACATTGATTGTTTAGATTATGTATTAGAAGTGACCTCCATGTCAATAAAATTTATTGATAAGTTAAGTACAAATTTATTCTGTTTTTAGCCAATTACTTTCCACTGAAAAAGGCAATTCAGAATATTATGTGAAAATTAAAATAAAAACGTAGGTAGACTTTTACTTTCGTTTGAAATTTTCACTAAACTCTAACGGTACTTGAACTTTCATTTAGTCTTCTTTTTAACCTGAATTCATCAGGACCTATGGGAAGGTACCATGAATTGGTTGTTGAATAATTGATTCTTTCAAAATATTCGCCATGATTGATGTTGATTGACATTCAATCAGATTCATTGATCGTTCAACGATTTGAATATTTATAAAATTTATTCGTAGTTTCAAAATAGTAAAAATCAAAACTTTCAGAAATAATACCACTTTATTTCCAATTTTTTTTATCATTAATTAATTAATATAAAATACTAACAAACTTAATCAATCAACTGTTGTTTTAAAATTTTTCTTTATTTTTTTCTGTTTAAAAGGGTATCAAATTAAATTATTGAAACAATCTCAATGTAATTAAATATTTTGAACATTTTAAATTATACTTTTAGAAAAAAAAACTATGAAACATCTGAAAAAAAATAACCTTCAAGGATTACTACACTTAATTCTATATTTTTTTTCTCTATTTATTTGGGAGTTTTAAAAATAAGGTATGAATAATTTAAGCAAGTAATTTTAATTGATTCCTTTATTTATAATAACAACAATATTCACCATCTTTATTCCACCACTTGGGTTACAAGCATTATTAAATTTGTTGGTTTTACAAGAAAATTTTCATCATTTTTGGGAATGGCACCCGTAAAAATTTCAAATATACATCATTTCATTAAATAAAATATTAAATATTTAAATAAATTATATTAAAAAGATTTTAGTATATTTTATAAATAATGAAAGTCAGCATTACTTTCAATTAAAGAGGTAAATAAGCTTATTTTTTTCTAATTTTTTACAAGAATAGCATTTAATTATCTACTAATTTATTTTATTTTACATAAAAAATACCCTTTGAATTACTTCTCTAACTGATCAACAATCTTGTTACTCAAGGGCTACAATGTTAAGTTGAAATTACTGAGTGCATCATGAAGTTAAAAATTATTAATATATTATCACTATAAACATTTGGACTATTTATGAATTATCACAACATCAACAGAGCCACAATTGAGTAACAAAAGTCTTTCAAACTGAAAGTAACATTTTTACTGTTATGATCATTATTATCATATAAATTTATAAATAATTAATAATTAACATTTTAATTTATAAATTGAAAAATTTCTTAAATTAACTGTTGATTATTTTGATGACTGCATAGAATAAAAAATTGTCTACTCCGTATTTGTCTGACATGGATAACTTTGTTGACAGTTGCCTCCATCCTGCCCTAGTCTAGCAGCATTGAAGTACCGATAGAATCGCTGACTTGAGGCACTCCCGGTTACTTTACGCTTCAATTCTTGTACATCTCTGAAAAGTATGAAGTAAAGTTCTCATTATTTTACTAGCTAAAAAATAGCAGAAAACATATTGTCGTTACTTTGAGTTATACACAATAAAGAGGTGACTCATTTGCCGATATATAATGTAATATAATTTTAACTTAACAGTTTATTTAAATACTTTTTGAAATAAGTTATTCTCATCTTTCTTTCTTGGCACGTGTATTTAATTTGTCATGAAATAAAAAATTAATCTTCTGAAAACAGTTAAATATAATACTTATTGTTCATTTCAATAATTTTTTTTCAGTTATAAGAAAAATAATTCATCAACAATTATCGACTAGATCATTTCCTCAATAAAAGAGGATATGCTTTTTAAGATATCCTTTTTTTCTCCGTATAAGCAATGGAATGACAAAAACAAGAACGGAAGGCGTTCAAACGCACCGGCATGTTGACCCGATTGGCACGATTCAGAACGCTCGACCAGTGGCCACCTTTCTCCTTCCGATTCAGAATGATTATTACCGTCAAGTTTACCAAAGTATAGTTTAATGCACACACTCATATACGCATTAATTGGCTAATTTCTTATGCCTACTCATTAACGTACCTAGATAATTCGTTGGAGACCAGATTGCTGTGAGGTGAGTAGAGTGTTGGATTTTTATACATGCTACAAATGAGTCTTTCTTTACAGTTCTCTTCGACGAATTTTAATTGGAAAAAAATGTCGTCAAGTCTTTGAAGAATCGGTCCGTAAAAAGCATCATCGTGGACAACTTGATTGGTAGATTGGTTGACCTCTTGAGTAGAGCTACTCTTTTGAGTAACTTGATGCGAAGTCCGTTGTGTCTGGACGTTTGTAGGTTGAGAAAAAACTGAATATACTGAAGATTGTGGTTTGATTTGATTGGAGACAACAGTAGGTTGTTTTATAGCTTGAGGATTTATTTGTACTGCAGGAACTGGTGCTTGAGGATGTGATGCTTGAGGAACTGATGTACTAGGATTTTGAACAGAAACTCGTCTATTCAATTTTCTATCATCTAGGTATCCGCTGTATGCTAAACTTTGTGCATGCGATGGAATATTAATTGGTGCTGGAATCCCATCAATTGTGGGATTAGATTTAATATTAATTACAGGATGTTGAACTCCTTGATAAGTTGGAGGAGTATAAGTGGGCGATTGAAATCCATTGATCTTTATTCCAGGATCGTCTTGTCCGTGCAACATTGTATCTATTCCCCATTCTTTTAATTCTTCCATATCTTTACGCAACTGGATATGAGGATGGGCATAGTCGTAACCTTGAAATTCTTCTTCAAATATTGGAGGATGAGGTTCATGATGGTGAGAATCATAAAAAGCTGGAGCTGGTACGGGTACAGGAACTGGAACGTGATGATGATGATGAGCTACCTAAAAGAGAAATTCATTTTATAAGTTGAACAGTTTATAAAACAGATTATTATGATGAATATTTTACTGATAAAAATGTTAAACTACCCTGTGGTGGTGGTGATGATAATATTTTACGTGATCATTGTAGTAACTCGAGCATAGCTTGAAAATATGAGCAAATGCTGGTATGAAGAATAATAGAATCTTCAAGAAAATCTTCTTCGCTGTACCAACACCGAAGAGGAATGGTAGAATGAACATAAACTTGATTTTTATCAATTTTATGATTAATATAAGTGCCAGGAAGCTCATCAATAACCGGTTCTGAATAAATTTCCCTATAAGTAAATTGAATTATCAGTAACATTCATGAATACCTAGAAAGAAATATGTAATCAATCATTGTATGTTTTTCATGTTATTATTTACTTATTTTTTTGAAGAAGATACGGCCTTGATTCTCTACTGCTCGTTGACCAAAATCGATCCTGATTAAAGCTCCATCTTCATCAATTTCACGTGGACTTATTTTTATTTTAGATCCTTCAAAAAAAAATTCTGGCAATTGAATTTCATAATCTCTCGTTGCCAAGAATTTAACAGCTTTCTCTCTGAGTGCTGAAGTTACTTCTTCCAAAGGTGATTGTGGTTCTTCATAAGAGTTTTCAGTATTCTCAGTGGATTTTTGACTTCGACTTTCTGGTTCACGACTGGAATTGTCAACGAGATTTTCTTCCAATTCCACATTCTGGCAGTCTTTTGTACAGGAATCGTAATTGAGATTGTTTCTCCTTAAAACCAAACCATCAAAAACTGTAATATTATCACGTGCATCGAACGTGCCATCCAAATATGAGTAAGCATTTTTTTGGATACATGAAAATGATATTTTTCTACTGCAATCTCGAACTATCCCACTCCACAATTCATTCTCTAATTTTGTAGTTGAATTGCCCATGTAAAAATATTTTGCATAGCTCGCGAGATTAGAAAAACTAAAAAAATGTGCATTTCCTAATGTTACTGTCAATATAAAAATCAATAATATCCTTAGGAACATTTTTGCTAATTGATTTTAAAATTGGACTTTCAGTTTTTCCTTTTGATATGATTTTAGATGAATGCTCTTCAAGCCAAAATGGTAAACTGGCGGTAAAAATCACGACTTGATAAATAAAACCCAAGCTGACATTGACTTTTTAATACATTCCACCTCTCTATTCACATAAATGCCACCTCTTCTTTCAAAAACCATAGAATTGACACCCCACTATTTGGCCAAAAATCAGAGGACCCGGTGATGATTTAGAATCACAAATATTGTCACACTCGACTCGTCATCGAGCTCGGAGAATCCCTCATTTGTTTTGTCCACTTGGAATAATTGTTTCCGAGTGGCATGTCCACCTCTAGAAGTCAGCACGTTGGTTTAACCTCTCACACAGCATCGGTGTGGGTTTGTAATTGAACTTGAGCGCTCACGCACCAACGTTTGATACACGCACGTGTTTCTGTTCAGGGTTCACTATCACAGTTCATCGGTGATCCTACAACAACAGAGCAGTGTTCACCTCAATCTCTCCTTTAAAACTAACTTAGAGTCTCTCAGTGGATTCGATTCATGCAGACTACAAGTGTGTCAAAAGGCCTCCCTCCTACTTCGGTGTAACCAAACCCATGGAAGGTCATTATCTTATATTGCAACTGAAGAGAGTGGACACAGATAACAATTGATGAGTCTAAAATAGTTTTGATATCATCAAGAAAACATACATTTATTCAGCTAATTTGAATTCTCGTAATGAATGATTGCTGAAAGTTAGTAGGTAATAAAAGGCAAACTAATTTTATCTAGAAGATAAGCATCACTATAAGAAGGTTGTTGGATCTTTGCGGACATGCTCCGCTTATTACACCGTTGCAGCACACGAAAGACTGCACATGGATCGAGGTATTGAAATTCCGAGCTGCAAACAGCATAAAGTTGTTAAATTTATTGATACGAACTGATGCAGGGTTTATTATAGTTGCTCTGTAAATAATACATAACTATTATTCTTTTAAAGTGACAAACTGTTAAGCTTTAATTTTTTTTCTAATCATGTGTGATCACATAAGTGAGAAGCAAGTGTAACTGCAGTCACGCAAACTGGTTATGAAAATTGTCGTGTTACAATTCTTCATGAATTGCACTTCCTCACGGAGTCTTTCATTAATTACATCTATTTAATAAAAAAAGACGATAGGAAAGAGTGTGTTACGATAATATTCTATATAGTTAGTTTTATTAATTATTTTGTATTTATATTTAATCTAAAATTATTTATTTTTAACATTAGTTCGAATTAAAATTATCTCAAATGATTACTATAACAGACATTTTTGCAAAAAATAGTCATTTGAAAGTAAAGAAATGATTTGTTAAGCTAAAGATTAAATCATGACTTCATAGTTGATAACTATTGTTTACAGATAATAACAGGTTGTTAGCTGGAAGTGTTTACGTTAATTAGTCAATCTAATTATAAATAGATTTACATTTTATCAGATAATGAAATCTGTAAGTTATGAGAGTTACTTGGAGGACTTAAAATATGTTTTCAACATTATGTAAAAAATTTCTTATAACATTCAATTACTACTTGGATATTTTCTTATATGAATTACTAGTCAATGCATAATATTATTCATTTATTATCAATACTTTATTACATAGAAGTTTTTTTTTAAATTTTTGTGATTATTTATGTAAAATATATTTTTAAAACTTATGTTAATAAACTGCATTCATTACAATAAACTAAACTATAAGTCAAAATGATTTCTAAAATATCATATATTGTTAAATGCATTCCATCTTTGTTTACTAACAAGTGTTTAATCTTCCGGTAGCTATCTCATAATTTATGATGATCATTAAATGTCATTGAATCATTGTTACTGTTGCCAATAAATCAAAGATGACTTCCATATTCTCAAACATAATACGATTAGTATAAGAAACATTTCAACAAATGACTAACAATAAGTCAGAAAATGAGTAAAATAAATTTCATCTTTAGTATATAAAAAATAGGTTCTGCTTAATATTATGTTGTTGAGTATTCAACAAGAACAAAGATGACGTGAAATCTTTTCAAGTTTAATGTGTTAATCTGTTATACCACGTCAACGTTTGCAGCTTGTTAACGTAGAGAATTCAGTCCCAACAGTTCACTCCAATGAATTGCACGAAAACTATTGGCTACGGTGGCATCCAACAAAGATGTCAAAATCCAAAACAATAAAATAAAAAATCTTTTGGGATTCGACGCTAGTCGCGTTCCACTAGAGAACAGGTCGAACGGGCCAACAGGTCGACGAACAGCTGAATTCCATTGGCCTACTAATTGAAATCGACTTGGTAGTTTGTACTGCGTGACCAGCTTCACTTGGGAAATTATTTTGACATTTATATGAATTTTTATCAACGAGCAGGGAAAATTTATAGAACGATGATATTCAATTTATGAAACCATCAATAATACTAGATAATATTGATTAATATTTTATGTAAACAGGTAAATAAAAAATCATGTATGCTTTTCGAATCCGGATAAGCTATGCTTTCCTGAAACCGTTAAAAATTGATACTAAATATACACCGTAAAATTAAAAACAAAGTATGGAGAAATAAAGAACGGGTTAATTGAAAGTATTTTTTTTTATTTAATGAGTTAAGTAATAACCACCGTAAAAATTAATGAAAACCAAATTATTATTAGGTTAACTAACGGTGAAAACATGACGCGAGGATGAAAACATGCATTTTTATTGACGTTGTATACACCAGGTTTTGAAAAGGTGCCAGTAGATAAAATAGAATAAAAAAATATGACCGCGAAAGACAAATGTAACTACTGAAAAAAAAAACGTAAAGCCCAAGTCATTATGTAGAATAAAATACCTTTACAGTTCATTATATATGCGGTTTATTATTATCACTGATCATTAACCTTATGTCCATTAATAATTTGTATGTCTATGTGACTCAGGAAAATGATGTGAGCATCTGGACGTGTTGTTTAACAATGCCTTTTATTTAAAACAGAAAAAAAATCTAACAAAAAATCTTTGTCTTCCTACGCATAGTAGGAAGTGGGTTAGCAGTAGTGATAGACCAGAGTCAAATATAAAAAGAAGAGCAAATAAATCCGAAGGTTCATGGACTGAACATATAAGCGTATGTGTGAACGAAGACCGTTAGTTACACGAATGATTCATTTTACTATGCTGTATCATATAAACGTTCTATTACCTTTCTGGGGATTTAACCGGTTTCTTTGATATCCTCTTCTGTAATTCGATCTAATGATGACTCTCTTGGTTCTTGTTCACAATTTTCTCTGCACTCGGTAAGAAGTTTATCAACTGTATCTTCAGCAGATATGAAAACAAATTACTTTACCAAGAATTTATTTATTAAATGTTGATAATCATGAAAAATAAGTTTTTTAATAAATAGATAAGTAAAGCTTTACTTGTTCATAACAAGATGGTTCAAATGTATATTCCTAGATATGCATTTGTGCATAAACAAATCAATCAGCAAAGAAAGATGCATAGGCCTCTTCAACCTGACGTAAGCTTACATTTAGATCACTCAAAAATTAGAGAGAATAGAAGAAAAAAATCAACAGATAATTTACAAACCAATAAAATTGCAACATCAACAATACAAAAACACTACTATTAACAAAGCATCAAAAAGATCAAAAAAATTTCAAATATTATCATGATTCGATACTGATTATACACTTTTCTAATAAATTATAATTTAAGAGGATATAAATAAGAAAAAAAGCCAATTCAACACAGAAAAGAAAAAATTAAATAACTAAACAATGCTGATAATATATAAAATTTTTATTTGAAAACATAAAATAGTTATGTATAAGATACATTAAAAATCCAAAGACTTATTTTTAATAAAGAATGATATTATATAAAAAAAATTAGCACGGTACCTATTAAGTGATTAAAATCTTATAAACGTAAATAAATAAATAAATAATTAAATAAATAAATAAATGGTACATAAGTACTGCAATTGCTCTATTATCGTCATTTTTTATTTAGCCGGAAATTTTCTAACAACAATTGGTCCGTTTGAATCCCAAATTCGATCAGCAGCTTCATAATTTTTCCAATATTTGGCATAAGTTAATTTTGATGAGTCAAAATTCAATTTTTTAATCATATCAGATTCTTCTTTATAACTATTTATATCTGAATTAACTTTTGCATGCCTTTCAGTCAATAATTCTTTTCCAGTTTGTTTTGGTTCATTGATATGGATAACTTCTCCAATATGTTCTTCATCAATTTGTTCATCAGTATCATCGTAATCTTTTGATTCCCAATTGTTGTTAGTGCTTATTTGATCTTCTGGATGAACGTAAGTTGAAGAATATTTATCGGCGATCTGTTGAATATTTGAAGGATTTGAATATTTGTCTGTTTGACTTGTCATAGGAAGACGATTGTCAAAACTACGGCCCCATCCACCACCCCCACTGTAATCATAACCACCGCCACCACCACCGTGTGATGGTGCACCGTAACTGTTTGATGGAACAGGCAGAGGTGGTGGTGGTGGTGGTGCACTATAACCTCCTCCTCCTCCACCACCGCCATCAGTTGCTTTTGTCAGTAAAACGATCTCCTTCAGTTGTGCTTTGGAAAGATGACATAAGATGATTAGTCTACATTAACTACTTAATACTATAATAAATAACTTTACCATTTTTTTAGCATTCAAAATTTTTTAATTTGTGATAATGAATGATTTGTGATAAAGAGAAGGAAAATGATGGAATTTTTTTCGTTGAATTAGTAATCATTTTACATATTCGAAAAAATTGTTCAAGTAGTGCAAAATTAATATAAGTAATAGATTAATAACAAAACATTTACCCTTACCGCCACCACCTCCTCCTCCTCCTCCTCCTGCCCAAGGACCTCCCTTCATAGACATCATTTTCATAACTAACATTCCTTTGGCTAACATCATTGTCATGCCAGTCCATACCATTCCTTTCATTGCCATCAATCCCATCATTCCTAGTAAAAATTATTTAATTAATAAAATTTAATGAATTAAGAATAAAATTTCATTTTGCAATCATGAAATTTATTTAAATTTTATTTTTCAATTAAGAGACGTTGCATTTAAAAAGTATCACTACCTATCATTTTCATTTTCAAAGCCATCATCATACACATCATCATTTGCTTGCAACCTTTACCTCCTTTGCCTCCGCCTCCTCCACCTTTTCCACGACCTGAAACAATAATTGAATATTTCAACTATCTCAAACAAAAAATACAACCGTAAAATAGTCTTTATAATTTATATTTTCTTCAACAAAAAATAATATTACTTTGAAACTCAATCAACCGTAAATTTTATTCGATTTTTTACCATACCTTCTTCCACCTGACTGTCGTCAAACATCAAATCAATTTGACTCTGTTCTTTTCTCCCATTTGTTTGAGGTATGGTAATTCTTAAGGCAAACTGATCAAAGAAATCATCGACACTTCGATCAATTTTGCTAGTAGTGCTAAGTAATCGTGATCCAATTTTCCTTCTTGGTATTGAACGAACTTTAACTAATTTTATCATATCTCCACGTAGAGTTATTTCATTTAATTTTCCAATAGTATCAATATACCTTGATATTCTTTCTTTTAAACAAGAAAATGAAAAATGCAATAATATGCACCGACCAAAATCCTTTAAAGGAATTTTTGGAAATTTATCATCTTTTTCACTTATCGAATTGTTCACCACAGGGACCACTTTAATATCCAATTTTATTCCATTATTTCGATAATCAAAAACATGCTTTTCAGCTTGCTTATGTTGATTGTGCAATTCGACGTCAGGATCAAATATTTGCACTTTTGATGAATTATTATCTGATAATGGAATATATCCAAAAGATTTTGAAGTTGTTAAAAAAATAATAAAAAGAATTCCAACTTTCAAGTCACTTCGATGGGTTACTCCTTGATGCAAAAAGAGTAACTCCATTTTAGCAACATCAACTGCTTAAGCATTCGAAGTAAACTAAAACGACTGTCTTTGAGCTTCTTCATTTGAGATGTTTATATACTTGTAAATTTATGTCGTCTGTGGTTTACATAATTTTTTAAATCAATCTTGTCACGATTGTCATCATTTTGTAGTCCAAACTAACAATGACATCAGGTATTGTTTGCCTAGATTATGATACTGATTAGTGGTTTTAGACAATTCTATGATTTGACAATGTAGCTCATCTTCCTAAACACCAGTGACCTTAAAACTTGAATCTATTGTAAATGACATCCTATCCATATCCTAATTATTTAATTTTTACGTCAATCATAAAAGATAAATATTATAAAAAATTTAAATTGATTCAAGCATAAATTACGTTGTAACTTATAATTAAAATGAATTAAAAAAGTTTTTAACTCGGTGTAGTAATTAGTAGAAAATTATTTTATTAACAAATTTTAAATAAAAATAAATAAAATATGAACACAAACAGTATAAATAACAGAAAAAATTTTTTCAAACTTAAAAAAACATCTTTCTTTTTTAAATAGTTCCATTAATTTTACAATAAATATTAAAGATTTCTTGGACCTCTTACATTTGCATACTTGCTAATACTTTCTTGAATTAATGCTTCAGGAATATCAATCGATCTTCCATATCCAGATCCTCCATATCCATGTCCATGATGATCTTCACTACTGTGTGAATGAGACGATGTATAAACTGGTTTGGCAATTACTTCATACGTAGTTTTTTTTTCACCACCACTCGCTAATGATTTAAGACCAACGATGGCTGATAACATCAAAGCCATTAGCCCTGTCATTAAAGCTTTTCCTGCTAACATTGCAAGAGCTCCAAATCCCAACGCTCCTAAAGTTCCCTTCATCATCATCAATCCTGCCGCTAAGCCAGACATACCCCCTTTATCCTTTTTACGACCTACAAAATTCCAATTATTAACTAACTTATTATTTACCATTAATATAGATGAGGACTTATTAATTTTTAGGACTAAAAATTTTTGTCATGAAAAACTCATTGAATGTCATCAAAACTAGATGTCATAAAAAATTTTAGAAAAGATCGTGGCAAATTCAAATTTTTTTTTAAATGTAAATAATTATTTGGAATTATTTAATACAAAAAGTTAAAGCAAAATATTTCGTACCAGTTTCAGCATCCGATTTTTTAAACAATCCAAATCCTGATTCGCTGAGGCTTCTTGCATCTTCCAAAGTCTTAGAATCAAAAAGCTTGATGGAAATTGAATGACTGCTCAAATAATTTCCAACTTTGTGCATCAGATAAGCATCTAATCTCTTATTGATATCATTTGGAAAATCTCTTGCCAGATTGGCAACAACTTCAGGTGTAGACATATCATTTGAAACGTTTTCTTTAATGACTGATACACCAGGAAGGATTCCAATATTCGGAGTTTCTGATAGCTTTTCAACGAATGATATAGCATCAAGTTTGAGACACGTTAGACTGTATGATTTATTACATTCTTTGGTAAAAATTGATTCTTTATCTTTAGTCACTGTTGGTTCATCAACCAATTGTTTGGCTGCTCTTTGTTGTATTTCACCATTCACGCAACCAAAAATTAAAATCGCAACAAAAAAAGCTGGAGGTCTAATTGCTCTTAGTCGATCCATTTCGATTAAAAATTTTATTTTTTTTAACTTTGGTGATAGAAAAATTTTAGAAAAACAATAAATAACTGGTGGAATTTTTCTGCTGTCCTGGAGAATTTAAATTATTCCAGACGACAACAGAAGAAGTGTGATTGTGCACTGAGCTGTTGATACAGATAGTGCACTATATATAGGAATGCTAGAGCAAGACAAGTACTTTTTCCTTTCAACGATCATACATTCTCCATGAAGCTAGAGCACCATTGGGTATGGCTTTTTCTCATTACTTTGGCCACATCTTTGAATGCTTTCGTCCTCCTCTCACCATTTGAAATAAGAATGGCTGTTCTCTAGATCAAATAGAGCGGAGAATACAAAACTGTCAAATTCAGAAAAACCCCTTGATCTTGATTGGTTTCAAAAAAAAGTTAAATCAGCAAAAAATTAATTCTTCCGTTTATGGTAACCGTCAGTTATGGAAAGCGGTGGTTTCACTGAGAATTTGTTTTCCAATTAATTTTATATTTGGTAGAGTCATTTCATTGTTATCTATAACAGTTATTATTAACAGCACAGGTCTCTGCATAGAGAAAAACTCACATATACTTTCTTTTCTGTCATTTAGACAAGTTAAATTTTTTTGCTTGGAAAAATTAGGTGATAAATTGAATTAGTTTCTAGTGACGCAATAAAATCATAAAAACGTCAATGTTGAACTACTTAAATAATTATTTTGTTTACTTGATCTTATCTGGGAAAGTATGTGCCTAATTTTTTTCATTGATATGACAATGACTTTGCAGAAATGATAGTTGACATGATATATTCAAACAAATAATTTCAGATGAGATGTAAAATTAAATATAATGATCGAAGAATGTTGATGTGTTGATTATTGGGTTGTAGATAAGAGAAAGTACTATAAACATATACTTTTCTGCAATTTTCTTCGTTTTAAAACGCGATCACATCCATTTAAATATCTTCATTTGATTTACTCACTTAATGCTCTTAAAAGTGGCTGTTATCGTAGAATTAATGATGTGTAAATAAATAGTCTGCAAACTAGATGACTCTTTTGAAGTGTAAAATAAAACTGTCAGTTGATTAGAAATCAATCAGATGGATCATGTTTATTAAAGACTTAATTATCAACATTCTTATTTTATTTATTTATTTATTTATTGAATAATCTACTTTTTACTTTCTAGAGAGAAATTCGCAAAGTATTTGAAGTTTAGTTTTATAAATTTTGCTTTATCATGATACATATTTTTATGAAGCTATTGTGAGAGATATCGTGACTTTTTGAAATCTGTATCTTGATGATAGAATTTCATTCATTGTTTTATTTAATTGAGATTTCCAATCTAGAATTTTTTATTCTTAGAAGAATTCATGGTTATATATTTTTAATTTTTTCCCGTCTATTTTGCATACTCGAGAAAGTTCACCTCATTCTGTTATCACACTTATCATTCATCTTTAAATGTATTAAAATTCATTGAAAAAAAATAATTTTTTTTTGAGAAAAATTTATTTAAATTTTTACTCAACCAAAATTTCATTTCAAAATGATATGCCATAGTTTTTAAAATTTAACAAATAAAGTGACTTTTATTGAATATACTTTTTTGTTTATTATAAATAAAAATGACGTTTATTGGGAATCTTAAGGGTAGCTCGAAAATATTCTTCATATAATTCAAACCATAAAAGGGATGAAATTTACTTTGTCTCACAAAGCTTATAACTTAAGCAAAGTGCAAGTAGCCCAATACTTTTGACCAATAGTATATACATATGTGTATTTTTTTACAATTTATATTATTCATATTACAAAGAATTCGTATTATTTTTTGTTGTACTTATGTATTTCATTACTTTTCCCATAGTTTTTTCTGCATAAAAACGATGTATTATTTAGACTAAAGAATTTAATTATTTTATTAGAAAATTAAATTGTACCCCAAAATAAGTTTCGTTAAACAATACAAGTACAACAGAAAAAATAATCCATAAAAAATTGTAATGTTGAAAATTTCTGAGTATTAAAGTAGTCCATTAGAAAGTAGTAATAGTTAGTATAGAATTATTAATTTTTTGTTAAAAAAATAATGCGATGTAAGGTATTAAAAGATGCACTAAAAATGCATCAATACCAGACAGAAATAATATTTTCATCATGTATTTTCTCAGATAAGCATCAGCTCATCCAGTTCAATGTACTCCACCAAGGCTACCTGTAGCACATTGGCCGCTGAGTGTCGTTTACTTCCGCATTAGCTGCATTATATACTGACGCTAATACAATCCCTACCATCACACCACTTGAACTACGTAACGCAAACAACCAATAACAACGCGTGGCCCCCACCTTGGCCTTCACTTTGTCAGTGCCAACTGATGGCCACGAGTATCAGTCAGGGCCGAGTTATTGACATACTAACCTTGATTTCAAGTAAGTGGGGAGTAATTTGAAGGAGAGGGATCGCTCGAGGCTAGACACTCGAAGGCCAATGGCAACATCAAGGCTTTCCCCACTTGTTGCCCCAGTGACCTAGTTTTCTTCTTCCTTCATTCTTTCCATTCGTGTTCTCCTTCTCACCAACATATCTTGAGTATTCAGGTCAATGGCCTTTCTCGAAAAGAATAAAAGCCTTTGTGGTATTTAAATACTTTGTTTTTTTGAATAATTTTTTGTTATATAAATTTTTTTTTATTTTACAAAGCAACAATATTAATAATAAATACAAGAGTAATAAATAAAATACTTTATGTAAATAATATAAAAAATAAATTAATATAAATTATTAAAATTTAAATAATATAAATTATTATTTATATGTGTTTATAAATAATATTTTAAGGCAAGCTATGATAAGGATAAGAATCAATATTAAAGTCTGGATCCCATGCCTTGTAAGGCTGATTGATTTCTTCTTGTGAACGATGCCAATGCTCGTGGTAAATCTCTGGTTTAACAATTCCATAACTCACCCTAGCTGGATATGGAATTGGTGGAGTTACCAAAGACTTCAAAGCTACTGCACTGGCTATGAAAAGGGCTGCTAATCCTGTTCCTAACCCTTTGAGACTCAATGCACCGATTAGTGCTATGATGACTGGAACCTCGACTAAGGCTTTGAATTTCAACGCCAACAGGATTGGCAATATCATTTTTTTTAGTTTAGTTCTTGCTGAAAAAAAATAATTTATTATAACATTATGATGAAAATAGATTTTCACAAATTAAAAAAAGGATTGACGATAAAATTATTGTTGAAATGTTAGTTAATTATTGCAACGATTATTTAGAGCTCTTATTTATACACAATTACATATTAAAATTGATACTGATTCGAAATTATTATACTGTTTTTTATAATAATATATTATTTAAATATATTTAACTTCGATTTAAAGTTTTGAAATTTATGTATAAATTATAATCTCATTCAGGAACTAATTAATTCGAAAAAAAGAATTTTTTCATAAGTTAGACAATAAAAAATAGAAGGAGAATCTAACAAATATTTAGAAGCCTTTATTTCATTTAACTTTTCATATTTTTTAATAAAATTAATAATATTAAATTACAATTCAACTTATTTATTCCAATAAATGCTGAATTATAGAATATATATTATTACATTTATACTAGTTATTATAAATCTAATAAACATAATAGTTTATTAATTAATTCTTATATATTTTTTTCGATAATAGGAAATTGGTACCATTACTACTTTTTTACAGAATATTGTAATATTCATTATTAAATTCAGCTCCTACGTTGGAAATTAAATTTAAATTATGAATCAATTAATTAATTACACATTCCAACTGTCCTCTTTTCTGTAATAAACTCTACATTTTTATCTGAATTGACCCTATCCAGTTTCATTCATCTCCATCTTTCTTTTTTCTGGAATGTGTCCTACAAACACAGAATAATGTACCACTCCTACTGCATCTTTATTCGATATTCTTCTCGAATTTCCCTTTGTAAGCCCTTTTTGAATACACCTGGATGTATCGGATTAAAAAATAATATTCTATCTCGACTAAAAATGAAGTATATCTGAACTTTTATATGAATCAACAATACATCTTACTAATCATGACAACTAGAGTTTTAATTTTTTTTATCTAAAAATAATTTTATTTTTTTGTTAAATGTAATATTCACATTTACGAAATTCTTTATTAAACTTCGTATACTATCTGACCTGGAATTCGACCAATCTGTTTTTCGAGTCAACGACCTACTTGATGCCTATTGGTAGAAGCTTGGAGAGCATGAATCCTATAAAAGTGCATTGATTCAATAATTCATTCATTCTGAAGCAAAGCATTGAGATAAGCTGACTTACGGAAATGAATTTTGCTACTTTAATTGGTCAGCGTGATATTTCTAATTACTTTATAGCTATCTTTCATCTACATATTTTTTTATAGCTTATCTTTCTGATTTTTTTGACTTTAATTAATTCTTATTTTATCTAAATTAACTGCCAATTTATTCTAGTACGTACTTGAATCATTTTTCTCTATTGTTTGATTCAATTTGTTATTTTTTTTTTGGCTGTCAAAATATTCTTCACATTTTTTGTTTAAAATTCTATCAACTTTATGCTTTCTTTTATTACAATTACGTTAATTGACCATTCAATTAATGATAAAGTTTCGTGACAGTTAATTTTTAGCAATCAAAAATCCTTCTTTAATTTTGAGAAATTCTTCATTACAAAATAACATTTAATTAATCAAAAAGTTTATTGAGTTGATAATTATTAAGTTTATAATACTTTAATATTTACAACTCCAATGCAAAATTACTATATATCTGTTTTCATTTTTCTTTTTTACGTTTTTCCTTCTGACTAATTGAGTACTATTTATTACATCAATAAAAATTTATTATAGTTTATTGGTAGAATATGATGTAATTAAATAACAATTAATGAAATTAACTCTGTTATAAGAAAGAACAAAGTATTTTATTGAAAATATATTTGAAAAAAAAATTCTCAACTATTTTTGAACCTTTCAAATAAAACAATTTTTACAATTTTTTATACTCAATAGGGAAGTAGTCATGTAGATACTGTGAAAGTAGAACACCACCAACCCACTCAAGTTTAACTTTAGAAGAAACATTTTTGAATGAACATAACCAGTATAGCTAGAGGAATAATTAATGAGCAGTAGAGAGTATTCTTGATGGTTTGAAAAGTAAAATATTCAAGTAATTCTATTTTAGAATAGTATTTTAAAAACCTAGCATCAGATTACTGTAAAGAATTCCTGAGTACAAATAAGTTTAAACCCATATTTTGTTATTTGTATCTTGTAAATATTTATCTTTCTGTAATTTGATTGAAAAATTAATATTTAAAAGTAAAATTGATCTTAAATTTCAATCTATTTAACTGAAACCAGTATTTCAAATGATTTCACCAACATACATCGTCAATTAAAAATTCCTCGAAACTTACCTTCAGAAGCACCATGAGTCAATCCTTTTAAATTAATATCAATATTTTTTTGTCCTAAAGCTCTTCCAAAAAAATCAGCAGCTGATCCATCAGTAGGGAATCTGACTTGAATTTTCTTAGAATTAAAAAAGTCGTCTACTTTGGCAACTAAAGGATCATCAGATCGTTTTAAATTGTCCTTAATTATCTCACTATCATCCAATTTTTCTAAAGTAATAATATCTCCAAAAATTTTAATTCTATGAAGTTTATTAAGTTCTTCAATTCTCTTAATTATTTTTGTTTCCATCACATCTACTTCACGATTCTTATTGACATGAATCTCTCCTTGAGAAACAGCCACAAGACATAAAATCAACAGCACTGTTCTTTTTTTCATTTTATCAATTAGTTTAGTTCAGTTGTTCTTTTTTTAATCCTGAAGGCTTTTCAACAATACTGACATCGGTTTTTCGACTGTTTTAGCTCGAGGGTCTTTTTTTCTTTTATATTGTCTTCATAATCAGATGGTGGGGTTGGACTCAACTGAGCTATTTGGCAGAGAATTGCAATTCTTGTTGAGAATGTCAATTCTTTATTCCCCTTATTAAGGAACCGCGATGCATAACAATGCGAGAGATAGATTAGAGTGGGCGATGGGTCTTTTATACAGTCGGCAAAGAAACAGGAGCTCTTTGTCAAGTTTAATTTGTATTTTATCATTTTTCAGAATCAATTTCAAGTGTTCCAATTGACATTCCTATTAGCATAAACTTTCAATATCATTCACTCGACATCAATTCTTTTTCAATTTTGTATTTTTATTTTTCACTATTGAAAATGATTGTTTATTAAAAGTAATTTTTATTTTTTTTTTCTTATTAAGGAGTCCATCCTTTATGCTTAGTGACCAAGTTATCAAGAAACACGCAAGACACTTTGAAATGCATTTCATGTTGAATGTTGAATGCAAACGAACAATACATGATTGAATGCATAGACGCTGAATCGGTGACTATTATTGTACTTTCATAGAAACTCAACTGGTAGGCATTGTACTCGGTGACAATAAGTCTATATTTATACGTTGTATTTCTATATACAGTTGTGATTTACGTACAACGTGCTGTCGATATAGACGGCGGTATTCGACTTTCAGGTGAGAATTAGTTTTCCATGTCTGTCGTGACACAGTATAGTATGTAAAACTGTCCCAAATTTTTTCATTTTATGCAGTCAAACGGGCGAGTCTGGAAAATATTTGAAACAAAACTGCAGCACGTTTTGAGATTTTAAAATTTTTGAACGAAATTTAGTAAACTAGGGAGTTGACAAACTACTTTCTGAGGAATAGAAATATTGAAAAATATTCAAGCACAGACCATGTATTATTTTTATTAATTAATTTTTTTTTTCAATTATATTTTTTTTTCAATTATATTATATTCAACGATTTTTTTTCAATAAAAATTAAATATGCTCAAAATAAGCAATAAATATTAGGTTGTCTCATAAGTTTTTACCACTTTCAATTTTTATTCAAAAATTATTTCGACTTCCAACCTCTCTCGTTTTGGAAGAAGAGTATTGAAACTTAGCCCAGTAGGTGGCTGACTATAGTTGATAACGAGGGAAATTATATATTCGATTAAATGTATCTTTATTAACAAAAAAATAATGATTACTCATTTCAGCTGAAAAATACTTACTATAAGAAAAATTAATAATGTCAAGTGGTGTAAGTTGACACGAATATTACTGAAAAAATAGCAATTCTAAATTTTTTCATTGATGTAAATTCAAACTGAATTCGTATGAAGAAAAAGTTTTATGTTCACTGAATAAATATTTCTCTTGTTGGAGTAAAGATTTACTTTCTATTATCTAAACAGCTTTTTCCGAAATTTTATTCTCTTTAATTTCCAATTTTATTTGAATATAGACTATGCTTCACAATAGTATAATTAATAAATATAAAAATACTCGAAGCAGCTGACAAAATTAAGTTTTATATTAATCAAATTCTTTCTACAATACTTAATATTATATAAAATAACTCCGTCACCCATAATTTTAAGGAAATTGGCATATTAATGGATAATTTAATAATAAAATAATTATTATTTAGCAAATAATATTCATTTGATTATTTAGAAGGAATAATTTATTTCATTTTCAAAATAATTTAAGAACAGTACAAAAGGCCTTGTGAATCATTCATTACATAAATAAATATTAAATATATAACAGTCGAATAGAATATTACAAAAATTGCGAATTATAATTTTAAATAATTTAATTAGTGTTTTCAGATGGCACATGTGCGGAGTATGCTAGATTTTGAGCAGTCTTTGATGTATCTTCGAAGCTTCTCTTGTAGTAGCTCTGTCCAGGTTGTTGAACTGCAGTTGCTGGCCAGCTTTGGGCACCACCAGCATCGTAGAAAGTAGTAGGTGCAGGTGCGGAATTCTTTCCAAAGATATTGCTTCCGAAGACACTTGGTACGCTGGCACCGCTGAACAATTTTTGGAAGAGGAGGACTCCAGCAATTATGAGAGCGAGTTTACCAAGGAAGATAGCTTTGAAAACCAAGAGACTGAGTCCACCGAATAGGATGGGAGCAAGAGCGAAGAGCTTAACTGCCAAACCGATCATCACGGGGGCTAATTTGAGAGTCTTGGTTAACTTGGTACGTCCTATAAATGAAAATAAATTAGTTAATAACGATGAAAGAAAACTCCTGAATTTCGATTAAAATAGAAAGTGCTAAGACATTTGAACTACTTTCTGGGAAAGATACATAATATACTGAAGAGCCAGTGAAAGGCACTATCATCTCTTGTATCACACTACATAGTAGATGTGATCACGCAAGAATTACATGATTCGGTAATTAAAAATAATCCGAAAGGAAGAGTATTAAAAAAAATAATAAATTGATTTATTTTGTGTTACTTACCTTCAGTAATGGTGCGAGCAATGGTTTCTTCAGGGAAATGGACTTTGAGACTGTGGCTCTTCAAGAAAGAGATAATCGAATCGTAAAGCATTGTTCCAAGTGTCAATGCACGTTCAGATGAGTCTTTGGGAAGTTCATTCATCACCTCAGTTTCTGATTTCATTGATTTTCCAGATCGTTCCACTAATAGATTATTAATTGATTAATTTAATTAGTATTTCAATTTAATTACATTACGATTAATTCGAATTCATTTTCAATTCATTTAAAATAATTAATTAAATAATGTTACTTACAAGGTGTATCTCTAACGAAAGCAACTCCATCAATGAGTTCGAGATTGGCAGATCTAGCAGCCCTTGCAAGCATAGTGTTAGCCTTGATGGCAATACAGCTTAATACAGAATCTTCAAGTCCAAAACAATCCAAATTTCCAGAGTTAGTATCAGGAGTTGGTATAGCCATGGCTGATGCCACCAAAAGTCCAAAGATCACCAACTTATTCATCTTGATTGTTTGATTTTTTTTATAAATTAAACACTGTTTGTCTGACTTAAGTCACTCCCAAGGGCACAAGAGCCAAAATGTGACTTGGACCTGTCAGACTGTAATCTTTTATAGTCGACTCGGGGCATCTCCCACCCTAAGTCTTTCTAGTCAACAACATGTCTCATCTCCACACGTGAACAGTGAACACCTCTCCTAGGCTAAAAACTTTCGACGTTAATTTTTTAAACAAATCTGAACACTGTAATCATTGCTCCCATTGGAAGATACCACGCCTACTTCTTTACTTCAATAACTCTCGTCTAAAAGTTAGATTAAAGATTAAGATTCATTCAATTTAGGTCAGAGGAAGAGCCATCAACTGGAACTCATAAAAAATCAGGGAGTCAAATTGAAAATTCGTGTTTTTTCGTGACCTTTGTATCACTTTTCTAACAACATTAAAAGCATTTTGAGCTTTATTTCAATTCTTTGTTCAATGAGGACACGTGTAATATATGAGTTGAAGATAATTGCAAAAATTTCTAAACAATAAATTTAATTACATCGATTCTGGAGAATGGAAAATAAAATTTCTTTAAAGAAACTTCAAAGGAATGAATCAACAAAAAAAGAGGTGTAAAAGTGTTTTATGAAGAAACAAGAAATAATTCTAGAATCTACATACATTAGTTTTTTTTTTTAATTATACGTTTATTTTAATAAACATTTTCAATACTCATCACCATTTCTATGCACCTAATAAATATTTTTATTGGTAAAGAAAATATGAAAATAGGCGTTGAGGAGTATTTTCAATGCAATTCATTTGCTTCGTTGAAAAATATTATCTTTATTGCAGTAAATTTAATTTGAAATGATCCTGAAGTGAATCAGTTAAAATAAGTTAATCAGGTATGTGTGTTCCATAATTTAGAGATAAAAACAACTGTTATGGAAAGTTTTGAAATCTAGAAAAATTTAAGTACCTGTTTTAGATACAGCTAGAAGATTGATATCATCATATATCCATCACTGACAATGGATTATTATAATAAGTTGGTATTAATATCGACAATGAATGAAAAATAATAAGAAACTGTCTTTGGGAATAAATAGTAGTACATAGAGTGTTTTTTTTTATTGAAATTCAGATGAAAAAATTGTAACTATTTTGTACAATGAAAAAAAAATTATGTTAATAATATTTTTCTGTATAATTTAATAAGAAAAAGTTGAATAAATTGATTACTGATATAAAAATATATATATTTGACATGAGCATAAATATTTCTATTTAAAAATTTCAATACTTTGGCAACAAAATTCTCTTTATTAATAGTAAAAATTATTTGCCTTGCTCATGAAGTTTATTAAATATACATATTTATTTTTTTAGAAAAATAATAAATAGTTCAAAAAGGTCATCTTATGACCTTTTTTCGTTTTTTTAATTCATATTAACTCTCTACTTCTAATGCCTTTTTTACAGATGTATTATAATCAGTATTATTAAGTTGAAATTTAAAGATCCAAGTAGTAAAGAACACTTACAATTAAAAGTAAGAGGTTTAATTTTAGTTTATCAAAGCATTTTCAACATGAAGTGTGACTTTATTTCTGAGTGAATGATTGATGACGAATGAGAAGTTTAAGAATAAATCCAATCAAAAGATAAAGGTTCCTTCCTTGATAGATAATCGACAGTCAGCGTTCTTTCAAGGCTGTTCGCCTTGACCCAAAGCCCAGAGTATAACCGGTAGAATCTGAACATATAAATTGCGGTCAAGCAACTCGATTATATAACTTGAGATCAAGAGACATTCTATTTCTATGCACTTTTTCCTTTGTTCATTTACTTTTACTAGTCAAGATTCACTGTAAAAAAAATTTTTTTTTCGTATAAATAACTTAGAATCATCTTTATTGTTTTTGAGGTCACTGTCTTCATGCCACGCTATGTTCAAATATGGTGGGAACAAATCCATTGTACTCCATCTGTGGATCTCCTTAAATATTTAACAGAGACTCACACCTTCTACTTGTCATAACACTTTAACGGTACAAGCAGATTCATTTTTCTCGCCAAAATGTTTTGTATTTGAGGTCATTTGTTGAAAGCTATAAAAGTGTAATCACTTCCTCTTTTAATCAAAATTACTACATCATAGCATTGGAATGTGCATGGTTTAATTTCTTACGTTGGAATGATGATGAATCAACGATTTATAGTTAAGCATTATTGGTTTAAGAGAAGCTGAAAATGGAAAGTAATCCGAAAGTGTTGGTTGTTTGCACACATAATTATAAGAGAAGAGTTATGAAAAGAGAATAGGAAGCACAAAAAAATCAAGACTTCAAAGTAATGTGAGATTATAGCCTCTGGAATGTAGAACGCGTTAAACAGAGAAATGCTTATGTCGAGCTTGACGAGAGACTTGTTTGTTGTCAAGTCTTTGTTTGCAAATCGTTATCATAAAGTTTATTAGTTCCAATAATTACAATAATAATATCAGTGTCATGAGAGATATTTATTCATAGGAATTATTTTGAAAATGATGTTCATGAATTACAGTTACTTACTCCTTTTAACAACGCCCAATCATTTACATTTCTTGTTATTTCTTTGTCTTGGAAAATGTTGGACTAAATGAAAATTGACAAGATTAATTCATGGCATGTTCGTTCGAATTCGAAAGTATATGTTTGATTCTCACCGGGCTGTATCATTTTTAGGGACTTCAGCTGACTACATTCCTTGACTGTATCGTTTGACCCCATTCTTTTCTTTTCCACCTACTACTTTTAAGGTCCATTTACTTCTAAATTTTCACTATTCTCTGAATATTGGAAAATGAAATGTTACATTTTACTTAAAATTTATACAAAAATACAACATCCTGCTAGCAATTACTACTTTATCTCCAAATTTATGTTCAGTTTTATTTGTTAGAGGTTTTTAATAGAATACCGTTATTAGTTGAAATTCAATTGACATATTAGATAACAAATTCTTTGAAATTGATGTTTCTTTTGTTGCCTGTGAGATTTTCTGATTGATGATAACCACTTCAATGGAACGAATCTAGATCAAAGCGAGCTCTACTTCTTCTGAAAGAACTATGTAGCAAATATTTTAATATTTATATTTACTTTGAATAATAAATTGAAAAGTGGACTATTAAACTAAAAAAAAAAAAGTATTAAAGATTCAGAAAAACTTTGAGCTCTTAAATTTTAGATATAATAGATATTAGTTAAGAAAAATATCATGTTGATAAAATTGTTTTTGGAGCATTCAATAAGATACTTTTTTAATCAGTGACTAATAATTACAAGTAATTTCACTTGAAATGAATATTTTTCAATTAGTAGTTAACTACTGATACATGATCAGCAATTAGTCTAGTCACCCTACACAAAATATTTTTAAAAAAAGATGAGAATACAGAACAACTATATTGATCACAATCAAATCACGATTTTTTTATTACTCACAATTAAAATGGGTTAATAATTAATTATCTAAAAAATGATTTTATTCAACTTTACTCTTTATTTAAACAATTTCCATTTGATTTTAAATCTAAATAAAATTTTTTATTAATAACTGTTGCATTTCATTGAATAAATTTTTATTTTCTTCTTTTCAAATTTAAATAACAGACAAATAAATAAATAGGATGATAATTTGTAGAAACGAATAGTTTATAATTAAATCCTGTCACTAATTCAACTATTAATTCTACTCCTCTGCCAATACTGAAATAACTCATATTTTTTCTATCTTCTGTGATGAACATCGCTATAATAATCATATGATTCATTCACATCAGGATGTACATTGTAATTATTGTTATTATGATAATCATTTCGATTGTATTTTCCGTATGATGAAAATGTAGGTCCTCCTCCATTGCTTCCATTATTTGACTGTCCTTGCACCAAACGTCTTAAGCCCATTATAGCAGCTAAAATTAAACTCATGAAGCTCAATACAACTGCTTTACTACTCATTACTGCAAGAGCTTTCAGAGCAATCGGAACGAGAATTGATTTAATTACAAGCCAACCAAGCAAGAGAGGTACTAAATATTTGCTGTGTTTCTTTTTTTTCTTTTTACCTACAAGTTTATATTTTTTATTTAAAATATTAGATCTTATATTTTTGGTATTTTTTTCATATTAACACTCACCACACAACGATCGACTTTCTCTGACACTTTTTTTTTCTTTATCTTGAAATAGTAAATCATCAGTGGTTAATATTTTTTCATTTTTCAAATGTATAAAAGGTTTCTCGTCACTTTCTATGAGAGGTTTTAAAGAATTTTCAGATTTTATTGAAATGAGTTCTGCTACACACCAATTTGAAAATAAACACATTAGACAAGCTATTAAAATTTTCGTCATTTTTGTTTGGTTAAGAAGTGTTTTTCAGATAAACTGATTAATTATTTTACTTTAAATTTTTCGATATTTATCGTAGAAAGAAATTGATTTAATTGTTTTATTCATGTAAAATCACTCAAAATTATCCAAAAATTATTATTTTTATATAAAAGAATTTGATTTTTTTGTTTTCACTAGAACATTGTGATTTTCAATTACTTCTCGCCGTTCTATAAATAACTGATAGAACCGCGTTTATAAAAACAAATAACTTGCGGTATCGATTTATAATAAACTGTTGCAATGATACAAAAAAATGTAATTCACCGTTGAGAAAAATTTATCAATAACTCAAGTTGGAGTTTTGCAGTCGAAACTTATATATCTCCCCGCCGAGAAAACAGAAGAGAAGGAATAGTTCATTTAATTTGGAAGTGATGCGTGAAGACGGTTACAGTGAAATATTCTCCCGAGAATAACCCATCACTTGGCAGAATTCTCACAAGGCACAAATGAAAATTTGTTCCAACCGTGTCGAAAACCATTATCTCTAATATTGACGTTTTCACGACCATGGAAGAGCACATAAATTGCACCGTTCAGTCGCATTTATTTATTTCACACTTGAATAAAAAAATAGGAAATAAAAAAAAAAGTAATTATATTTTGCACTTGATAGCCAATTTTATGGATCCTGTTACTTTTAAATAATTAGTCAATAATAGGTATTATCAAAAGGAGAATCATAATTTACTCTAAGTTGATTGGGTGAGTATATGCGTCTCAGTTGAGTGATTCTCTTTAATGTATGCATTAGAGACTGGAGAAAGATATGAAATAAATTTCGTAACTAATGAGCTCTACTTGAAATGAAGACTAGCTGGATTCGTTTCAGAAATCTAGTTCATACAAAATATCATATAAAATGATTCCTTTGTCAATATATAATACTTTTCAATTGTTAACAGACATTTTTTAATATTAAGCGTGCTTTATTATAATAGAATTAGTTTTTCTATAGTTAGTAAATAATTAATAATGTTTATCTTACAACACCATTTAATCTCAAATTAATCGAAAGAGCCTAATGTAAAACTTAATCAACTGTTAAAAATCTCTTTTATCAATATACATATATTTTCAAAATTTTTCAATGTTTAAGTTTCGATGGAAATAACATATGCATTTAAAACTTCCAATTTCCCAAAAAATAGAACGCATGTAACATAAAGTCACCAGACTATTCAAAATTTACAAAATAAACTGTAAGAAATAAGAAGGAATATTTTTTATGCGTACTAAGCGGATTTAACACTCGAGAAATTCGTCTAATTTTTAGCAATTGTAACAACTGTATACACTATTTTCTGGCCTAATAATCTTCTTATTCATTTGGTATGTAATTCTAATTTTATTATTAAAGTACCTGACAACTGCAATACAATTGAAGTATTGAATCATCATTTTTATGATGAATATAGAATTTATATCATTTTCAAATAAAACTCTAAAGTAGTTGAGGTCCCATAAAAATTATAAAGTATTTTTGATCATAGAAAATGAATTATTTCTCAAATCAATATAAAATAGCCGATATTAACAAAAAAAAAACTCATCCTTTTAATCTATAGATATAATAAAACCACCATTTCATCTTTTATACTTATAAGATTTTTTATTTTTTAGAAAAAAATAGATACGCAATTGTTATCAAAAAAAAAAAAAATTCAATAGTAATTTATTTTTTGGATCTTTAATAAAACAAATCAGCATTTATTGAGATTTTGAAAAAATTATTTCCTACCAAAAAAAAATACTAATTTTCGTAAGAATCATACATAAAAAATTTTTGGATCTGAATTTCATACAATTAATGTATGATTTCGATAAGAAAAACTCAATGTATCTGTAACACTTTTTTGAAAGTATTTTAATTGAAAGATGTTTGAGAAACACTCAAAATCTGAGTTGATTATCTAATTTAATATTAATCATACACAATTCAGACTAAAAAAGTTGTCCATGTTTTATTTTCACACTTTTCGGATCTAATTCATAGATTCTTGTAAAATTTTTTTAAGAATCAGCATTAATTTTTTTTATTAGGATTTCTCTAAAATTAGAAATCAATTTCCTTCGGGCAGTTATCAATTAATTTTGATGTTGTCTTTAATTTTCCTCTACTTTTCAATATCAGTAGAAGCCAAAGTAATAATCAAATGCTTACGACTTTTTATCAAACATGGTGTGCCATAAATCAATTTCAGTTGACAAGGTATTGATTGTCCTGAATACTCAACCGCTGTGACTTCTCACGGAAAAAGTCGGCTTCAATTTGTCATCACATAGTTTATAAATTATTCAAATCTTGTGAAAAGATTGTGGAATCATCTACAGATATAATTTCAATAGTTTTCTCTGCAGTTTTCTTGATGTTTTAAGATGAGTATTCAAAATATTGTTGAAATAGTAAATGATCATATTCTACTGACATACACATTACCTTTAATAGCCCCTGTGAAATGACCGCATCTGTGCTATCATAGTACTTACGACACACATATCTTACCGAGCTTATTTTTTACAGACTACCAATTTTCTTCGCAACTGAAGCGTATCACGTCGTAAAGTTGTTGATTCCTTCATGTCTTCCATTGCAAATCGTGATCGGATGAGTTAGTTCTCGCTCGTTCGTTGCTCTGTTCGTTTCCCTCCTCACTTAGAATATTATTAACATCATAAAGAGATTCTCCGGGTTAAAAAAATAAACATTGATACTATTACCAAAGAACTCCATCTTAAAATTATCATACTATTATCATCATTTAAATTTTCTAAACAATCACTTTCAAACGTCATTCGGACGTTTTCAAATTATTCCTCATTGAACAAATAAAAAAGTACTAGTGTGACAAATGTATTTTGTGGTGAGAAATAATGTATTTTTTATCACTGTCAATTATAAATGACACAGATGATTTTTATCAATCCAGGAGATAAAAAACATTGATAAAATAATGCTGTGTTAAGCATGCTAAGTTTTTTAAGTGTGTAAAAAAATTATTTAACTATAACTATGACATCACAAGTGATTCTAGTCATAATTATATTAGCATTGAGCTATTATACAAGTGCCGAAAACATTGAAAATAAAATAACAAAAAAAATAGACGATGTTGAATCCAAAAAAATACATCATATGGCAAATGTTCAATTATCAGTCGTCAGACGTCCATCAAAAACACCTGCTAAATATTCTACCAAAATTTCACGACCATTAAACCTCAGTACTTCCAGTCGAAGACCAGTTGGTAAAGTGACTCTAAAGCCTAATAAAAGTTCAGAATTGTTAAACTATAAGCTTCAGAATGTCCATACTGCTTTAGGAGAAGTTAAAATGAAAGGTTTTTATTTAAAAATTTTTTCCATTCATTAAATTTAATGATTGAAGTTATTTTATAAGAAAACTTTATTTCTAGATCGTCCTCGGAAGCAGAAGAAACATAAGATGAATCGAACTTTGATGGCCCTTTTGTTGGCATATAAATTAAAATTTGCAACATTGATTCCTTCAATAGTCTTAGGACTTTTTCTTCTTCTTGGAACCACAGCATTAGCAGGGTTTTTCTTTGCTCTCTTTGCCGCCATACTTGGACTGAAAGGTCACTAAGAAAAAAACATAACTTACATTTACACGTGTTAACACCATAAACAAACCTCAAAATGAAGAAGAGAAGGAATAGGAAAAATGATCATAAAAAATTCAGGTTTCTGTTATTATATGTATACTGAAACAATTTATTATCTTGACGACTTGCGTCTGATTACATAAAAATATAAATAAATAAATATAATTGAAATAATTAAGGTAATAAATTAATTATTAACAACAACTAAAGCTTTCTTGTTTGTTTATCAGGAAAAGACTGCATAAATTTGAATACTGATTGCTCATCTTTTTCCTTCCTCCGGTATTCTAATTCACCTTAGTAGAAGAAGTTATAAAAGTCAACTGTACCATCGAGCAACAGCTGCGCACAAGTATGCCGCATGTCTCGCTTGACATATAATGATTAGTCATACGATCAACGGAATATTGACGGACATCCGTTCTTTTCGCCGGTAAATCTAAATGTGCGTGTTAATCTTGCTCTACAAAAATGTCCTTTTCTTCCGTCTCAATCATTTTATTTTCTCCTTAATTTACCGCGCAACTGTTGCAGACATTCTACGCCAACTTTCCTATGTTCTAGGGTTAGTTTTAATTAATCTTTATTGTTATTGATTAAAACTTGTTAATGTGAAAAACTCATTTCTGTTTAAGCACTTGAAATTCTTTCAAAATCACAGTAATTTAATCTTTTTCAATTGAGATTCATTTTTCATGCTACAAATCTTCATGATGTAATTAATTATCCAATGAATGAATCTATCGAGAGAAATTAAGTTGTTTTGCGCTTTTTCAGGTTCTTTAGGATATAAAAACCTATTATTGAGGTTTTTGTGCACTGTAAGCAAGGTTTTGAGCAATTTTCTGGTTCGATTCAGTAGTTTCAAGGTTGGTGATGTCTTTTAAACTCCGATCCCAGCCTCCGCCTCCACCGCTGCTTTGCCATCCACCATGAGAACTGCCATGATCTTGCTTCTGACTCAAGAGTTTCTTCAATCCAATAATCATTGATAGAACCAAAGCAATTTTACTGATGATTAGAGCCTTTCCTGCCAGCAGGAATAAAACTCCCATTGCAATTGGGATTAATGCTGCCATTTTCATTGCCATTCCCATCATCATCATCCCCATCATCTTCTTCATTTTCCCACGACCCTCTTCCATGCTTCTTTTAAGTTCACCAGGTGTTGTTTTTGGTAAACTAATCTTAACATTAAATCCATTCATTAAATTGGCAACTCTATCGAACAAAATATCATTTAATATTTCGTCCCTTGATGCACCAGCTCGTCCAAGACTTTCCACATCATTTGGATAATTGATTGAAGTGTTATTAATGCTGTCAGGTACTTTAACTAACTCCAGATTATCAGATATAGGAAGATTATCAATTCTTCCAAGTCTTTCAAAGAATGTTATAGCTTTTTTCTTCAAGCATGGTGATAATCCACCACTACGCAGTTGACATTCTTCATAAACTCGATATAAAGATCTATAGCCTCTATCGAAGAAATTTTCTTCATTTGAAGCTTCTGTTGTTGCACTGATGATTAGGAAAGTTGTCACACACTTAACGTAGAAATTCATTTTTAATATGCTTTGGATTTATCCCTTCGTCGTTGACGAAAATGAACAAAGCACAAGTTTATCAAATAGTTCACTATTTCTTGGTAGCACTTCTACCTAAACAATTCGCAAGCTGTTAACTGGCAATGGGACGATGTTCTCCAGCTCCTATATACTCTTCTGTTTCTAGAAGGATGAAGGAAGTGAGGAAGAGGGACGCATCTTCCCACGTGAACATTGAAGTTTGTAGCAGTTTGCAACACATGGAGATGGTATCCAAGATTCGCATAGGTATTCTGTCGGCGAATCAACAGCTGCTAGGTTTTGTTGAATCATGCAAGAGAAGATTTAATACAGTGTAGATAAACAGAGAAAGAGAATCCATGTTGGAGTATGTGACCTTTCTGACACAAAGACCTACTCGAGCTGTATCTTCTTATTCTTGGTGGAAAGGAGAAATGACAATGCATAAAAATAAAGGGACCTTCACGACAGGTAGATAAGCATAGAAATGGTACCTTAGAAACCACCAATTGAATCACGACTCAGTTAAACGATGCATCCATCCAACCATCCATTCGCCAATCCTATTGGTTAAAAGTCTTGGCATGGTGACCCTTATGACCTTTGGGCTACACAGAATGAGAAACTAGACCACTCGATCTAACGAAGAAGCTACAAGGTCTTCACTAGTTACAATACTAGTGACAGCAAACGTGGGTGAAATTGCTTGCGGGTTGGTACTTTCCTACATACAAGAGATAGTTATTATGCATGAAGAAGAAATTCCTCAAGGTTTAGTTCATTTTAATAATTTCTTTATATTAGCTGATTTAGCTATCATGATAGGTATTTGTGACAACGGGACATGTTGGGTCTCATTTTAAGATTATATTCTCACTATGGTGTTAATTTATTTACACTGTCAAGTTAAGCTGGGAATATTGATTAGTTACGGACATTATACGTCGATTGAAACGATCGTAATCGACAAACTGCTACTTTGATCATTTATTTAAATGAAAAATACAAACTAGAGTTTTTAATTACACACATTACTCCAACTTATTCATCATCAAAAATAACATGCTTTATAACAATATTTTTTTACGGTTCTTCAGCCTGAAACATGTCTGGTAGATCAATGCATTAATTTTTTTTTAAAATACTTTTTTCTTTCACGTAGTTAATTATAGTTTATATTATTAAGGAATTTTAGAAGAAACTATACTTCATGATGATATCTAATAAATTTAGTATACTTTCTGAAACCGTTGAACACGTAAGGAGCATCATAAACAAGCACGAATGGTACAGAAGAGATCAAATACAAAGAAAACATAGCATCAGATGTATAGATATAACAACGTTATCATGAGACCTTCATCCCAAGTAAAGCACCTCACATAAACAGATACACTCACACTACACGATTGAGGTTGAGCGCATCGTTAATGCGACACAGGCATAAAAGTAATGTACATAAGCAGCCAATAACCAACATGTTGCCAACAAGCAACCCTGTGCTCTCCTCACCTACTTTGCGATTATCCCATGGCGGATGAAATCAAGCCAGCGGTAACCATTAACACCGTGCTACTTCCGGAAGGCGCGAGTAAACGAGCAACTCAAACAATCACCCATGATTTTCTCACAAATTACGCCTAATTTCAGAGAATCTGTTTTAACCAGTTATGTGCCTTGAGGACTTTCAGAATTACCTCGTGAGAAAATAAGCTTTTAAATAGTAATTATCACAAAAGAAATCGAAGGTACAGGTCAGGATTTTTTTAACTGAATTCATTTATGCGTCAGTCAAAAGAATAACGGGGTTTCTAAAGCAACCTTTATCTTATTTTGTAGAATAATAAAAATTAATTTTTGGGGACATGACAAATTAGCAATTAAATCACCAGGAAGTCTCTGCCAAATATTATGTTAAAACAATGGCAAGATGGAAATCTTATGACTGAAATAATTAATCATAATGATAATTATAATGCTTATTTAACTTATTCTGTACATATAATATTATTTAATTAAATAAACCTTTTTTCATTATTTAATATGTTAGTAGGCACTTCTAAGTTTTTCTCTTGAAAAATAGTAGGGCAAAAGTTGAACTCTGTAGCAATTCAAGATGAATCATTTTATTTCTATTATTACACTGCAAATGTGAGATCAATCTAATTATAATATACTGTGTATTCACAGTATTATTAAATTATTTAATATCGTAATACGTCAGCTAACGAACTGTTAGCAAGGTCAATAGCACAAAGTTTTTTTATCCACCAATTATCATACACTTTTCATTTATGGTATTAAATATATGTGAAGTGATGTAGTGGTAAACGGTTAAATGATTGATTGCTTTGCAATTACTTATTAGTATATGAAGATATTTATCTGCGTTTTAAAAGTCACCAAATAGTGTAAATATTTTTTTTTTGTAGTTCATTGTTGAAAATATTTATATAATTTTGGTATGGTTTTCAAGATTAATAACTGAAATAATCATTGGAATAAATCGATAATAAACTGGTGATAAAACATTCATCAAACATTAACTTTATTTAGTTATTTGAATAATAAGCTTTTATAACTGTTGTGGTATCAGATCTCATTAATTCCCTCCTGTGCTAACATCAAAGATGTCTCATTCTCAGTATTACTCATTAGAAGTTTTTGTGTTTGCGAATAATTAGTCCTTAATTATACCACATCTATTTATGCGGGTGTAATGTAACAGTTTATAAATGCATAAATTAAAATAAATTAGTATGTAATTATTTCGCGACAAATTAATACATTTCTGCTATTATATTTATTAAAATCTATCTCTGTTTTGCAATAGTTGAATATTAATTTGTTAAATGATGAATAGTTAGATGAAATAAAATATAGTCATCTGTTAATTATGTATCAATTAAAAACTATATAGAAATTATAATTTTTATTCAATTATATATTGTAATTTGTTTATTTGATGTAACATAACTATTGCATGGTTACTTCGAATCCAAATGTTTAAAAACTAAGCATTAAAATATTAACACAATAAACAAATTATAGCAGTTTTGTAAATGAATTTTTAACGTTTTTTATCGTTTACCAAAATGCTATAGCTTGTTTATGGTGTTCAACGTTGTAAACAATTAGGTGTTTATTTATTAAGCACTTTGAACGTTTCATTACTAAAAATTTGAATCTTCGTGAATTTTGCAGCGATTACTTAAAATATAATAATGAATAGAAATTTAAATAAATATTTCTTTGGATTTACATTTACTTCATTATCTATTGTATTTTATTCATACAATCATTACAATTTATTGTACTACTAAATTTCGTAATTATTCACATCAATATGCAATTTTTGATTTGTCAATTTATAAATAGATGAAAAAACAATTCAATAAATCTTTTAACGAGAAAAAATTAATGATGTGAAATTTTAATTATAAAAATGAGAGCTTTCATCTATTACTATAAATGAATAGTTTATTATAAAATAATCTTCTAAACCACAAGATTATATACAAGTAGTATTTGGTTTAACACAAATATCATAGGTGATCCTACTTTCTTTTAAAATAAGCATTTCTGCTCTAAAAAAATAAAATGACACTTGAAAATGTCTAATATGAAATTTTAGTTATTGTAGCATCTTTAAAGTAAAAAAAAGAAACATTTGTCACGCAATATATTTCAATCTCCATACTACAATTCAATGAAATCTACTAATATTAGTCATAATGTATGTCTATAACAGTAACACCAATTCTCTACACTCAATTCATAATTTACTGTAACTATGTTTCTTGTATCACTGTTTTTGTTGATTTTCCTATCTCACAAAACCAATCAGAAATATTCTTGATCGCCCTCCTGGCACACAAAACAAATGTGGAAAATATCCGATAGTCTTTTTAGACCCCATTATCTACTTTCCGCACTTGTAGTGTCAATCTTGTGGGAGGATACAAGTAACTTCCACTCTTGGTTAAATTGTATAGTAACACATTGTCACTTTAAGTGAAAATTAAAAGAGCCGGAAGTCGTATCCTTTACATTGATTATCATCCAATTGAATAACAGTTAGATTCTTCATTGTTTTCAGATCAATTTCTAAGGTGCTTTTAGTTGGAAAAACTATATAATAAAAAATAAAACATTAGAAGTAATTCACTAATTAATATTCTACCTAATAATTCACTTAATCGTTTCGTTGATTCACACGGTTAGTCGTTATCTGGAACAAAGCGTTTTTAATATCGTTCTCGTTAAAACATGATAAAGAAATCAAAGCCTACGAAATGAGGCATCTATGGAGGAAGGAGGAAATGTGTACAAACATGGGTATTAAATAAACTAATACACATACATTTAAACACGTGTATCCTATAGAATCATGCGAAATGGTCAGCAAAGTAATAATTATATGTGTAATGCATCCATAGTTGCATTCACGCTCTGTATGCCGTAACGAGAGTTCCCAAGCCAGGAGCTAATTGCTCCACACTCTTTATAAAAATGAATCGCAGAGGATAACATCCAGTCAGTGCCTATCAAATATGCTTCGACAGTTGATTATACTCGGAACTCTTGTCCTCGCAGTAGGACTTGACGTTTGTTTTGGAGAACCTATCAATCGGCAACATCGAAGTTTCGTTATTAACGACAATGCAGTGACTATCGATTGCGCAGGAAGTCGTGCTGACTCTCCAGAGTGTCATTCTGTCTCATTAAAACAGAATAAAACGGCATCTGCTACTGTGAAGAAGTATGGAGATGTTGAAGAAGAAGAGAAATCGTGGAGTATTGCAGATTGGTTTGAAGATCGTGCAGTTGATGAAGGTAGGAAATCTTGCTGACTATCTAGGATGATCGAACAAGATAAATAACCAAAGGCAATTGTAGGTGAATGCCAGAGTGAAAGCTTTTGAATCTTTTTCAAGTGATCGGATCCAATAATTGCAAATAATTTTTATCTTCTTTATCATTCTAGATCATTTTTTTTTCTCCGAAACAGTTCTATTGCCTTGGTATCAATTTTATATAGTACTTTTTTTTAAAGTCTACTGAAAAACTGATTATTTTTTACAGCTCGAGGAAAGAAAGGTGGTAAAAAAGGAAAGGGTTATGTCATACTGCTAGCTGGAGCTATGAAAGCTATGCTATTGTATGCGATGATCCATGCAGTAGCTTTGCTTGCTGGAAAGGCACTTGTCGTTGCTAAAGTAGCTTTAGCAATCGCTGGAACACTAGCACTCAAAAAAGCTTTAGGTAAAAAATCTGAAGAAAGTACACATATATATAGTGATTAGAAAAATTAAGATTGATTTTACAAAAAAGTATTATTTATTTAACTTTGTTTGAAAGACTGTTTGAAAAATGATTGTTCAATAATTTATTTAATTAATAAATAATATAATTGTTATCGTTAACAGTGTTTTGAATAATTTTTTAGATTAATTCAACGAAAAATTGTACATGTTATGGTTTTTTTTATTGGTATTTATTTTCAGAACATTCGGATAAAACTTCGTTTGAAATTGTCAAACATCCTCAACATAGTTTTGTCCAGACACATAGTTCAAGTGTTGATTATGATCATGGTGGTGGTTATGAGGGGCATCGAAGAAAACGATTCACACGATGAAATTCACCTCTTCCCAATTTTTTATAATCATTGTATCATAATCACCAATTTAATATTTATTTATATTTATATTCTTACTTTTGTTTATAAAATAAAGAAATTTGATATTGCCTTCATAATTTTTTTACTTTTATTTTTTTATGTAAAGTTTTTTTCGTTAATATAATTATACGAAAAGAAACATCCCTGTTGTAAAATACTCATTTTATTTATGATGTAAATAATAATAATAATTTATATTATAACTGCTATAAATATTTAGCAATTGATGATCCTTATTTCGACCCCGATGCACCTTTGAAGATACATAATTGTATTGAACTTCCTGATTCAACTGTCAATCTAACCTGGTAACCTTTATCCCAATGCATTCATGTATCATACCTTGGTATAAACCTTAGTAACGTGTACTCAGTAGAAAAACGAGAAGTGATTTGAGAGATTCTTAATTAAACAGAGGAATCTGAAGAGGAAGGATAATTGACTTCTTAGAAAAATTATTATGGGAATAATTCAAGAACTGACATGTACTCTCAGTGAAGAATGTTTAGGAAAAATGGTTTTGTAATTATTTAATAGCCAGTAAGATTTATCAAATTTTAAATAATTATTTCAAAAATATAAATAAATACATAAATAAATATATAACAAAGATTCATTGAGCTTTTTTTGTGTTACAAAACATTAAGCTTTATTTTCCACTAGTCTTCATGTTGCTGGTTTTAATGATCTCTGCCATCCACCATAACCACCTCCATATCCTCCATGAGGATCTGATGCTGTTGCATAAATTACTTCATGACCTCCTCCACCACTTGAAACCAATTTCTTTAATCCAATAATTGCACTGAGTACTAGGGCTATTTTAGCTGTTAAAAGAGCTGTTCCTGCCAGAAAGGCTATTTTTCCAAAAGCAAGTTGAGCCATGACTCCTAAAGATTAATCAATAAAATAAATTTATTATTCTGTTAACATGATTAACTTGGATATATTTGATTATATTTAGAATAATTTATAGTTTTACCTGCCATAGCAAGACCACCAATCATCATTGCTCCTCCATAGCCTCCTTTGTCTTTCTTTTTACGCCCTTAATAAAATCACCAAAAATCATACTAAAATATTTCGTACTAAAAATAATAAAATAAAAGCCATTTAATAAAGATTACCTTGAATAGCATCACCAGGAATAGTTAATTTAATGCTTCGAGAGGACAAAAAATCATTAAACTTTTGATCTAATTTCTCATCTAAACTCAAGGCTGTATTGTTTTTATCATTGTCAATATTTAAAGATTTACTTTCAATCACAGCTTTATCCTTAGCAATAGACACGTAATCATTGATAACAAAAACAGAATCATCCTTGATAGCTCGATCTAAGACATCAATTGCCTTTTGTTTGAGGCAATCGAATGTGTTTTTTTCTTTGGTACATCTTTCAAAAAACTTTATATAATCCGCTTGATTGCCAGCCACAAACAAGACCAGGTAGATGCTCACTAATTTTAAAATCATCCCTCTTTGTTAGTTTACACCACTGCCTGGTATCCCGATCAAGAGTTCGCGTTAACTAAGCATACCACGCTCGTTTCCACAGTCTTTTATACCTGATATTAGCCAAGGTGTTTTTTCCACCACCTTTCTTGTCGATGGCAATGAAACAATGCGGTTTAGCGCGTCTGATGACGATGTCGGCCCTGTTTAAGTTTTTCTCCGGGTACACGCGCTGTTTAACGCCCCGGCAAGAACACATCTGAACCAAAACAATGTCGTACAGACTTTCGAGCAAGTATCCCTCTGACCCCCTTGCTAAACGATCCTCGAATGTTGCCTCATTCGCGCGGTCTACAAGTGATCGTTTTTGGAACACCATGAGGAAGTCGAGCGAATCCAAGTGGTAGTATCTTAATGATGTTTGCATGTCATTAATGTTTATTGCATTTACACTCATTGATGCCAATTGTGAAAATTATTACTAGAACTGTACTTTTATGATCAGTTCTGAGACTTACACCAATCAATAGCTACTACATGATTATGTACTTGTAGTGTTGCTTGGAATGAACCACTTCCTGGATACAATTGCCTTAGGTGTGAGTAACACAACTATTTGCTGGACAGGCGACTGTGTATGTAGAACAGTTAGATGACCGGAAGAAGCTGCTTGAGCGAAAGCAGGATCTTTTCAATCTAAATCGCGAGTTCAAGGATGCTGGAGCGTGAAATCGACAGTGAAGAGAATGTTTATTCCTGAAGAATTCCTAGGGAAGTAATAATATCAATAAATTTATTAGATATTTCACTTTTTTGCTCATCAAGCAAAGTTACTCATGATGTGGTGAATTGATTCAAACTGGTTATTAGCCCAATTTCCGCACGACATCTTTTTTTATTATTAAGCTTTTAAATTTCTCGAAACATTTCTATTAAATTATACATTTAAACGTTGTTTAATATTTAGGGTACAGTGTACAATAAAATTTTTAGAGTCGAAAGATCATTCTAGACACGTGAAGAATGTAAAAATAAGCAGAGAAACTATCATCTAAATTTATCAACTTTTTCCATAAGAGGATCAACTTTATAAGCTTGAAGACTTATTCCATGATATATACAATAATTTATATTAGATCTAATTGCTTATCATGTAATTAAATGAAAATTCTTTTATCTACAAATGTTTTAATTTAATAAAATGAATGAACCATTAATTCTAAATCAATTAGCCCCCCTCGAATTACTCTTTAAATGCTGGGAATGGATATATTTCATAAAACAGTTGATCATAAAAAAATTGTTAAAATAAAATATTCATGTGAAATTTGAATGAAATATTAATCTCAACAAAGATTCATTTGCTGCAGCAATTATTATTCATCTAATTATATAAAGAAAGGATTTATGGAAATAATTATTTCATTCGAATTCAGGTTAATTGCAACAATTTCTTATAATGCATTCAATTCTTTGTATTCCTTATAGGTATGATATTTTTCTATTTATTCATTCAATTATTCAGTAAAAAAAATATACCATTATTTTCGTATCTGTATAATTATTTAAAAATTATTTATATCTACAATAAACATAGTCAACAGTTACTTTAGTATAAAAATTTACAAATATGTTAGTCTCGACTCCAAACAAAATTTTTACTGTTCTTATGACTATTTTCCTCTTTCTTTCCATCACTAGAATCATAAACATCAACAATTTCTCTGATAACGTGCTGATTATATACTCCTATATCTTTTGCAATATTCCTGTAAGGTCTATAAGGATGATGATGCTCATGAATAGCATTGTAATCATGTCCATAGTGATGGTTGAATCCATAATCATTGAATCCATGAGAAAATCCTGGTGGTATGCCTTGAGGAATTCCTCCATAGTTAGGTGAAGAAATGAATGCATTCCACCCAAGAAGACCACTGAGTAATAAAGCAATTTTAGTGAGAAACAATGCTTTTTTTGTTATCACCAACAATACTCCAAAGACTAAAGGGATAAGGGAAGACAAGCTGAATTTAAGTCCAAGAAGAAAAGGGAGCACCAAGTTCTTGACAAGCATTCTTCCTGGAAGAAAAAAAAATAATTGATAAAGACAAAAAGAACAAGTCAATGGCCTTGACTTTGCTGCCAGCTTGTGTTAAACTCTCCAAGTTTTTAGACCTTGAACTCTTTGGAAGATATCAAGGTGTTTAACTTCCATAGTATCGACTGAGCTAGACGTTTCAAAATTCTTCCTGTAGATGAGGTTGAGTAAAAAATGAGAAAGCAGTTTTTTTTTATTGATTTAATAATTGTTTAATAATTAATTTTTTTCTTAGCAAAAAAATTCACTAACTAATTTCTGAATAAAAAAATATTTATTTCTTTAATAAATTGATGTATTTCTTACCAGGTCCTAATTGTCTATTTGTGAATGTAGGATTTCGTTCATCAACAATAAACTCCAACATTCCATTGCCATTCAATGCAGGACCAACTCTCATTTGTAAACCAGGATATAAATTACTGAGGTCCCATTTTAAGTTCCTTCTCTCCATTAATCGTGCTGCCGCTTTGATGACATTTTTAAAATCTTTTGGATCATAGTCAAGATCTAGTAAATCACGAGCTTGGGTCTCCGACCTTTCCAACTTGACCTCACCAAAGTCTAAACTATCTTTCTCATTCATTGATCTTAAAATAGTTAAACTGCCTTCATTAACACACTCAAAAGTCTCATGAACTTTTTTAGCAAGACACTGAGCAAATGCTTCAGAGAAACTAATAACATTTTCTTCGTCAGATTGATTAAATGTTTTATTTTTATCGTTAAATTCCATTATCACTGCAATTCCTGTTGATATGCAAATAAGTAAAAGAAAATCTCGAAAATAATGTCTCATATTTATTTACGAGATTAGAAAAGTCTTGTCGATTGTTAAATTCATACTAGCAACCCTCGAGCTTGAACAAGATACCTATATAGCCTCGGTTTTTACACACGAGAGAACAATCGGTTTCACTTGGAAGATCTTTTATCATCGGCGAAAGTAACATATACATAAAAAGTCTTTTGTTTGAATTGGACCAATCCACTCTCATCATTTGATACACCGGATGCACCCGATGGCGAACTGGACAGTTTCCTGGGTTTCCTTCAGCCATAAGTCTCGATTAGTTTCGCCAAGAAGCTAGCAGTCTGCTAGTTAAAAATTTACTTTTTCGTACGTTTTAAGCATAAAAAAATATAATTAAAAAAAAATCAAGCATCTAGCCAAAAATAGTTAGGGTATGATCTTTAAGATATTATTACATAATTAAATGTTAATTGCAACAATTATTCTATAATTGTATTTATTAATCATCATTTTTACAAATCATAATTGTTCCATTCATATCAATGTGTATTAAATAAAAAAATAATTAACAATTTAAATAAAAATTATATTTATTTATAAATAACAAATATATAAGTTACATAGTGATCCGATCAAGTTTAATCGGTATAAATAATTAATCATTGGGTGAAATAGTGAAGTGTGCAAGAATCTGACTAAGAGTCACTTAGTAATCAAAAAAGAGTCAAAATATTTGTTGTCTAAGGACTCGAAGGGATACCATGCACGATTGATTGAGCGAAGATTATCCAGATGTCGATCTTTGGTAATTAATCGGAGCACTTAGTCTTGTTTCTCGTGTCGTACTTGTCACTGTCACGTTGATATAATTGTCAGTCTCTAAAAGTTTCTATTACACGTCTCTATGAAAAATAAATATTCAGTGGAAAAAAATAAAGTAAGAGTCGTAGGTGATAATTTATACCGATTAATCGACATCTGTAATCTCTTGCTCGATCGACTTAATGCCACGGTGAGTGATACTGAAGTTGAGCGTTAATATAACGTTTTTAAAATCTCTTCATCTTCTCTCATAAATCTCATTCTCTCTCTTTTTTCTAACGTTAATTTATCTTCAACGATGGATGATGTGTTTAGTTAGCTGGTTTGTACGCGCTGTAAGCAAGTTCAGAACCTGAAGCTGACCTTGCCCAGCCGTGATGTTCATCATGGTGGCCAACAGGATGAGCAACGACCTCGTAGCTTTGAGCTCCCTTATTAGCCCAGAGTTTTTGGAAAGCCAAAATGGCTGAGATGATAAGTGCGATTTTACCAATCACCAGAGCCTTGAAGGCTAATAAGGCAAGAGCACCAAGGATGATAGGAACTATGATGGCAGCTTTCAATTTGAGAAGAAGAAGAATTGGTCCTAAGAATTTCATTACTTTCTTCTTTTTACCACGAGCTGTAAAATCATAAAAGTATTTGAAATTATAATTTACTTCATTTTTTACAGAGAAACGAATTTAATTTTGTTTTTAACTGAAACAATTGATATTTATGAGTATAAATTTACCTTCATCGAGAGATCGAGAAACTTCTTCAGGAAGACTAATTTCAACGGTGTGGGTTGACAAGAATTTGCCAGCTCTATCAACGAGTGCTTCATCAACAGCAGCTTCGCGAGCTTCAGATTCGGCAGGTAAAGTAGCTTCGATGTCATTTAATGACCTAGCATTGTCAGCACGGCTGTAATTATATCAGAATATTTAATAAGATGATTACTCAACAGATAATGAATTATTTTTTAATATAATGCAATGTTTAAATGAAAGTAAACTTTATCAAACACTTGCTGGATTTTTTTCATTCATTATTGTGATAGTCCACATCTTTAAAAAAATGTTTCACGTACCACCAATTACGTGATCTTTGTTTTGGGCTTTTAAAGTAAAAGTAAAATAAACTTAAGGTCACGCACAGTTATCACTGAATTCACTTTCAACATATCTTACCTTCTTTTAGCTTCTTCAGTTTGGACGATTTTAAGTCCATCAACGATGCTAATATCTGCCGATCTTGCAGCACGATCGACAAAACGTAGTGCTTTGAGTTTAAGACAAACTGAAAGATCGGGTTCAGCGGAGCACGAAGCGTAAATATCAAAAGCATCCTCGAGGAATGATTTTGGCTCAGTTGCTTCTTGTGTAGGTGCAGCAATGGCCACAGCACCGAATGCTAATGCAATAATTGCCACGAGTTTCAGCATCTTCGATTTTTATCCTTAAATTCAGAACTTCACTTAAAAAAAATCCGGAAGTATAGAGACGTGTGTCAATGGAAGTATTTCACGACTTTTTTTTATTCGCAACTCCTTGACCGACGCCGATCGTATCGACACTGACCGAAAGAATCACGATGCTGCCTTTTATCCTCATCGCGAAAGAGGTCCGTGTACGTTTTTGAAATTTTGATGGCCCCCACTTTGTGGTCCACTGTTGGACTGTAGCCGTTACTGCCCCTGTCCACCAAAGTGTTTTCATCTCCCCGCACTCTTCAGCCCGGTAACTTAATGTATGGCTCAAGCACTGTCCTCGTACACCCTCCTCTTTCTTCATCACTAAACCGATCACCATCGAAACTGTCGTCAAATCGCTCATCTCTTCGTCAGCACGTGTGTAAAAGATGTCCCGCCCTTCCACTACTACACCTACTAATCCAACGTGTCTTTGGTATTCACACATTATCATCAATGTTTTCTAAGCACACACATGCCCCATACTTTTTTTCCTCCTAACGCCGTGCTAAGAATGGGCGGTACATCGAAATCTACATACAACACCGTATTAAAAGATACGCAATGGTGTACGCTATTTAGTCAGCAAATTATTTAAAAAAATCCTGTTTTTTGATTATGACTGTAAATTAATGATTGATGGAAATGTGACTTTGGGTAAAAATGTTGAAATTTTACAGTTAGAGAGAATCCAAAAAGCAAAGAGATGAGAGACCGGGCGTGGGCAACCATAAAATTGTGTCGCCTCGTATGCCCGATGGCTATAGGACCGGCGTTCCTATGAATAAATTATTATTTATCTTAAATTTTACGTGAGAACTGGAACTTTGAGGGGAAAAAATTCCCCCCTTCATGTATGTCCTCAAAAAATTAATTTTTTTTGAATATTTCACTCATCAGATTGCTCTTCAAGTTGACCTGTAATTCAAGCTTGACCTCTATAGATTTCTCACGATTTTAATGAAGCTTCTATCTGCTACACTTTCTTCAGTTTCGTGAAATTAGCCAGCATAGTGGTGAGAATATTCAATAGCTCCAAAGAAATTAGTAAGTATCAATAGAAGTTAATTGATGCTATTTGAAGTCAAAGCCTTAGGGACGTTTAACGGTTTTTATGGAATGCACGAGTGAGTTGGGATCGCGCCAGACCTCCTCGGAGAAGACGGCCGCACCTCCCGTTGACCCCGAACCGAGGCTCTTGCCTAGAGCGAGAAAGATGCCAAAAGATCGAGAGAGAAAAGGAGAAAAGGAGGGAAACTAAAAATAAAAAAATCACCACGAAAAAAAGAGACTTTGCTGATTCTTATGAGCAAGAAAAGAGCGCAGATGAGCGACAGACTTTCTCCGCTTCTGCCCAATCATCTCATATACCTGCCATGACAACCAAACGATCAGGTCAATTCCAAACTCTCGAGACTGCGAGGCGAAACACTCGATTATTTTTTATTCCATCAAAAAACTATCCTCTCAAATGATTCATGAATGAAACTGTTATATAGTTGTAACTTTCAATTATTTGTAATTTCAAGAAATCGTCGGTAATATAAAACAATATTTTCTTAGAATTTTTTTGTTTAAATAGATAAGGATAAGTGTCTTTTAAAAAATTATTAACATCTAGTCGTAAATTGAAAAGAAAAAGTTGACATGAATTGAGTAAACACAGTTATAATGTCTACCTTTATGTCTATAGTTGTAGACTAATGAGAAAACGTTAATGAAAAAAAACAATAAGTCTAGCTAAACAGATAAATCAAGTTATAGTCAAAGATAAACTAAAAGGATTAAACAATTAATATCTCTCAAATTTATATTTAAAAATTTTTTACAATGGCAAAGAGTCATAAAAAAAAGTTAAAAATTAAAATAAAGAAAAAAAAAGAGAATAAAACCTGTAGCGCATATTGGAATATTCACTTGGAACACCTGAGAAAAAACGGTTCAACTTTCTCCTCAAGTGAAGGAGGACCTAAATCTCCCTTGCAGTCTTCGATTTTTAAATCAGTATCCTGATGATCGCATAACTTTGTAACTCAATTTTACATTTACATATGATGGTTCCAAGCATGAAAACTTGTGTAAAAACTTGATGATGACAATATTATATAGATTAGATACAATTGAAAAATAACGAGGCATGAAGGATCAAGAGCATTGCATGAAGCAAGTACACGAACGAGTAGCATAATGGAACACTTTCCTCTCCCCGACGCTGGTGAGAGTGAACTCGCTGAAAGATCGAGGTCAGGTCAAGGCCCCCGTTCAAGCGCGCAGACTCAATCGTCGTGTGCAACCGCGCATTATGCTTATTGTCATTATATCTCTTTTTTTTCATCATTATCACCTTTCGCTCTACTTTATCCGTATTTTCCATTTATTTATCACCTTTTTTCTTAACTTTCTAGTCTTAAAAACTTCTTCTTTGGGTTTATATTCTTATAACAGCATAATTCTTATCTTTATTAAGAAAAGGTAAAGTGGTAAAAGGCAGAAATGAACAGACAATTAAAGTATTTTGATAGTCAGACGATGGTAATAAGTAGGTGAAGTAAGAGACATTAGAGACCACCAGGCGTCATTTAGGTTGCAAGGAAACGTCCATTTCTCCTTTTCTACTTGCGTAGAGAGTGTTAGTCTCTCTTTAACTTAAACAACACTATGGGACGTACCAATGATCGACTGTCAAGTCCGCGCGGATGCTGGCCTGTACGGCCTGGTTTACTTCCTCGTACGTGAGCACAAGTTACACGCACGTTGATAGGCTCAATGTATTGAACAGGAATGACGAGGAGAGCGTGCGTAAGGTGCGTGAACTGAGTTTCGTTGCTTTGCGATGCCTTATGTAGGTAAAACTACCAGACGTTTGCTCAGCAAAACCGATCAAGATGAAAAGAGGCTTCTACGCTACTCTGGTGGCCTGCATCAGACATGATCGGACTTTGATATCCGGGTGAAAAGCTCTTGCATCGTCATCATCATCATTGAGATCTAAATGATACTATTTGAATATTTTTTTTAGTTATCTTTTAACGTACTTCTCTCTAATATTTCCATCTTTTTTAGTCTTGAAAACTTTCAACAAGCGATCATGCCCAAATCTCCGCTACACCGACTCGGTCAGGCTCCAATTATTTGTTTCCCCTTCTTACTCCAACCATCGACAGTCGTTTTATATCTCCATATGCTTTCCTCTGCTTCATGAAAGACTTGTTCACTTGATCACCTACTCCGTTAGCCCGAAGCAATGTATTTACCGCAATTTTTTCGCCTCACAGAATTTTAGTTTCACTCGGAAATTCACTTCCGGTTAAGATTTTCGTCCTTTTTTAGATTATAGTCTGAATTAGCTAATTAAGATTAAGTATTTGAAAATTAGGATTTTGTAAACAATGGTTTAAATAATTTTAATTACATCTGTCATGATTTATCTTATCATTTATTTATTAATAATTTATTAGTCTTGGTTTTATTTATTTCTATAAATATACATTCTTATTTTCTTGTGATTGCGTTAAAAACGCCAACTTAATTCCTACTTTGTGTTTAAATAAATACTGGATGATAACAATTGTGTAAATGACATTGAAAGTAGACAGACAGAAAGTAGAAAAGTTTAAATAAAATTTTAACATTATCAATCAAAAGCCATTAAATAATGATGAATAGTTGTGCTAATGATGTCTCCTTAATTATGATGACAGAAAAATGAATCACAGTGCGATGGACGGATTTGAATAAATTCGTCCAAGTTAATTAATGAAAGAAAAAAGATAAAGAAAAGATAAGACACTGATGAATGTTGATGTTGCTCATGAACTTCCTATTTAAGAGGAAGCTGGCTTGTAAGCAGAGTAAGCAAGATCTTGAGCTGATCTCGCCCATCCACTACCACCATGACCAACTTGAACAACCTCATGTCCATGCTCATGACCGGAAACAAGCTTCTTCAATCCAATTATTGTCGAAAGAACCAAAGCTAATTTACTTATAATAAGAGCTTTTCCAGCCAAAAGAGCAAGAGCACCCAAGGCTAAAGGTACTAGAGTTCCTCCAATAAGGAGAGGGATTGCCAAAAGTCCTCCCATGTTTTTCTTCTTCTTACCACGACCTGTTGAATCGATACCATTTAATTAATTACTATCTACTTGATGGTGCATGAAACACTTCAATTATAATTTTTATAATCACTTTGAAAATAATCAAATTAATTTATTATTAAATAAAGTTCATTAATTACCTTCTTCAGTAAGACTTCGTGATAATTCTTCAACGTTGGGAAGTTTCAGCTTCAAGGTATGACTCTGAAAGAACCGGACGATTTTATCAAAAATCATAGTGTTGAGAGCATCCTCTTTATCTTCAAGAGATCGTGGAAGTGAAGCTTCAATTTCTTGAGGAGTTTTAGGAGCTTCTTCAAATTTATCCTGAGAGTTATCATCCTTGACAATCGTAACACCCTCAGCAATATTAAGCTGAGTACTCCTAGCGACTCGGTCCATGGAGGAGAGTAGTTTGAGTTTCAAACAAGCGCTAAGTTCATCTCCCGAACAATCCTTGTACACCTGATAGACCGAGCGTAGTTCTGCAAATATTCCATTACTTGACGATCGTCCCGTTTGTTCATCAATTGAATTGGTTTTAGAGTTAGACTCTGTCGACCTTGCAGTCGTTGCAACAACCAACAAAAGGAGATAAAAATAACGGTGGGCAATGTGTTTCATGTTTGCCTGTTAAATGATGAACATAAATTAGAAAATTCAATATTATTTATCAATATCGATGATAAAATTAATTTTCATAAAAGACCACACAAAGTTGGAACTTTCACGCGATTCAACTACTTAGGAATTCGATACAAGAGGCTATCAATAGTTAAATATCTATGTTGCCGTTATTATACCGTTGCCAACGATCTCCTCGCGACTGGATAAAATCAACTGACCACACATATATAAGACTAGGTCAATGTTAGAATAATGAATGTATGCCAAGTGGGTTATTAGATTTTCCGATAAATTTTATCATTTTTAAAATCTTATTTCAATTCAATACCACAATCAATTGTTTATCTCATAAACGATGAATACAAATATAAACACTACTTTCGGTTTTTAAAGTTGAATAAAATAAAAGATTATCCAACGTACGTTTATAAAAATGGTTTAACTCTTCAAATTCCGGTAGATTAAACGATGTTAGATGCGTTTTCTTCAAGAACACTCTACGTGGACTGTACGTAACGGAAGCCCTGCCCTAGCTCTATATATCTGGTCAGGTGTACACAGTCTTACCGTACTCGGGGATATTTCCCCCACCAAGTTTCGCAACCATTTTCATAGCAACATCAACACCGTAGAGCGGATTGCGCGTTTAAACGACAACAACCACTGAAGCGAGGTGAGACGAGACGGAGGACTAGGTTGCACCATCATCCCAGTCTCAATCTATCTTTATCTCTATGGCTATTGCAGCTTCTTCTTACACATCTACTCGCCCCCAAGTTTGAGTAAGACAGCCAAACACAGCTTCTTTGCCTTCTTTGTCGCCCCCTCATCTAACTAGATTGCATTTCTTCCGCCAAGTCTTCTTTTTTCTCCAACGTCTTGATGATCTTTTGCCTTTTCCTTTTTCATTCTCATGCTGATTTCATTTTATTATATCTTGCATTGAGTTCTATTGTAGGCATACACATATGTGTGATATGCTTAAATGAAAGAAGAAAATTAGATGAATAATAAAGAAGTCTTAAACAATAAATGTGTGTTTACGTCAAAGCTTTCTAAGATTAAAAGGTAATGGCACTCGAAAAAGTAGTCTCCGGATTCTAGTTCATTATAATTTATAGATCTAGTTTATTTGCAATTATAAGAGTGAAGGATTTTATTATGATTTGTTTGAAAATTTAGTTGGAAGCTGAAGAAAACCGATAATGTCATTAAAATATAACTGAAAAATTAATTGTCAATAAATGTACTGTAATTTATTCCATGCTAATAAATAATAATTATTTTTATCTGATGAAAAAATGAAGAAATCATGAAAATTAAGTTTTATTTTCATGAAAGTATTTTAATAATTATATTTACAAAAATAAATTATTTTATTACCCTAATTATTGCCAGTTTTTTTCAACGAGTAAAATGAATTATATACATTAATTAAGATTTAAATAGTAATTATTATTCTTTAGTAATTTATATGATAAAAAATTTAACCTTGCTCTTGGCATCGAGCTTCTCTTTCATGATTCCACTTTGCCTAAGGATGCAGGGAGAACTAGGTCATACCAAGTGAAAACCATGGGTACACGTGGATATACCGTATATCAGATGGAAAATAAAAAACAACAAGAAAAGAGAGATTAATATGACCTTCTGTTATAATTTTGATTCCCTTTCTTATTCCATCATTTTTGCCAGTCTATTTCTATCCTGACCGGATAGGAACTTAAGTGGAAACAGCGTTACCGATTTCACGTACGTGCTGTGAAAATGATCTTCGCAGGCGGCGAAAGCGAGGATTCGAGATAGACGCAGCTCTACTTCCGGTTCGAAGTCTCGGTCATGATCGTCCAACTGTGAAGCTGTTGAATACAATATTAGTTAATTGCACTTCTATGACTGGACAATACTTTGATATCCAAACATTCGAATACAATTTTTGAAGGTTCAGTTATATTTTTTATGCTATGCTTCGTCATCCAGGCCGATGAATAACACACTCAATTTTGTCCCGTTTTCTTTAATCCCAATCTCGAGCAAAAGTATACATGACCAGTCGTGTGAATCGGACAATACTTTATTGATGTTGTTCAGTAATTACTATTCTAAACGTTGACTATGTTTAATAGTTATTGACCATGAATCATTCACGATAGAAAGGGTGATTCCTTTCAAGTATAATATCATAATCATAACTTTTGAAGTAATTTGTTAGCAACGTAATTCTTCAAGATTTATTATAACTTTTCATTCTAATTGATTTTTATTGAAAAATACTCATTATTTATTTGTTTAAAGTGAAGGTGAACAAAAAATATAAAGCTGTTGATTGATAGACGATAAATTTCATAAAAAGAAGATCTTGGATCAATTAATTTCATGAATGAAATTACTCTAGACTTTGAAAGTATCTGATTGTGTATTTATCGATAGCTTTCTCCGACTATAAGACTTAATGCAGCTAATTTTATTCTCTTTTTTTTCATGTTTAAATCTTCTAACAAGATTTGCAGGATTCTCATAATTTTCACCTGCTATCAGGTTATTTAGCTAATGTTGATGATGACGATGTTTGCGCTAAATAATCACGAAAGAGATATCGATGGGATTAAAAAGTGTGTCACTTTGTACATCAGAGAACATGTGGCCTCATAGCATAAGAACAAGTCATGATACATACTCATTTTCTCGCGTTGGAGCTTGCCTTTTTAAAAACAAATCCTATCATTAATTCTTAAACTTTATAATTCCATCAAATATACATCTTTATTACATAATTTGTTGTTGTCAATCAGCTATTCATCTGCCATGAAATTAGTCTTATGATGGTAATTTAATAAATTTCTATCATTACTTTAATTAAAAATAAACTCAATTTATTGTTTTTTAACATTTTATTATAAAAAAAGTGTGAATAAATACCGTGGGAAATTTCATGGGATAAATAATAATTTGGTTGTCTGTTTTTCTAGATAAAAGTTTCACCAAAAAACAAGCGAGAACCGCTATAAAATACAGAACAACATTGCATAACGGTAAAAGACACTATCTAACATAAAACTTGATTCAGTTCTTATATATAACATATATTGAATATATTGATTATGTGTACATGTATGTAGTATTTATGGTTAAACGATTTTCACCTAGATATTTTAAAGATAATACAGAATCATTTATTTCAAATTACATCCCCTATCATTATGAATAAACAGATATTTATCCTCAATGTTAGCTGAGGAAAACCACAATTGAAATTGGTGATAAATAAGCGTTTTACAAAAAAATAGCATGTTCTGAATACTAGGGTAATGAGATAAATATTGATAATTATTCATTTTTATTAACATTACAATGTATTGTAGTTAATTCATTAATTATTTATTATAGTATTGTCTTCGTCATTTTTTACTTGCGTTTTCTTTGGAATTCATGCGTCAGTTTTTTTGTCTACAAAAATATGTCGTCAAAGACAGTCACAATAATGTACAGTCGAGTAAGTACAACAGTAACAATTACAAATATGAATAAATATATAAATAAAAAGAAGTATTGTATAAAATGATAATTGATTGAATGTGATCAATTGTCAAACATAAATACAATTAATTTAAAAATAATAAATTACATTCGTCTTCAGTGAAATACCGACGAGTATTTGGAGGTACTGGTGATTGCAGAATAAATGAAAAGGGAAACAAATGATGAAAATCGTGCAATCGAGTCAAACATTGTCATGTAAAGGAAAACAAAGAGTAATGAGGAATAATATAAGAAATCAGGTCACTACATTTGAATAATTTTAAACTAGGAATTAATACTTTTTACACGAAGTATTCTAAATAAGCATAAAGATAAAAAAATGATGAAAATGAAAGAAAAGTAAGAAACACAGAAGAAAAATAACAAAAGAAAAGAAGGTAAAGAGAACAAAATTGAGATTGAAATAGTTGGAGTGACATCAGAGATCATTTAGGCCTATACAGCAGGCATTTGTCCGCTGTAAGCAAGTTGTTGAGCATGTTGTTGGAAGTCTTGAGGCAAGCTTCTGGACCAACCATGACCACTTGATCCTCCAGCGGCACTGTATCCACCTCCAAAGTCTCCACCACTAAAGCCGCCATGACCACCATCATCGTGGCTCACATGACTGCTGCTGCTGCTGCTATGATGTGGGTGAGCAACTACTTCATAAGTTACGTGCTTTTGTTGGCCAAGTAGTTTCTTCAGTCCAATAATAGTTGAGATCACCAGAGCTATTTTACCGATCAGAAGAGCTTTACCGGCGATTAAAGCAATTGTTCCTAAAGCTATGGGAAGGAGTGCTGCAGCTTTTAGCGCCATGGCCATCATAAGAGGTCCAATTAATTTTTGAGTCTTCTCTAAAATCAAATAAGTTAGTAGAATTAATTTAACTTCTATATTTATTATCGCTTGATTTTATTTATTCATGAATAATACAGGTATGAAATCACTCGTGATTATGGAAATTCGAATTAAATATTATTTGATAATTTGATAACTGTAATTAAAAGAAAGCTATTAAAATTACTGAAAAATAGATTGACGATATTCATTTAAAGGGAAATGTGTTTAAAATGTTTCAGTTGGAGAAACAAATATTTCTCATGCTGTTAACAATTTAAATATATTCTACCATGAACTCAAATCAGTCTTGGTAAAATTTATTCATTGTTACAATGTAATACTCTGCAATGGAAAATTTAATTCAACTTCAAGACCTATGAAAATTTTTCATGTCGTTGAATTAAAACTGCAAGATCAGAGATTGTTTTGTTTATTATATGGTGCATCTATTGTGTTGCATAGCAATGATGTATAATTAGCATAAACACCAAATAGATACAAATCGAAGAATGTCAAGATAAAAATCACAAGTGCAATTTCTAGAATCAAATGTGGAATAGGTGAGTGTCAAGGCAAAGCCCAAGACAACCAGGAAAAGAAAGTATGTCAAAAATCCCGTCGCGCAGGATCTGATACTTCCTTCACGTTCACATCGCGGGGTCGAAGTTACCTCTCACCATCATCCATGAATCATGGACTTGTGATCGTGTAAGTCTCAAAAGGAAGCGGAACCAGTTCTTCAGTGGGTCAATGGCTGCTTGGGAATATCAGCATGAGTTTAATACCACCACCACTTATCATTCAAAGCAAGATATAAACATGGAGTTCTCAAAAGCCCAGACTTTGCTAAGTATAATCAACACAGGATGCAATGCATACTTTATTTATGGGCCTGGTGGATAATTATATAGATCTTATGATCTCACAGTTAATAAAAGACTTGTACCACTCTAAAGTTAACTGTGTGATTTTATTTTTAAAGACTCTTCAATATTATCCTGATAATTTTTAATGATCATAATCAAATTAGTGTTATATTACTCTAATTTTGAGCTGGTTATTCCCACGAAAAAATTTACAAGTGTGATTTTATCATAAATTCTTGTTTTTATTAGTCGTTTAATAGCGAAGATTAATCATCATGATTAATAGTTGTATTTTTAATTATTAAAGGTAAATTCTTATTTAAAACTGAAGAAATAAATAACTTACTCTTTTTACCACGCCCTTCGACAACACTATCACTCAATTCTTCCAAATTCCGTCCAGCAGATTCAACGACCCCAAGGATATCACTTCCTTTAAGATCAACTTTTATCGAATGGGTCTTCAAGAACCGGCTCAGACGATCGAATATGAGGGTGTCCACGTCTGATGAGTCAATTGATCTATCAGAAAAGAAACATTAGCATATAAAATGATGAAAACAAATAATTCATCATACCTAGGAGCTCCTTCTTCAGCTGTTGAGGTCTTGACAACAGTGATTCCCTCAGATAACGTAATATCCTCTTTATCGTTAAGCATTTTATCAACGAAAGTGAAAAACTTGTACTTGATACAATTGATAGATTCCTTTTTTAAACAATCGTTGTATATTGCTGCCATGAGATCATTGTCCCCTGATTTGTTATCAGTGGCAGGATGTGCAAGAACTACAGAGGCTATAATAGCCCACAGGATTGGCACAAACGTTTTCATTCTTATTTATTTATTAGTGTTGTGTATCACTTGAAAGTATTTTTAAATTAATTTGAATAAATAAACAAACAAACGTAACTTGAGAGGAGTTCTGCAGGCTCCTTGCAAACTCGAGCGCGAATAATACGTGACACAGGATAGCAGAGTTGTTGACTTGTATGTTGCATCTATAAGACGTTTGCTTTGCTTTTATACCAATACGGATGAGGGGATTCACATGGCGGTTCGGGGACTCTGCAGACTTGATGCCCCACTCGTGTTCTATCATCAGCACATGTATTTCTCATGTGGCTTTTGCCCCTCTCTCATCCCCATTTCTTTGCGACCTGGTCATCCCTCCGTCCCTCTCTTCGTTCACCTTCTCCAGTGAGAAACAAGAAGGTAACAAGATTACCGTCCTCGTGACCACGAGTAACTGAAGATGAACGGGAAAGGATAAAGAACTAAAGTCACGGCCTTCTTATTTTATATTAATATTTTGGCGAATAAAGAAGGTATGCCTTCAACGGTACCGGGAAAAGAAAAAAATGATATATGCGTAAAAAGTAACTTTGTTACTCCTGCACGCAAGAACTCTTATTTTGTCCTCAGCTTCATCTTTCCCCCTTGTCATCATCATTATCATCATTAAGATTATCATCTTTCTCTTCTGAAACCTGACAAGTTTGTAGACCTACTTCTTTAGTCCATTTAAAAAAGAAGGAAAGAAAATCAAAATGAAAGAATTAAACTTCTTTAAGAAAATTTGTTATCCTTTCTTATGAATTTCATAGCGATGAATTCTTTTTGAATTGAATGTTGTATGTAATAGTTTCTTTAAGTCTTTAAGTTTCTAAAACTAATCATTACGAATTTTCTATTCAGTAGCTATGACTTAGAAGTTAACGAATTCAAATTAAAATACTATAAATCACATACGATTTACTTATCAAATTAATATAAACTTTTCTAAAACTAGAATTTTATAATAATGGTGATCATTTAGTTAATGAGAATGATTATTTATTCGTACTAAAAGCTTGAGCAAATTTACTTGTCATTTGTATTTTGATGAACATCATTAACACATACAGAATAACTCTTTCTTTAACTTCGAATAAATAATTTTAACGTAAGATGTCAAACATTTATGCTAATCATGCTAAATAAATAAAGATAAACAATAGAAATCCAGATAATTGAAGTGTTGAAACCAGTAAACTAATTAGTTGTAACTCTGGAAATTAAAGATAACAACCATTGGAACACATAAAGATTAAAATCTTTTACTATACTCTATTATTAGCGAATCTGATGAACATTCCATCAACATAAATCATCGTAGTTTATTTGAACCTCTTATTTAAAATGAGAACAACATGGTAGCACTCCAATAAAATTTTCAATCTAGCTAATTGGATGAGTGAACGTATAATGGTTTCTTGATTTTTTTGTTAAAGTGCTAGTCATTACCAATGAAAAAATAATAATAATCATATTATTTTATAATTTAAATTTCTAATTCTTTCAAAAGGCAAGAAAATAATAAATGATAATTTGTCATAATTAATAAAATTGATTCCCTTTACATCATGATAAATAACTCACTAGAAATTGTAAAAAATTTCATAATATTATTGACATGAAAACATGAGTGAAAGATCGTTTGACTTGTTTAAATCACCACTTATGTATTAAGTTTGAAATAAAAAATGGTACATAATATTAATATTTAATAATGTGTTGAGAGCAATAATTTTATAATAATAAAGTATTGAGTAATGAAAATTTTAATAAAAGAGAATTAAAAATATCCGCTATCTTATTATTATTATCTCAATCTTATCGAGAGCATTTGCAGTAAAGAATCAACTATAATATCCTCAGTACTGCAAAAATGTTAATACTAGTGTTTAAACATAAAATGAAAATAAACACATGTAATTTAAAATAGAACTATTTCAGGAAAAAATCAAGAAATAGATCATACTTATTTGAAGCCTAATAAATATTATTTAACAATTTATAGTAATTATTTTTTATAAGAACAAATGATGGAAATAAGGACAGACAAGTTTGATTCTCAATAAGAATAGTAAAAATAATGTTACAAATAATTGTACGTTAAACTAATTATAGTCAATGTTCTTGATGACAAATGAGCCCATAAGTGTGAAGTCATTGATGTTCTTTTCCCCCCATCTATTATAACATGTACATGATTTTGACTTAAGCGTGATAAATTACTAGATTTCTTTGTCGGCACTTTCTAGAGTGCATTGTACAAACCATACGTGAACAGAATACAATTTTTATTCTTCATGAGTAATCATAAAATTTGTATGGTGATAGCATTTAAATTCAATTAGTAAACGAAATCTTTCTAAAGATATTATGAATGAATTCAAAATATTTAAAATAATCATCATTTCTTGAACAGTTATTTTCATTTATTACCATAAACCTCCTTTTTGCGAGGGTAAAAATCATTCTAATGAATACATAAGTCATAAAAATTCTTTTTACTATCATTAGAAGATGTTCTTCTACTCGTTTTGCTTGAATTAAACAGACTCTACCCTAAAAACCTTAGTGATCTCAATCCCGTTACTTAACTCATACTTTATCAACATTATAATCAATAATTGATCATTGTATCTCTTTGAACAAAAAAACAATTAACAAAAATAAATGTAATTTCTTTGTGTTTGCCGATGATTGGTGATTGATACGTATGATAGTAAAGCCCAAATGAATGGTTATAAAGCCAACATATTAAGTAGTCTCAGATATCTTTGATTTCTGGGTTATGAAGTCGATTTCACGAACAAGAATCATCTTCAGAGTATATTCGATGAATTGAATTGCAAAAGAAAGCGTGGACAATTTTCAATTGACCGCTTTGGACGGCCTCGAGAAAGGGAAATAATGGATTTTTAACAATATTAAAAGATCAATTAGTAATCACAAATTTTAGCGAAAAATTATCGAAATTCGGCAAATTTACTGAGAATCAAATAACCGGGCCACTTGGCCTTTTATAACTAGGTCGAGGGGCCATGATGGTTTTGCTCCTGATATATGTTCATTTCTTTCTTCTTATTATTTTGCTCTTACTTGCACTCAAATTTATTACTTGGTCTTTAGATCTTCTCGATCGAAATCAAAAAACCTCCGACCACGTGCTTGAGAAAACTTTGCTTCAGGCGAATCTCATACGCATCGAAAGTATTTGATTTTGCCAACGTTATTCGCTACCAACGTGCTACTTCCGGAGTATGTAATTTAATCGTAAAACCAACGTTTACTAGTAATTTATCTTTTTTTGTAGATTTTTTTGGCGTCAAAAGAGAAATTTTTTTTCCAAAAAGTGGATAGTCTTTTTGAAGTAATTCATGTGTGAAAATATGGCAGTAAGTTTTTTTTTAGCAATTCATATTAGATTACAAAAAAAAAAAATAATAAACAGACTGAAATTTGAAATTATAAAGATAATTTAAACTTTTACACAATACATTGATGAATTCATAAACAACAGTTATGTTGTAATAGAGGACTTATAGGATAAGTGGTTGATGGACTTGAAAGGGATAGTACAGTCTTGAGTATCAAGCAAATATAATGTCCAGGAGTTGTACGCATTGACGTTCAAAGCTTCACAAGACCAACACTCAGGGTTATTCTCAGCTATATAAGTAAAATCCACAGAATCAAAACCTTTGCATGATCATTCTACATCATTAAAGTTTAAGTAAATATTAATAATTTTTATTATTTAATGATAAAATTTTCTCATGATCAATACAGCTCTGGCCAGTATAATTGATTTTGGGGATGATTTTTTATATTAAAGTAGCAATATCAAAATCGCTCATTAATGTTTTTAATAGAAACTCATTGCTAATTAAACACGTGTGACCCTTTAAATTGAGATCATGTAAGTTTTGGTCGTATAAGAATCACAGGAAAATAACGGTGAGTTAAGACGATTGTTTTGAAAACTAAGGAAATATATTCTCTTTAGTGATGTACCTTCTAAACTCTCAGCCATCAACGTCAATCATTGTCATGTAGACATAACTACAGAAAATGCACTAGAAAACATAATAAATAGTTGACTTTTAGTTTACATAATGCATCTTATCCATTGAAAGGTATCAATAACAGCTGAATATTTAATGCGGTGAACAATCAAATTCGGTCATGTTCACTAGAAACTATAATTTTTTTATTTCGCTATTAAATTAACACATTTTATAGAAATATGTAAATACTAAAAATACATTTTTTACGTTTTCGTGATATTAATTAAATATAAAATAAGATTTAATTTTGTTGTAATTCATTGGCAAATTATATAACAGAGAAATAAATGTTGAAGTAACAATAAAATCCCGTAATAATTATACACAGAATAAAAGACAAAAAAGGTGTAGAAAATATCTGAAGAAATAATAAAAATGTAGCAGAAATGATTAGTGAGTCGATGAGAAATGGTGTGTCTGTGTCATCGCCGCAAACGAAAGTCCTTGCTTTTGCTTTCGATCTAGTTAGACTTTTTTTTATCTCTTTTTAACTCGCGAACTTCAATCTCATAGCCTTTTACGTTCTTTTAGTTCTTGTTCCTTTTAGTCATCACGATACTTATACACACAGAACATAGAAGAGATAGAGATAGTTCCGGAAGAGAATGTAACGAAGCGTGAAAATTACGCGCAATCTCGCTCTCGAATAAACTTGACCACTCGTTTAACATTTTGATTTATCATCAATTTATTTATTCTTGCTAAAGTGAATTAGACTACTTATCTTGATTAGTAGATATAAAATATTTATGTCAATCATTTTGATGAATTTTTTTGCTTTTGTTTTTAGCAGACCGAATCAAATTATGCTTGTTATGATGAAAACAAGATTTTTTAATAATTCTTTTGCTTTTGATAACAATTGTGTTTTTTTAGAAAAATAATCACTTAAACATTTAAATATCATTTATTTAATCATCATTGTTTTTATTGTTTTTACACTTCAAAAACAATTTTATTATAAAATAGAAATAAAAATATTGGTAATTTTTTTTAATGATTTAGAAACTTTTTTATTCTTTATGCTTGAGTGGCATTGATTGTCAAGGAAGTGATGTCATTATCTTAAAATTTAGCACTTGGACCAAAAAGTAGGTTCGCTAAAAATGGTGGGGTGAATTTGTATGTGCGTTTATAGGTGAACACCTTTTAGCTGATTCACTTAACGCCTAAACTTGATTGACCTCCTTCACATATAAGCGTCGAATTCTTTTCTCAACAATTCACATTTTTTATCCTTCACAAATACTCTTTATGAATAAATAAATAAAAATGTGGTTGCATAAAAAATTATCAATCAATTAAGTTCAATAACCGTAATTTTATCATCTAGAAGTTAATATTAATATTTTCCTAATTAACTTTTTTTTCTTTACTAATTAACTTGTCATGTAAATGATATTCTTTTGAATAATAGAATTGAATACTTAAAAAAAAGATAAATGTTTTTTGTAGGTTTTAATTGTAAAAAAAATTTTCTAGTGAGTGAATTTTATTTTGATAAAAAAAAGTATTTTTTATTTTAAAAAAAAAGTTGATACAAAACACAGAAGTTACATTTTTTCTTATGATTAAGTATGTTTGAAAAACTTTGATTTATAAAAAATGACATTACTGATATTGAGGAAATTTGTAGACTAGCCTCTTGAGGTTAATTGACATATTATTTTGTACTATCAATTATACAAGAGACATAAAATGATACAATAATAATATAAACTGTTCATACATCAATCGCACATAAAAGTTAAATTAAATAAATTTGTGATGCAGATGATTAAGTTACAAAATTAGACATTGAGGATCTTTTATATACATAAAACCAGATCGTCAATAACAAATTGAACAATCATGGCACCAGTTTAAATAAAATAAATGTTGATAAATAAAATAAATATTTTGGAAGTCTCTACGAAGGCAAAACTTTGTCAAAGATCAACATTTCATTGATCCATTATCGTAGAGATGATAAATAAAAATAATATTAAATTTTTTAAAGATATTTGGCAGCTGTTATATCAAAATAATATTATTTTTCATTAATGATAACCAGTGAACTGTGTGTTTTGATTTGTGTAAGATGCTTCATCCCATCCTGGAGATCCAGCGGACCATCCGCCGCCATTGTTTGCTGGTGGTGCCCATCCAGCATTTGAGTTTGGTGCAGACCATCCACCAGCGTTGTATGGAGTTACACTACCACCATTGGACCACATGTTTTTAAGACCAATGAAGCCAGAAACTGCCAAGGAGATCAAAGAAACTAAGATTGCTTTTTTGGCAAGTAAAGCAATTCCGAAGAAGCCTAAGGTGGCGAGGAGACCAAGTTTAGCTTTGGCAGCTAATAGAAGAGGGATCACTTTCAAGAACTTCTTCTTTCCACGTCCTGGAAAAAAAATCATCATTAATATTTGAAAAAATTCATTAAAATGATAAACATTAAATTTTAGATTTTATTTTCACATTAATATTTAATCGGTAAAAATTAATTATTAAAAAACGTTTTAAGAGTTAGCAATGTAATTGTCTCTATTTTTGATCTACTTTAAATTATGTAATGTTTTTTACCTTCAACAACTTCATTGACAACATCATTAATTTCTTTTGGAACTGAATCAACAATAGTACGAGCAGTGTGGCCGATTTTTTCAATAGCTGGGGCGAAGTTAATCTGTAAAAATGATTCAAAAACTTTGTTAATTCACATTAAACATAAAAAAAAACCATTTAAAAAACTGATCTCAATTATTACTAATTCCAAACAAATATTTTTAAATGAAATGTTTTTTTTTGCAAAAAAGAAAAAAAGTTTATCCTCGAATAGAATATAAATTATTTGCACTCACTCTAAGACTACGTCCAGCCAGGAAGTTATTAACTTCTTCACCAACGAAATTTTCCAAAGCACTTTGTCTGTCAGTAATATCATTAGCAGCTTCAATTTCTTGATCATACATCACTTCTTTGCCGCTTTTGCTATTTCTGTTGGTATTCTTCACCAAGCTGACACCACCAATAAGTTCAATGTTGTCTTTATTAAAGAATTCCTTGGCTTTCCTATACAAGCTTCTTTGTATGCAAGAGATGCTATCTTGTTCCAGACACTCGTCAATATTCTGACCGCTGATGAGTACAAAAGCCATTGATAGGCACACAAAAGTCAAAAATGCCTTCATTTTCACACTGTTTTTTTGTACGATAAAAAAAACACGATAACAATAATTAAATATAATACCAGTGTGTCAGTGATGCTCGGATGCACTGTCTTTCACGTGGTCAAAATGGTATGGTCCATCCGACAGGCTCTTAAGCTTATATTTGGTGAGTCCCCCTCTTTGAACTCTTCTTTAAAACCCCCACCGCTTATTTTTTTCCACCTATTTGTGACCCATACGTGGCTGCGTGTCTTCCTTGTCGTTTGCTGGACGTATTAACCTGAGACCAAATGTATTCACCAATGAGGCGAACCACAGAACAAGGTGGGACGTTTCATGACCCAGCCATCAACGACAAATAGAAACCGCATTTTTCTGTCTTTTTCTACTTCTTTACCTCTTTTCGTTATTTGTTCTCATCAAATCCTATTTCTAACGGGTCTAAATAGATATCAGCAATTTTTTCTTACCTTATTCTCAATATGTCAAACAAATTCCATTTTTTTATATTTTATTATTATAATATTCACATGAATAAAAATTAGCTACATAATTCGACTGTAATATCTATCAATAGCAAATTTCGTTTCATCTTGATTAGAAATTTTTTTTCTGACCTTCTTCTTTCATCATTTACTTTTAGATGTTGAGCAAAATGAAAAGAAAAAGTCATCCTTTTTTTGGAAGTCATTATCAGTCACGACAGCGAAAAAAACGTGCGTCATAAAAAGTGAAAGTTACTAATGGAGTAACTATTCCAAGCACGAGTGTGAATATGTCACCTCGACAAGCTTCCAATGAAAATAAAAATTACTCGATCATAATAGAGAACACTTTTGTCTTCACATTCTTCTTCTTCTTTTTTTTGCTATGATACTTTGTGAAAAAAAATTTTAACTCGTTTTGTGGTAGAAGAGAAACCTCAAAAAAATTTTTTTCTTTTAATTTAGAAAACCTACAAGTAATTTCCAAGTATCTTAAGGAGTTTACTTTAATGGCTATAACGTGTAGTTGTTTTACCTTCTTCCGGTTAAACAAGAATTAACATTCCAAGTTAAGCAAAAGGAACGACATCGTTATGCATCACTCCTAATGATTGACCATCAAGATTGGCAAGTAGTGAAAGATTGATTTACACTATTAGTATTAAACCGGATACATTTGGAGTATTCTAGTGGATGAATGAATGAATTAAAAAGCACCAGTTTTGCGTGCGAGTGCGGTTCAAACATCCTGGATCCGACCTTCATTGCGCTACTTCTTACCACCACTTTCTACTCTGACCTGCGAAGACTCTCCCGGTTGCGTACCGGCTCTCTTCTCGATTTCGTTTCGTTTCTCGCCTTGAGAAAGGGCGGGTTCTGCAAAAATTTGAATGAAATCGATTCGTAAAAGTAAAACCAATCGCAAGTGATTTATTTTTTTCAATAGGTAACTTAAAAGTAATCTAGTAAAAACAACAAGAAAATCAAAAAATAATATTTCAATGCATAACCTTCTGTTCTCTTAAAATAATTATTTATTTTGAATAAAAATCAAGAAGAATAATTTGAAGCGAATAATTATGGAATTCAATGAATTAATAATATTTATAAATAATGAAATGATTTCATGTGAATAAAATAAAATTGAGAAATAATAATTTTTTTTTTTCAATTAGAATGATTAAATATTGAAAATTCTTTTTTTTTTTTTTTGTATAAATGAAGGATTAGTTGTGATGTTAAGAACGCAGGAATTTTATTAACAGGAATATTTGTTGAAAAAAAATCTTAGAATAATATGCAGCTCATCCCGTTATTTGTTGACTTTTCCAAGATTTTTAGCTCATTAAAGAAAATTATTCATTTTCGTCATAAAGGGCATTGAATTTTTCGGAAGCATTCTTTATAGAAAGTTCATCGAACTCGGTAAAGTTGACAGTGTAAAGAATGCCTTATCCTGAAGTAATAAACCGAGATAAATTATAGATACAATAAAGAATCTTTAATGTCCAGTTGGAATATAAGTATGACCCAAAAAATATTTTAACGCTAAGATCCCTCTAATGGTCGGTTTCATTTGAAATTCAAATATCTATCTAGGAATCTTGAAGAATTAGGAATGTAACGGATTTTTGTCTAAAAATTCCGAAAACTATCAATATTTTATTTGTCTAATGAATTTTATTTTCGTTCCGTTATATCTTGAAAAGAAAAAAATTAAAAATGAGGAAAACTACGAAAATGATGGAGATGAATGAAATAGAAAGTGAAATAATTAAAAGTCATTGCCTGATGAAATTAAATGGTAATTTGTTCAGATGATTTTGAATGACAAAGATGCAGCATTTATTCTGCAATTCTCAACAATCTGCATGCATGGAGGTATCTTTCGCGTCTGGCGTGCAGAACTGAAGCCTCCTCTTTTTATGATATTCGAAACGTAAAAAAGGAAACGAGTGAAATGTGTGTTAGTGGGTCTCGGTCTCTGTCAGGGATCTTGCTACAGAGAGAAGGCATGCTCAAGTGTTAGAAGTAGGGAGAAATACCTCTCTCTTCATGTATATTACTTATTCTTCAACTCGCACGATTTTCGATTGATTCCCAGAGTGATTATTGCCAGAGAAATTCGATGCTACAAGCAATATTTCATCATCTTCATTTTTCAGTTATTCATACTAAACTTATTTGCATGGCAAGCAACTGTTTTTACTTTGTAATTACTGAAATTAATGATTAATTAAATTAAACTATTTTCAATATGTTGGTTTGTTGTTAATAATTCTCTCAGATAAAAATTAGTTTTGTATTAACAGGCACATTGAGAAAAATATAAAGTTGCATTTACTATTATTAGTTCAGAAAGGACTATTTTCTGAAGAATGAAAAATTAACACAAGATTGTAAATCCAGCTATACAATTCAACTATTAATTTTTTTGAAGTATAATTATTTGTACAATAACGTAACAGAATTTTTAATTAGACTACATATTATTAAATAAATTATTGATTTAAACTGATTACATCCCCGAAACATTTTTTTCTTAAAAATATAATTACACAATACTGGAAAAAGTTATTTTCAAATCTTTTAATTCTAGTAATAATAGAAGATAAAATATAATACAAACACATGAACATAATTTTTTTTTCTATAAATAAAATTGGTTTATCAATGCATGACATTTTTTCATCACGATTGTAAAAAAGATATTATTATTATTACTACTATTGATGTAAATGTCAAACTATTACTTGCTTATCATAATGATTTTTTTCAATAAATCAATTATTCTAATCAATAAAAAAAATCACTAGTCTTGAGACAAATCAATTATGTGGCGTCTTCATTTAGTTTGAAATATTTATGTAAATTTATAATTAATCAACTTAGTTGATAGGTTCACTGTGGTAAATATTAGATCTAAACTCTTATTGAAATAATAAATTATCTTACTATAAAACAAGTTAAAAATGAAAAAAAATTTTTCACAAAGGTATGAGCTCGGAATATTTAAACATTTTTTCACACCTTTGTATATTTTATTGTTTTAGAGTTACTTGTAAAAAAAGTATCGAAAACACGGTAGTATTAATCACGAATTATTTATACGATGAGCAAAAAAAGGAGCTACCTGAAGTAATATTACATTAATTTTGTTGTAGATTGTATAGTTAAAAAAAAAAAAAATCTCAAGGTCATTGAATTGATTTCCTGGAAGCTAGTGGACCACTTCGTAGAGTCCACTCATATGTACACAGATGTAAAGCGCAACAGGTCGCTGACCCACTTTCTTTATTGGTCGATACACCTATTCTTCTCTCTCTTTTTCTATACCCTCTCATATTATATTCTCAGCTCAATCGACCTTTCACAAAACAGCAAGTCAAGTTCGAGGTAAGGCTGTTTCAAGCCAGTAGTAGTATTGAACTTGCTACAGACCACTACTTACGAATTGTTGCGAGAAATTGAATGCAAATATTCAACACTTTGTATACAAATTTTTTTATTTTATTTTTTATCAATATTACAAATCCGTCTTTCAGTCTGTCATGTAAATATAATAAATTAACATTTCCACGATAAATAAATAAGAATTGAACAGTTTATTATAAATAAAATTGTACAAAATCAGTTATCTTCGTCGCTTGTACGAATCATTCCAACCACGGTAAGGTGAACTTTCTGGTTCTATACTATATCTTCTACGACGATGATCTGAGTAACCTTCATGACCATGGTGCTTTTTTATTGTCATTAAAAGAGATAGCATCAAAGCCAGAGATGATGCAACTAACGCTTTCATAGCTAACAATCCTAGACCTATAATTTTCAAATCACATCTTTATTAATTTTTCTAATGACTACAATTTACTGGTCAACTTTTTAATTCACAAACAAACTTTTCATTTAAAGATTGTTATGTTGATTAAATGTTTTAAATAGTGTAGCTTGAAATCTAGGCTCTGTAACTTACCTAATAGTAAAGCAGTTAATAGTATGTTGCCACCACTTTTACCATGTAATGCTGATTTTCCACGACCTAAAATCAAGAATAAATAGAGTTATTGAATAAGTAATATTGAGGAAAAGGTAAAAACTTGTTTTAAAAACATGTAATGGTTTCTGATAAAATTGTAAAGTTAGATATATATATTTAAAACATAATGATAAAGTAACTGCCAGTATTAAAATAATACTATAGTAATTAATTTTGAATATATCTAATAAACAATAAAACTTTGACATGACTAATATTATAAATTTCATACCTGATTCTACAGCACTATCATTTGATGGTTTTTGGTTCGAAAAAAAATTATTTAATCTTATTCTATAATTTTTATTATTTAATAATTCCATAAAAGAAGATTTATTGAGAGTTTTTGATTCTTTAAGATCATCATGAAGACCGTCATCAGTCAAATCAATTCCATCAGTGCTTAATATATTTTGAAAGTCAATAATGTATTCTACCACTCGTTGAATTATTCTCTTGACCATTTTTAATCCAAGGCAAGCCACAGATGTATTATCAGTATCATCAAGTGCACAAGAATCAAACAAACTTCTCGATGATGATGAACTTTTTATTAATTCTTTTGGTTTTTGAATTGTATCGAGAGTTTGAGAGTTAGTTATTATCATTAATGTCACAACACTACACAAAAACAAATACATTTTGACTTATTTTAATTGCTGGATAAGGAGGATCAGTATTGATTGAATTTCTTAATAATAACTAATCTGATTTTGAACTTTTGTTGAGTTTATATAGAGTGCATCAATTTTTTTTGTGAAGATGTTCCGAATCATGGTGCATGAAAAACCTTTTAATTCTCTGAACTTTATATTTCCACATCAATGCTTCATAGCTTTTCAGTTTTTCATTTGACCTATCAAATTTTTTAGATGTTTTGTTTGAATAATTTGAGGCTCATCTCTAGAAGATCTAGAGCATTTCAAAAACGTTAAGTTAAAATAAAAAATCTTGACATTTTATTTGAAAATTAAAAAAGAATATATTTTTTTGATGAACTATAATTAAGAGCACAATTTACAAAAATGTTAAATTGTAAAAATAGAAGTTTAATAATTATATAACAGTTATTTATCTATATACATGAAATAATCTTTGTTCAATCTTTGATAACTTCACTTTGAAGGTTGACAATTTAATCAATTATCTCTTGAATTCAATTGTAATTCACTACCTGAAGGAATAAAATAATCGATATATCTATTACAGTCGAACAGGAAAATTTAGAAAACATTTTACCATTCAAGAGAAGTGACAGACTTATAAGTAGGACTATTAGGAGAATAAAATTGAGAAAACCATCTTCGAAATGCAGCAATACGCTTTTCTTCTTTTGTTAAAATAGGATTTTTCATAAATATTTTATGATTCCAAATAAAAATATCGCGCTCAAACATATTTCCCATTCCATAGAAGACGATTTTTGTGTATGGACTTAAGTAAAATGGTGAGTAAATAGTGTGAGTAATATGTTGAAGAAGTGGTTCTATTGGTGTTACTGTTTCAAGGATACAAATCGGACCAAATGCTGATTCAACATGTAATACCACGTATCCAGGACCAATTTGAGCACCATTAACATTTAAACGAAGGAAAGTAAATCTATTAAGTATCTTAATAGAATGAATGAGGTTGAATGTTGCTTGATGTTTCAAACTTTCTGTTGTCACATTTTTCTCATTTTTTATTCCAATCATATTCAAAGATTCCTGAGGTTCTGATGGAGATCTATTGGTTTCAGCAGCATCTTCATTTCGGAATTCTTTGGTGAAAAAATCATCACTTGATTTTGGAGGATTCCAACCTGTTCCATCCCACGCATGACGTATTAAATGCGAAGGAATAGCATCCATGAACATTGCTGGAACATGAACTGCATCTAGATGAGTCCAATCAGAGCCATTCTCAGGTACTTCCTAGATTTTTTACATGAAAAGAATTTATATCAGTTTTTCTCGTATGATAAATTTCATGAGCACATGAAGAAGATGATTTCTACTTTATCGGATGGTGAATAAAATTTCAAGACTATTCATAAATGATATCATGCTAGAAAGTTGCTCAATTTCATTTACAGCAGAGGCATCTTGACTTTTACTATTTTACTAAAATAAGATATAATGTTTTTGCCATAAAAATTGCGAATAAATTTTGTTTCAATATTTCATAAAAAAATATAATATATATAATAATTACTTATCTGTATTTATAAATTAGATTTTTTTATACTCACTTGAACATGACAGTTGACAATAAATTGATTTCGTCCTTGATAAATCCAATCTTCATTTTCAATTTGTGGAATTGGTTCGACTTGCCAGTCTGGATCCATTGACTCAGCATGATACCATACAAAAATGATTTTATTGACTTCTTGGCTGATCCAATGCTTCACTTGAAGTCCTGATAATGCTAAACGATTGAAAGTTGAAAATGTTAACAATTATAATACAAAAAATTATAATAATATATTTTATAACACTCCTAATTATTAAATATTAAGTCATAAACATGACAAAATCTGATTTTCTTATATTACTAGAATATTGATAAATTTATCTCCAATCTCGAGATCATAGTTACCTAAAATATCTACTGATGTATAAACACACTTTTCTTATATGAATAAATTATAATAATACAAAATTATTATCAATTCATATCAACTTTACTATAAATTTATGTAATCATTTTTTTAATGTTTTAATTGCTTATAAAAAAAATTTAAGCTACTTTTATGTTCTATAAAGATAATACCTAATTGTAACAACTTTTATTGATTAATATTAACCAATTAAATATAAATTACCTCGTGACGAATAAGGAATGTTTTGGCACCGTCCATCTCCAGTAAAAGTCCAACTATGAAAAGGACATTCAATGCATTCGCCTTTTACTTTGCCTCCCTTGGCAAAATTTGCTCCAAGATGAGGACAAAATGCGTCAATGACATTCACAACTCCTGTTTCAGTTCTATAATAAGCAAACAAAAATTCATTGAAAAATATTTACAATAATCCATATTATTGTGCTTTAAAAAAAAAAAGAATTCGAATCTACCTAAAAACTGCAAAATGTTCTCCAAGGGCTGTAACATATTTAACTTCACCCTTTGCTAGTTCGAAGCTCCGTAGAAGACCAAACCATCCATTTGGAAAAACTGGAGGTAATTCTTTTATCTTTCGTTTCAGGAAAGGTTTATTACCACGTTCATCGTCAACATTAAAATTCTAAACATTAACAATAATCAGTTGAAAATTTAAAAATTATTTTGTTTGATGAAATCATTGTTGATGCTTTTTTTGTTTGGTCTACTATACATCAAATATACTATTATTATTAAATATTTATTGTTTTTTTCAATGTTTCAGAAAAATTAACTCGTGAACTACTAAATTGGATATTACATTGCTTATTGTATATTGAATTTAAAAAAAAAAAAACGACTTACTTTATAGATATTTATTTTCCAAAAATAAAGATAATATAAAAAAAGTCCTAATATAATAGATATAAACCACTCAATCATTGTGAAGAAATTAATCAAAAATGCAAAGCATTTGTCTAATAAAGTACTGTTTCATGGACTGGAGAAAAGGTAGCGTATCGCTTAATTTATATAATGACGAGTAACTTAAGAGTGGTTCAAAGATAACAATATATATTAAAGTTTAACATGTAAGTATAGGTATGTCCTTCATTGATCTTGAAAAAAGTTCAGATTTATAAAAAAGTATTATATCAAATCATTCATTCTTGTTATTCTAATTATTGTCAAAGACATGAATTTTTATGTTTTAGAAAAAGAGAATGAAATGTTAGTTTGTATAATTATGGATGTATTTTTAATTTAAAATAATCACTTAAAAGTAATGAGTTAGATTTAAGAAAATGATTTATGTTTGCATGACTCTTTAGAGAAAAAATTACCTGAATTGATATTGTCTAAATCGTATCCTCGTTAGTTTCTTTATAAACTTGAACAGATAATTATTCAATAATTAAGCAAACATATGTTGGCTACTACATTTTTTTAATTCACCTTGCAGCTATGACAATCAATCATTATTGTATATCGATATTATAAATCATCATAAAATATTTGCAAATAGACCTCAATTGTTACTACCAGACGATTAAGTTCTACACTCTTTTCCTTCTATCATTTCATTGTTATCAATTTTTCTACTGGACACATTCTACAACCAAAAATTGATTATTGAGTAATCATATCAATTTTTAATCTGTTTACATCACTCTACAAAAAGGCTTCTTTAAGTGTTTTTGATAAGAATGATCTTTGATATTTCAAACACCTGTTTCTAATGATCTAAATGTATATGATGTATGTTATCAACTCGAAAAGAATTACCATGTGTCATTGATAGACTCTATAAAATGTGTTTTTTTTTATTTCATTTGAAATTAAACACATTATATTAATTACAAAAATATAACGGGAACATTTTTATTTTTATCGATATGACGATGAATGGAAAATACTTTGTTTTAAAATGAAATCCATTGAATCGATTTATTCTTGTAAATTTTTATCTATTGGTCTTTTTATTATTATTTGAGCGCCAAATAAACTTATCTTACAGATTATCTATCAGAATTATTACCTGATAAATTAATTCACTAAAAAATTTTTGATAAAAGTTATTACTTGAACATCTGTTCAGAATATTTTGATTGTGAATGATCTGTAAACTTATATATCACTTAATTTGATGATAAGATTAATCACATAATCACTAGGCAAATATAGAATAAACTAAATCGTCATTTTTACTTTGATAAAATGATTGAAAAATTATTCCAAGTATTTCAAAAATTATACAATCACTCTAGCATTTGACATAGATAAATCATACTCTAGTTTATAAATAGTTCAAACATATTTTAAAAGAAAGAAAGATGCTAATTAATTGAAGAAAGCTTTAGTCTTGCATAGAATTAGAATATTTAGCGTATTTTCGTATGTCAGCCAAGAAAAAGAGTTTTAATGGAAATTAGAAGTAATGAAGTAACGAAAGAACATGCGATGGAGGAGGAAAAACAAGCGAGAAAGCAAAGACTAAAAGAAAGATCGATACAAGAATCTAGTTCATCTCCGTATATGCCTTTCTCTTCTGTTCCACTTCGCTTGACTGCTGCGTAAACCCTCTTCAGCACACTATATACGCACTTTCAGCGGCAGGTATAACTAGAGCTAGTCTGGAAATTGTTGGGTCTTTTGTAACAATTCATTAGTTGACGATTGACCACTGTAAGCACCATCTTCTAATTTTGAACGTAGTATCATCAAAAATATTCTGATGAAACTACGTTATAAAATATTTTACGAAATAATATCATTAAATATAAATAATAGGACATTTTTTGAAGGAAATAAAGAAAATTAATTGATAAAAAAACTAAAAATTGTTTGAAAAGTTTTTTGTATAAATATGGATAGTTATTGTTGATTATTTATTTATGTATAATATTTCTTATTTGACAATGTAGACACAAATTAAAAAATATATACATTAGAAAGAAATAAAATTTTTGTATAAATATTTTGCGGTAAGGATAGAGAAAAAGAATCAAAAATAGAAAAACTTCACTACGTTATTCTATCGTAGGCATTTAAGAAATTCCAAGAAATTTAAAAGAATTTTGTGTCGAGTATTTTCCACGCATTTATTTAGGTCACGAAACGAAAAATCCTTCCAAATTGGGACAATAATAAAAAAATTCTGCAAAATTTTTCGCAAATGTATCTAGGTCAGGCCGTTGAGAAGAAACTTGAAACAATAACAAAACATTAAGGTAATAAATTTGTCAAAATAGATAACATCGCTACTTAAGTATTTCTCTTGAAAAATGTATCAAATCAGATAAATCTTTTTACATTCCCATTGACAACTATTTATTCAATGTACTCGTATAAAACGGGTACGTTCAATACTGTATATCAATTGTTTGAGTTCAATTTTTTTTTTTTTTTTTTAATAAACTTAAATTTAGTAAACATCTAAATTAGATAATATTATATTGTGATCAATCAATAATTAATAGGCATTGCATAATATTAGATTCATCTTATTTCTTTTCAAAAACTCATGGAACATTATTAGTTCAATTTTATGTAGATAAATGAGTAATAATAAAAAAATACTTTTCTTTTATTGAAACAAAAAATAATAACTTTTAATCGAAAGTAAGTGGATGAGAAAAATGATAATCTTATTGACATTAAATTATAAAAGAGAGAGTTTCTGATAAAGTGGGCGTGAGAAACAGAAAGTCGATATTTTTAGACAGAAGATAATTGGAAATTAATAATTAATATGGAGCGATATTCTTTTATATCTATGGGGAAAGCGACTGGAGCATTAAAATGAGGACGCGACACATTTGAATAAAATTTTACACACCTTTTGCTTTAACAGTAATAAATATTAGTACAATATATTTTCTCTCTTTCTTTTTACCTTTTTATTCACTATTCTTTCATCCTTGATCACTCTTAGGAGACGAGGTCAACAATATATTTTTACCTTGCTGGTTTCGATCACTTAGTACCATACAGAATTCGGGCGCGATGTAACGGGATTACTCCTGATGATTCATAAGCATCTGATAGAATGTCCAGTGACCAGCTGTATCTCTTAACCGCATTTATTTATTGCTAGACCTCTCAAACGGTTCATTCACACACTACATTTTCTAATTCAATATTTTCTTTTATGCATTTTTATTTTTTATTTCAATGATTTGAGTGTCAATTTTATTAACCTATTCTCGAATGATCAAACTCAAATTCAAATACAATTTGTTGATAATCAAAATTAGAGAGCAAAATTATTTTCAACAAATTAAATATTTATTTCAACAAAAAAAAAGGTTTTATAAAAATAGTTGATACATTTATCTTGATAAATAACAAATTGTAGTTATTATACAATTGCACTTCAACAGATTGAGTAATAAAGAAATAAGTTATAATTATAGTTGTTAAATAATAAACAATGGAAAGGAGTTATGCGACGAGACCTTAATAACTATAGAGCCTGTAACTCGAATATTTTGCACAAATTGTCACATTAAAAACAAAAAAATAATAAATAAATATTTGAATAAAATAAAAATTTAATGTAAAAACCGTCTCGTCGTATCTCCAAATAATGTCCTAAATTTTTCTACTTGTTCTATGTCGGGCAGTCTGAAGTCTTTCATAGTCAAGATGGTTTATTTGAACACGTATGGTTGTCTTAAAATTAAATAATTTAATATCTGGGGTAGTAATAAATAAACTCTAGAAAGCATGAGAATGTAAATAATGCATTGCTAAGAATCTAAACACGCACTTTGTCTACGCATGTGTAATTCGTAATATCGCATAGCGTCCGTTATTTAGTATTTAGTTCATCTTTTGATCATTGGTATGTTCCAAGTGTTTTGTTTATTCACTTCTGTCTTTAGAAAAAATGTCAAGAAAAAAAAAACGAATGTCAAGTCATCAAATAAAAACTGTCATGTGCTCGAGTTCCAGGACCCTGAATAAATAATTAATTTAAATAATTTATTAGAAATGAACATGGGCTGATTGTAATGATGTTGTGAATAATCGACAGGCTTAACCTACGACTATTAATCTTCGTCTTATCAAATAAAATATTTATGATTCATGAAATTACTAAGGAACATCATGAGTATGTCGGTATACTCATGTTTCCAGTTGAGCTACTCAAGCTGTTGGAACGTGAGCCGAGTAAGCTAACTCCTGAGCCGTACGTTGCTGCTCAGCGGGTAATGTTTGACTATGGAAGTTCCTTGCCCATCCGCTTGAGTAGCTATCTCCATGACCATGTTCAGAGCTAAAAGTATGACTTGCCGAGTGATGAGGATGAGCCACTACCTCATACGTTATGTGCTTCTGATGAGAGAAGAGTTTCTTCAGACCAAGAATGCTAGCCAAAAGAAGGGCTATTTTGGAGAGTAGCAAAGCTTTACCAACTAAAAGGGCTAAACCTTTAAATGCTAAAGCTCCAATGAGACCAATTTTCAATACTGCTGCTGCTAGAAGTGGTCCCATGTTGTTTCCTTTTTTGCCTCGAGCTAAAAATTTATATTTCATTGTCAATAACATGACTAATCGAAGCTTTTAATATAGTTTTTGTTAATAAATACCATTATAATTCTGTTACTTTATTAGTAAATAATCTAATCAATACACTTACCATCACCAAGAGAATTATCAGCTCTTTCAAGAGAAAGGCCAAGATTTAAAGAACCAGTTTCATCTTCAGAAGCTGAAACAACCACATCATCTTCAGGAAGAACCCTCCATTTAATACTTCTTGATTTAATGAATGCATAAATTTTGTTAGAAACAAGCTCCATGAATTCTGATTCATCATCGCTGCTTCTACCAGCTTCATAAGTAATGACTTCTTCTGTGGTCTGACTGGTCTTTCTGATTTCAATGTCATCAGTTAATTCAATAGATGCTTTCTTTAATAATTTATTCATGTAGGTAACGAGCTTTAACATGACACAACTGCTTATGTCATTTTGGGAACACTTATTATTAAGTTTACGCATCAATTCTTCTTCATACTTGGCACGGTCGGTCAAGGTCACAGTCTGCTGCTCGACACCGATCTTTTCGATTTTTTCCACAGGGCTGGCAAGACAGACACTCGCCAGACCAAGGACTACTAAAAATAAAGCTCCTTTCATTGTTTACCTATTGAAAAAATGATTTTTTTCAATAAATGCGTCATTGAAATAATTAAATTATCATGTTTATATCTATTTTTTTTTTAATTTTAAAATTTTGTCAAAAATAGTTATATTAATTATTCAATTTTAATCTTAAAATATATAACGTAAACTGTTTTAAAATTAAATCAAAATAATCACAAAATAAATAGAAATAAATCACAAAATTGAATTCATCAAACTGCTTCAATGCAATGAAATTCAATTGATAACTAATAAAAATAGGATCACTGTTTAATGAAAAAGAAGTCGCTCACCTCTCGAATCACGAAGCCAGATCACTCGCGAATCCTTAACGTTTCTTATGTTTTAAAATAGAGATCAGAAAACGAGAGAAAATGCACGCCCTTATAAATGCGTGCACGAGTAGAGCAAGGCTTCTGCGATCCTGCGTCTCGCCCCGGCCAGTTTATATACGTAGATCTCGCTTAGTAGATCTGAGACATTGGGTGCCCAACACCTGGTGGAGGGCGATGAAGTCGAGTCGTTGGAGAAGTGGAAGATTGGCAAGAGATGAACATTTGCACGGTCTTGAAGTGTGAAAGAGGTAAGAAAGATTAACCTGCAGCAACTGGGGAATGGGGAAGGGACGTTTCCTCAGTTAAACTGGTTTTCGTATAGCTGATACGATAGCAATCCATGGTGCTATGTGTATGGATGCCTCGCCCCCACAATACGTGTATGAACGGCAGGAAGTGGTAGCATGGTAAATGCATGTTATGTGCACACACTAAAGAATGGGGCGATGCTGTGGAACAGCCCCGAGACATCGAGAGAAGTCCACCACGAGAACCGTGTCACGGATGTAGAGCACGCACGCCATCCATCCCGTCCGCATGTATCAACCTTATATGCGAAACTCGTCATTAATCGTGCCGCATTAAACTGCACTCGCTTGGTTTCCTCTTGGTCTCTAGAGAATTGTGCGAAGATAGAGATGGAAATAAAAAAGAACGATGAAGAGGAAGATAGAATAATAAATAGCAGATGAGAATTTGAACCATGTGAACGATTATAATTTTATATACTCATTTTCTCTTTAAGCAGATCCGGAAAATTTGCCTCTGAAAACACGAAAACAATGTTTTGTTATTATCACCATTAACAACAAACAACATTTAAATTTAATGAATGAGTTCAAATTATTTTTTGTTTATTTTTAAAAAATTTATTAAAATAATCCATCTTGATCAATATTAAATATTCAGTGAGTTTAAGATATGCAGATAACTTTTTTTTATCCACTTAAAAAAATACATATTGATCAAATAGATTTAGTCCTCATGAACTTTTTGTTTATTTCTATCATAACATACATGTAAATCTTTTTCACTGATTTCACAAAACTTTTCTCATGCAAATACCAGATTTTGATAATCGAAAAAAAGCATATGAAAGCTTAAATTAGTAATAACAGATCATTTTCACTTATTTTTTACAACTTTCGCTTTTTTCAACATTCGGAAGAAATAAAAAGAAACTCGTTTTCTGAAAATATTAATTTTCTGTAATTAAAAATTCATTTGTACCCAAGTTGCTCAATAAAAATCAATCAATAATTTAATATCTTAAAAATAAACAAGAAAAAATAATACAATTTTTTGGTGTAAAAAATATTGAATAATTTACAATAAAAATCAAGTATCAATTATTCCTTGATCACTATGTAAAAAGCTATTCATTATTCATTGCTCGAAGTCCAATTGTTTTGTATTCAAAACAAGTTCCATTGTAACACTCAATTAAATAACATTATTGCATAATTATGTTTTTTTTATTGGTCAATAATAATTTTTATGGCATTTTACTCTTAGTTAATTTAATGATCTTCAAAATGCATACATAGTAAAGGTATGAATGAATAATTAAAGATCTTTTATGATCAGTTTGAAATATAATTAGACTATAACTATTAGTTAAGACAGTCCTAGTTTTCTAGCATGAACTTGGAAATTATTAAGTGAAATTGATCGTTACAACGACTCAATAGATTCATCCCTATTGTTTATGTCGTTTCTACTACAGATGACCTCGTCTAGATCTGTCGAGACGACAACTTGTACCAATACTCTCTCCGATTTAAAGGGAGAAAAGGAAGTGAAGGAGAAGCAAAACAACATAAATCCAGAGCAGCTTTCCAGAGGATTGGTGGCGGAAGGTCAAGAGCGATGAGAGAATATATATACTTACATATTCTTGGCAAAAAGTGATTCTTGTTGCACTTAAATACTTCACGTATGAAATTTAATTGACTTACTCCAACATATATGCGTAGATACTTGCATATTATTAATGAAAATGAGGACAAATTTTTTCCGTATCAAATTGTGTCAAGTAGTAGTGGATCATTGCATTTCAGTGACTTTTTCTTAAAAAACAAAAAGCTTATATCCATGTAGATAAATCAATTAACTGAGTAAATAAAATTTTGTAAAGAAAACAGTTTTATTGAAATTATTTTCTCCCAACTAGAATGATTAGTTTCAGTATAAAAAAAAACGTTCAATTTAAATTTCTAGAAACAATTTATTATTTTTTATACCTAGAACTAGATAGAAATCGGTAATATAGATATATGTTATAACATTAAGACCCAGATATAAAAATTTCACAGTAAAATCCCGTTCCGTTACTATTAATACCCTATATTTTTTGGATCATCTAGTTAAATCATGATTCCGCAAATTTTATTCATTTTTTAGCATTTCTCCAACTAGTTTGCATCGGAGGAGATGAATGGTAATTTAATACGACAGTAATGAATGTGAAGCTACTATGAAGACTCGAATGAGTATAAAATAATAATAATGATAATAAAGATGGAGATTAATGCACAAATATTTTGTTAAAAAAAAATTGATACTGCAATAAAGATAAATAAAAATGTGAGAATGAAGAAGAAAACGAATAAATGTAATGAAAATAATGTAATGGTTATTGATTGTATTGGTTAGCCGCTTCCGGTCTTATCGTCAAAACGAGGCCACTTGGTTAACAGGTTCGTAGTTCCGTCCGATCCTCTGGACTACAAGTGAGAACTTATTCGACCGGTTTGTTCATCTATCCTTTCCGATAGTCACAAAAGAAGGAGAGACCAGTGAAAGAGCTTCCTTTCCATCCATTATTTCTACAAAAATTTTCCTCTATTTCACTGATAGTTTCTACCCCTGACAATTATTTCTAGTGATTCTTCTGTTACTTTAGCTGAACAATGAAAAATATTGTCAATTGACATGGTTACAGGATAAAATTAATTTTTCGATTCAGTATAAATATTGATGTATTTAATTTATAAAAAATGGCTTAAATAATTTTTTTTGTTTTTTGAATTGTTTATCAATAAACAATATAATTCTGTATAATACAGTTATTTATTTATTTCACAAAAAATTTATTTAGTTATTTAATGAATGTATGAATTGTTAAAAATTGAAATTATAAATTTAAATGAATTGACAGGAAACAATAATTTTAGAAGGTAATCAAGGAATTGCATATATTAAAAGTATTTATATTAAAAAAATGCAATTTATTTGTCAACGGAATTGGTTTCTGCTGCGATAAACTGATTTTTTTTATATTAGTCTCAAGAGTTGCTCCGTGATTAAATTCAATACAAGTGTCTTAAACTATACTCTTTTATTTAATAGTAGCAAATAAATATGCAACTAATGGCAGATATTAATGAGGATGCATGCTACGGTGCTCATCAGTCGACTAAAAATTGTTCCACACTAAAACCTGTTATCAATCGTGTTACTTGGAGCAATAACAACCTAGGGTTGTTTGTCAAGTTAAGACCGTTTTATACGTTGTAAACACGATTACTATAAGGATTCATACACACTCGACGACCGTGACCTTCTTTCTCACATTCCTTCCGGTTCGAAGATCGTGGCACACCTTCCCGACTCGACGCGCTTGATCTTAATCGCGAGTGAAAATGGCACGGAATTGCAAGACCGCAAGAAAAGCTATGTGAGGTCATGGGTATATCACTATTTTTACTGAAATTATATAGCTACAGAAAATTTATTCAAATAAGTTATTCATTTTACAACTCGAAAATAGACGTTAAAAAATTTTATGAAAGAAAGTAAAGGAAAGTGAGTCAATGAAAATCTATGACGTCAATGAAATTCTCATGGTTTCTAAATTAAGATAAATAAAGAAAGATAAATAACAGAAAAAACATTGAAGAAACAATATACATCGAGTTATCATTTTTTAAATGTTTTATCAAAAATTATTATATACAACACTTACATGCAATTAAGTATTTACAAATCACTTCAATAAACATTTAATTTATCTTCTTTGACAATTTTATGAAACATCTAATTTTTGATTAACCTTTTGTTTGATCAATCGATACTCTTAGAAAACTTGATGATAAATACTGGTTTCTGTTGTAAAATAAAAATTATTTTTTGATTACAATTGTCATTTTTTTACTGCGTTAAAGTTAGTATTCAATTCATATCACATCTAGACTTTAATAAATATGTACAAAGAAAATTTATCTTGGTAAGAATTGTGATCAAACTATCCAAGATGATATTCTCTCTGAAATGAGAAATTTTTCATAACAATAACTTCAATTAACAAGCACCAATGTCTTTGATTTTATGATAAATTTCAGAAATCACTGAGTAGATATTGTAAAAATATTTCAACACTTTGTCATAAATTATTTTAAGTTCATATATATATATATTATTTTCTATGTGGTTTATATCCCTGATAGGCCAATTCAGGCCCGTAATAGCCACTATCAGAATGATAGTTGCCATGATAATTCACGGGCTCTTGATAAGTAGCATGCTCATGGGGAAATCCATGATTACCGTTTTCTTTATAATAAGGAAATCCAATACCACTTTGAGAGTAAATCGGAGGTTGATAGTTGGTCATCATAGGCTTGAAAAACTTAAAAAAACCAATCAAACCTGGTATTACGATTGCCATGAATCCCAAGAATTTTTTAAAGGATGCAAGACCCAATATCAACGGTAAAAAAAGAAGCAGCTTGAGTTTAAATAACTTCAGGATTATTAAAGTTGGAATTAAAATTTTTCTTAAACGATGACGAGCTGTAATAAAAAAGATATAAAGTTAGTTTATTAAAATTGTCTCCTATGTTTATTTTTACAGCATGCAGAGGCGTGTTTAATACTGTGTTTACTGTAACAAAGTTTCAAAGTATTTTAATTAACTTTTATTGAGTTCATAGTTATGTTTAAACCTCGATTAAAATTAAATTAATAGTGAATATTTTTTCTTAATTTTACGGTAGAGAATACAGAATTCTTATAATTTGAAAGTTTTTATTTAAGTTTTAAAACAGTTTGTTATTGAAATATAAATATGTATTTCTCTGAATAAATAATTTATGACGGTATAATTTCTCTGAACTGATTGATATTTTTGCACCTATTTGAGGAAAACTGGAACAAGATGGTATCAGATAAGATGTTTCTAGTAACAATATCTTCCTCAAAATTCCATTACTTCAAAATAAATGTTTTGTAGTGCGATAAAATTTGTAAATGAAAACTTGTTTTACAGAAAAGTTTTATCAAAGCTAAAAATATTAAATTCATTTATTTTACTTACAAAAAATTGAATCCTTTTTATTTTCTAAAATGTCGATTTCATCAGCAATTTCATCTAAAAACCTTGGCGCATAAACTTCATTTTCTCCTGTAACCGAAGTTGGTATTGATACTTCAATGGCAACTGTTTTTATAAATCTTTCAGCTTTCCTTGATATGAATTTCACTAACTGGTCCCATTCAGAATCATCTGATCTGTAAAAATATGTGTTTTTTTTCTTAATTTAATAAAGGAAAATTTAAATCAAAAATCGTTATAAAAATTATTTTAAACCTTGGAGTAGCAGAATATTCGTACGGTTGTCGATCAACTTCTTGAACTAAATCTCTACCCATTCTCACTACTCGAACATTTTCATTTAACTCATATTTATCTTTGTCAAAAAATTCAGAGAAAGAATTTATTGCTCGTGATTTGAAACATTCAGCAAGATCTCCAGTTAAACATATTTCATTCAATCTAGCTAAATAAGGATCAACTCCAGGACCTGTTCCCAAACCAATCCAATCTAAAAGATCCTTTCCTTGACGGGTTCGATTTTTTTGTTGACTTGAGTCTTTCAATTTTTCATCACTAAAATCGATGGTATCTCCTAAAAAAAAACAATCATAATTAGAATCAAATCTAAAAATGATTGTTAATTATTATGAGCGAAGAATATAAATGAAAAATATAAAAAAGAAGTAGTAAATGAATATTGATCGGCAAAGTAGAAAATTCTGAAGAGAAAGAAAATCCTAGATCATTGATAAGTGAATTTTGATCCACTTCAAGTCGATAAAGTAAAAGAAACTCACCGTGTTTTTCAGTGGGACTATCTTCGAAGGTAACCGCCAACACTGAAGTAGTTACCATTAGAGAAAGAATCCAAATCCACAGGTGTTCGGACAGCGACATGACCAACTATTTACTTGACAGTTACATACAGCAATAATTTACCTTTAAAAGAAAAATATAATACGTCATAGAAATGAAAACTGTTGAATAATACTTAATAATAATATGAAAACTATCACTTTTTAAAATTAAATTTGCAAACACAGAAAGTAGTGGGTATAATTGCAATGATTATAGAATTTTCTTATTAGCAAGTTTAGCATTTGTCTGACTAGTCATGGAGAAAGTACTCTTACTACTTATACCTACTATTTCTTGATTATCGTCTTTAAAGTAACATAGATTTACTTAAGCAACTGATTCAGATTGATTCTGGCATTAGAACAAATTTATTTGATTAATTATTCAATAGCAAATAATAAATATTCGAATATACTTACAATGACTTTAATTTATGTGAGCTTTCGTAGTATTTATGAGGTAAAGTGATAGAATTTTATATTCCATTTTTTTATTTTAACTATTGAAACTAGTAACATTGTTTTTATGTTAAAAATAATTACAAAATATTCTACTATCAGTGAACACAACACCCACGCGCATTTTGGACTGACTACCGGTTGATGTATATTCTGAACATCTTACGACCACAAAGTTCCGTTATCTTACTGAGCCAATGAGGACGCACGCGACCATTGAGAGAACAAGTCTTTGAATTCCATTCGATTTTAACGCACGAAAACGATCTTGATACCTTTAGGAAAAAAATTTTTCGAACTAATTTTTTTTTGTAGCAGGAGCATCTTAAGGAGAAAGTTTATGAAAGTGCTGGATAATTTCCAGATGAGTCATTTTGGACTTTCAGTCAGATCGAATTTAAGTTCTATCTAATGTTTTAGAGAAGATTATTTTATGTAATCTTTTTGTATTATATTTTTTAAATGTAATATTTGATTTTTATAATAGTTTAACTGTGCAAAAATATTCTAAAGATATAACAATTTTAAATTCATTTTTGTTTATAAGAAATATTTGAATTTATCCCAATTGGATTTAATTTACGTTGAAATTTTTATTATATTAAAATTCAACATTGATTATATCATTTTTATGTTAAGTATTTTTTATGTTAAGTTAAAATTTATATTTATTGATTTATATATTTAAATAATATTAAAATAAGATATTCAAATACTCATGGACTCACCGGAAAAGATATAAATTGATCAATTGACAGTAATATCGCATAAAATAATCAGGACGTAACTGAAAAATCGTGAAAGATGTTCAAGAACAAACTTACTTATGACCGAGTGACGCTTTGGAACCAACATTTTATATATGCACGAACGGTAATACAGCGGTGAGGTGAAGAGGAATCGGAGAAAGATTCGCGTGGGCTATTTTACTCATTATAGCCACAGTAAAAAAAATCAAAATATATAAAATGCGCCAAAAACATGAAAGTGAAAGTGAACATGCGGATGTATGACCGGATCTTATGAATAATAAGAATATTATCTGTTGCAAAGAAGATCAAAATTTTCAAAGGGTATAGTTTCTACAATGATTTGCATGAAATTAAATTTTAAATTAACAAATATGTCATTAAATCTAATTCGAATATTTCAGAAAGATTATTTTTCAATTAAAAAAACGGCCAATAAAAATATTAATAAAATAAAAAGATCATAAAAATGGAATTTTTTTAAAGCATTTTAATTAAAATAAATTAAATAAATTATCTAAACTTCATTCCTACATGGAATCTTTGATGCCCGCTACACAATGTAGCTATTATAATTATACAAACAAATAAATGTCTAATATAACATTAACGGAATATCAATGAAGTGATTTTAAGGATAATCGCAGAAGATTTTCTGTTATAAAAATGATAACTTAATAAATATTTGATTATTGACTTTCACTATAATGTATCAAATCATCTTCGAATATCCCTAAACATTTAATACAATTCCATGATATTCCTCTTCAACTATCAACAAATATCATCATTGTTAAATCAACATGTTTGTTCCGGTTCTACCGGGAAAAGTTTAATATTCATTCATTGATGAATGTTCATCGGAAAGGTTTTTTGCAGAGATTGTCAATAATATGTATCGGTGAAGTTCCCATTTGTTTTTCTTTTTTCATCTTCTCAAGGAACAGATGACAATTTAGTCATCCTGAGGTTGAATAGAGGATGTTGATCTTTAAGTTGGTATAGAAATTATACTTATCATCAACGGAATATTATCTCTGGCATTAAAATCAGTTTTAAATGTTCTTTACAATTTCCTTGCATGTACTAATTTATCAATATCCTGGTACGTTGCCAACATTGCCTGATTTTGCTTCAGGCTTGGGTCATCTCGAGGAATATTACAATCAGTGTATGCTGTTTCACACCTCACGCCATCCTGTCCATCTGTTGCTGCCTTCATATACCTGAAGAATCTTAAAATGTCCGGGTTATCGTTTGCTGGTTTTCTCAGCTCATTTAATTCTTTCGATAATTGTGCGGAAATAAGATTAGAATATGGAGCATATCGTGCTGGACTTCTGTACATCGCACATACTGCGTACTCACGACATCCTTCAGTTATATAACCTAAACGTGCAAAAACTGCATCTAATCTTGATAGAAGTGGTGAATAAAATGGATCGTAATTCTTGAACATGTACACATCTGGTGGTATATTGTGGAATATCTGAAAAAAGAAAATACTATTAATAATAATGAAAATTATAAAATATAATTTTAACAGTATGAATTATTCATCTTCTCCAAAGTAATTTAGCATGTTTTATTCTGCATTTATTTTCAATTGACAAAATTGGTAAAATTAACATATTCATTCAAAGATGGAATGAACTCTATATGTAAAAATACTGATAATTATTTTTAAAACATGAAAAAAATGTAGTATTAATAAAACTCACTTATTAAGAAAGTTTTCTTATAAATTTCACATTTGTCACAAAATTTAAACGTTTACTTGTACCCAATTAAAACAAAATGACCCATCAACTAGTATAAATGAAAATGTGACCGCACGCTTATCATCTGATTTTGACAAGTAAAACATTTATAGCGGGATTTAAAAGAAATTTCATTTTATTTTAGTAATTACAAATCCCATAACTTTTGGCGCATTATCTTGGCCAATGAATTCTTGCCGTTTTTACCAATTTACCTTTTAATGCAAATAAAGTAGAATAACGGGATTTTAAGACTACTTTTGCAGTATTTTAATATATACTTCAATTAACAGTTTTATGAAAATACCTTAAAGTTTTGTTTCTTCATTGCAGAATTAACTAACATTCTAGTGTAATATTTATCGTCTAATGCTGCTGGTGATAGTCGAGAATCAACATAAGAATATCTAGAATTTGGTTTTGTTGCTGGTTGCATCGCCATGCTTTCATCATACATCTCAGGAGCCGGCAAAGTGCCAAGTGGTTGTCGTGTCATATAATCATCATTATAGGGATCGGCATTATCCTTAAACTCGAAGTTTTCTTCTGGTGGAGCGGTAGCACCTTGTGAAGATTGAGCAAATGATGAAACACCTGCTTCCCATAACGATGGTATCAATTAACAACCAATTAATTATGGTAATCATAAATTAATTGAATTATTAATTGATGTTTAAATTGTACTATATTATTTAGCTGATAACTAATTATTATTACCTTTTCCAACGATCTGACCAATACTTCCAAGAATACTGGGTAAGAAAAGAGCTATCAAGATACTTTTAATTATCTGGGCACCTATAAACAATGGCAGGAGCAGTTTCTTCAGGCCGAATGCTAAAAAACCAAGTCCGAAGCCTGTTAAAAATGGATTCTTTCCATCTATTAAAGCTGAAAGCAAAATTTACCAGCGGATTTTAGCATTACTGTTAGTCCAAGCCATGCGCGACGCACTTTAAACAATCTAGAAATATATTGGTTCATTATTTAGTTCATAACTTGCAATCATTCTGAAATCTCCGATTGTTATTCCATAAGCTAGGAATTAAATTTGCAATTTAATAATCAATGCAAGCAAGAAAATATGTTTTTTTAAAAAAAAAGCAATTGTCATGATTCAATTAATGTTTTTAAAATATTAGTATTTTTTTAAAAGCAAACCATGCTATAAAATTGGTATAATTCAATTTAATTCTAAACAGAATTTCTTCAAAATTTAGTTGAGTTTAGTTAAATATTAATCAGCATTTAAGCATATTATTTTATTTAATTCAGCAACAAACAATAAGCAAAGTTAAAAATAATAGATCGATAAAATTTAGTAATATTATTCAATCATTAATTGCAAAAAGTAATTGAAATTATGGTGTTGTACTTACTACCAAAGAAAGTTCTTGGAGACCGAGTGAAAATATCCTTGTTCAATTTTATTTCCATTATATGACTTTTTGCAAACCTACGAACTTTTTCAAATAAACTCTCAGTATCATTATTAGGAAGTGTATCAGCACTTCTGACTATTTGTATCGATTCAGTAATATTTAAAGCCTCTTTTTTTGATATATTATCAATTAAAATTCCCACATTTTTTTCCAGGCAATCTATTACTGCTCCACTTCTGCAAGAATTCTTAGAAGTTTCAGAATTTTTTCGTATTTGATTAGAGCTATTACTTATATTTTTTTCTAATTCTTTTGATGAATTAGTGTCCATATAGATCATTTCTGAAATATCTGAATCAAATTTCGTAGGTTTGTCTTTCATATTATGAGGGTGAAAATCGTCATTGAGATTTGATTGTTCATCATTCCAGTTAACAGTTACATCTTCTGGAATATCAGCTAGTATATTATTGAGAGAAGAATCACGTATGTCATTTAATTTGTCGAGTCCATGTACTTCATTGCTTTCAGTCTCGTTGAACTGTGTATTTTTATCCTCGACCTTGAACCCACACGAAACACGAAGACATGCAATCGTCACGATTACAACAATCACATAATAAGTAATGAAACAGTGAGTGTCTATTCTTCCCATCTTCACCGTGATTATGTTCACTCTCGTTTTGATTTTTTCTCACTCAATTGGTGAGACTGTCAATAGCAATGAAATCTCATATTTTCCAAGAGATCTATTACCTACAATGCAATAAAATAATCATAAAATAAACATAAACCATTAAAGAAGATACAAATTACGGACATAAATAAAGTAACTTAAAGGTAATGGAAATAAATAAATAATTGACAAATTGATACAATTTTTAGTGAAGTTGGAAAATCCTCATTTTATAACTCATGCATTTTTTATGTTTAATATTACTGCTACGAGTTTCCTGTTTTACTTAATAATTAATTTTTGTCGATGGCTATCAAAGTACTTAATAAATTAAACGTGCATATGAGTTATGTATCCTTTTGTTACATTCTAATAATTACTAGCATCAATTAATTCTTTTGCGTTGGATCAACAACTTATCATAGATATCAGAAAATTTTTACTAAATTATTACATTTCAATAGATTTAAATGATTTAATCAATGGTTACAAATAATACCTTCAGGATCAAAGAATGTCAAACAATTAAATTGTGATTCATTAAAGTAATCCACACATGTGCCAATTAATACCCCCGTTAACTACAGTTATAATGAATATTTATCACATTTAAAACATCTAAATTTGTTAGTTTTCTGAAGAGTGCATAAATGTAATTTATTTTTATACTGTCGCCAAAATGAAGTCAATTTATTCCGGTCATTCACCGTATCGCGTTGTAACTTGAAGAGCACTAATTCACTCAATAAAACTTATCGATACTTACTAGCCAATGTACAGCCATCCACAATTCTTTGATCAAAATCTATTACTTCAATTAAATTTTTTTTATACAAATTCAAATAAATAAAAATCTTTAATTTTTATTGAAAAAAAAACTAGTTTTATTGAAACCAAGGTTTTTTTATGCTTAACGAAGTCAGCTCGCGGTCGACGGACGACACGGTACTGGCGAACGTACTCGAGGAATCGGCTGAACCAAGTCAATCTGGGTTACCCGGCCATTCGTCGTCTGTCCATTCGTATAAACCTTCTTCAAGCCTTTCTTCCTTTTCCCACCTTTCCACATCAGTTGTTTGTTTTCTTTTTCTTTCCGAACATTCTCGTTTGCACGCCATTCATTCGAATCATCCCAAAATGACCAATGTCCACTCACGCCTATTTTTTTCAATACATTTCTCCGTCAGCTGTAAAAAAATTTCAGTCTGATGAGAATATAAAAATGAACTTTCTTATTGTTTTTAATTGTTTTCATGACAAAAGATATTTTAACTTGCTAAGTCAATTAAGGATTCATTAAGGTTACATCTTTTAATAATTCATTCATGAAAAATGCAATTATTTCATGAATGTTTGTTTTAATTCGTTTTTGAAATATTTTTTACTCTGAAAATAAATTGACAAACTCATCGCTGAAGCAATAAACATTTTTTACATGTTCTTTGTACTCCTACTAATAGAGATGATTTCATTTTCAAAATTATTGTTGAAAGTTGAATAGTTGCTTATGTTTGCTGTTGAAGCTGGAGATGATTTAGAAGGAATTCAAATGTAAATCCTAACGAAAGATAAGAAGAAGAATTTTTTGAATGATTTGTATGAATGAGAATATTGAATTGAAATATTGTTAAAGACAAACGAAGAGTAATGGACGCGTGACGTGCACTTATCGCAATATAGTCATATAGACCTGATACCCGTTACATTAATGTGACTTTTTTCGTCCGGTATAGCGTATAGTGTAACGGTTGACTTAGTACACGCATTTGATTGAACTACGTATACGAGGACACTTCTTTCGCGTCGTTAATTTTTAATTTATTTGAATTATCATTCTTTCTTGGTCCGTTTGATTCTAGAAAAATTAACTACGTCTTTGAATTGGTTTGAAGGCTTATTGAACAAAAATAACGGTTTCCTCGTTATATTATTTAATCATTTGTACGCATATACATTAAATTTATTCTATAGAGCCTTCAACATCTATAGAAACATGAAAATAATATTCTAAAGTTAATATTCAATGGGTAAAAGATAGATGAATTTTCTCCATGTGAGTATTTTTTACCTTGGTGACCATCCAAATCTGTCAGTGGGTCAGTTGTTTGCGAGGCCATTGGACTCTCATTCTCCATACAAGTGACCTTGAACCACTATTGAAAAGTTGTTAATGATATTGGAAATATTTAGGCGACGCTCTGGGAGTCTGCAAACTTTTCCATTTCTCCATGACCTTTGATTGTAAAGAGTTACCTGTTAATCAACTTGTAATGTTAATTTCCTTTAAGCTTTAACTTTAACATCTTGAACATAATTATCACCTTCAAACAATGGTAAAAAGTTTATTTACAATTTCCATTACTCGAATTTTTATTGCGCAATCGAAGTATGAAAATCATGAATCAATTAGATTCGTTTTAAAAAAAATTTAGTTTTGAACTTTCATCTTGATTCCTTTATTCAAACAAGAAAGAACGCCTTGGGTAAATTTTGTTGGTCTTTGAATCATAAAAGATTAGAATACCAAATAAAAACGAAGGTATTCATCTTATAATACTGTCAACTTTTTATACTCAATAGAATTTTTATCATAAAGAATTTTTTTAGTGAAGGTCTGATTGACAGTAATGATGTTAAAACGGTAAAACAAAAGTGGTTAATTTAAAATATGGATAATCACATATATTGCAATGAATTTCATTTCTTAATTTATCTATCAATAATTAATGTACTAGTTAAAGAAAAAAATTAACATAGTTTGAGGATTATTATTTTAATAAATATATCGTCAGAATATTAATATTTTTATTCATTAGTTTACAGTCAAATCTATTTCTTTAATTCTACCTACTTGTCTCAAAGTATCAAAAATCTATATTTTATTGGCTACGAAACTTACAATTAACCACCTCTGTCTTTTCATTTTTATAATAATTTTATGTAAATTAAACCTTTGTTTTTATTCAAACATTTTATTGTAATTACTATACTTATGTTATAAAGTCATAAAAACCCATTCCAACAAGTGTTAATTTGAAGAACTGTTGGTCTTATCTTCCTAAACCGTAATCCTTCATGTTTTCCCCAGAAGCCTTTGAGAAACTATCGTGTATAACAGTTTCAGTTATTAAACAATTAAGTAATATAATTCACGATCTCAAATTGTCAATAAAAACCCCCAGAATTCTTATGTGATTTTTTTTAATAATAAATATTTAAATAAATAATTGAATACTACAGTCATTGAAAATTATTTTAGTTAATTTGACTTTCAGCAGAAAAGTCTTTTTTGACGTATCACCGCTGTGGCCTATAATAAGGCGAGGCTGAATGATACGGATGGTAAGGTCCTCCATATCCTCCCACGCCTGGTAGTAAGTCGTTTCTGTGAGCCCAGCCTGGATCATCATGTCCATAAGCTGTAAATGAAATATGATAATGCAGAAAAATGAAGATAACGATATAATAAGTATGTCTACACATAAATATTACATAGTCAGCTGTAAGACATAATAAATGTTTGTTTCTTTCACCTGTAGGATAATCAACGGGTGCCTCTGCAGCCGTTGCCCATGAATGGAATGGATGACCGTGATTAACTTTACATATTCGGAGTTTCGATAGAATTCCAGGTACGAAGAGTCCACCAATAATGATCAGTTTTTTGATTAAATGGACTCCCAGAAGAATAGGAATTACCAATAATTTTATTTTTATTAAGTTAAGGAGGATCAAAAGTGGAATAATAATTGCCTTTTTTTTCTTAAATAATCTTCCTTCATCTGAAAATAACATATTGTTACATGAACATTTTCTCAGTAATAATTTTCATAGTTTAATATGTAATTATTTTATGAGATAACTATTTGATGTTCAAATGCGATAATCAATAAGTCATGATGATGACACGTGGATAATTATTATCTGATAAAAGTTTTTTGATTTAATGTTTTAATATAAAAATAACATAACTTATAATTAACTTGCTGTCAAAAAAGTTGATTCAAACTATTAGAACCATGCATTCCGCGAGAGAAAGGCATGTGTAGTTCAAAGTTTATTGGTCAAGAAGAATACCCAGACCTTTAAGTCAAGTATTGAGGACAAATAGATGCGGAAAAAGACTTAAAGATGTTACAAAAAAGTTCAAGTCCCCACGCACAATGCTTATGTGTACAGCTAATATTTTCATGCTAATAAGCACACTGCAATTGAAACATTAATAATACCTGACTGTCCTCTTTGCATTTGAGCAAGTTCATCTTCATCCAAAATCATTGGTCCACTTCCAAATGACTTTGCCATTATTGGTGAAGGTTCATATGTATAAACAATGGCTCTTTTCTTAAATAAATCTTCTGCTAAATCTCGCATAAAATTGACTGTATCTGTTACTCCAAATTTAAAGCCTCTAGAATTTGACATTCTTGGAAAAATTGATTCTTGAGTTGTTGAGGGTATTTTTATTACTCTGAATGGCCCATAAGAAAGTTCCTGATAAAATAAAGTTAATTCATGCTGATCAATAGTTATCAAACAGTATTTAATTGATTATTATAAATTGTTGACAAATAAGTTGAACTTATTTACATTAGTACCAATTCTATATTTTACTAATCCAAATTTGTTCAGACTCAATTGCCTTATTACTCAATGTTACAAAAATATATAAAAAGACAATATCCTTCTTACTTTCAGAATAAATAATCCAAAAAATTTATTACCTTTTCTCGGATGACTTCGTTCAACCACTTAGCTACTCGGTATTTGCCACAAACCACAACGTCCCTCTTAATGACGCAATCTCTTCTACATCGTGCAACAAAATCACCGGACGATGTAGCATTTATGTATTCAGATGCATTAACATTTTTAGTTGAAACGATTAAAATAAATATCACACACTTCAATGTATACGCAGTATATTTGGTCGTCGATTTAGGTACTGGAAAATCTTTTTTTCTCGAACATATTATATCACACACGTATTTTGTATCACGCTTCATTATTACACGCTATGTCCAACAAGTCCAATATCTGATGACTCGTTTGACAGCTCAATTGAGTACTTTAGATACCATGTCATTTATTAGAAGATGATTTGATCAATGGAATGATGGTAGTTAGCATTCACACATTAAGATATTCAATTTAATTATTATCCATTATTTATTTTTAAAAAACTTGTTTATATAGAGTAATTTTATATTTTATTCAAAGTCAGATGAGATTAGCACGAGCCTTTAAGCTCACTAGTCGCGAATAGAAGATGTCCTGAGCATATATACGAGATAGAAATATAGGTCGGTGGGGGTAACGGTCCACAGCTCAACGACACAGTCTTCGACTTCTATATCTCTCTACAAGAAGCACTATCGAATGCAGAAGTTGTCTGCACTGAGCAATCCAGCTCAAATGATTCAAAATATATATTCAATTTGATACAGAATTTTTATAAATCCAGTTTCTAACTATATCTAAGTCTATCGAGTTTATCTGTCGTATTCACGTATCAGGTTTAATAAACTTTAATTAATCACGGAAAAAAGCATCAATCATGACATCTAACTTGTTCCACACCTTTCAAAGTGGGTTACATTCTTTGTAGATTACTGTTCTACTCGAACTAATTTTTATTTAAAAAAAAAAAAAATTAAAAAATATAACGATTGAATTATTAATCATTAACTTGACCTTTCATCTATTCAACATTCTGTAGAATGCACAATCATCAAATAATAGAAATTTAAACTGGAACACATTTGTTTTGTTTTTTATTTTTTTTTTTTTGATATGAAAACTTTGATTTATAATAATACATCATGGTTAGAATATTCAAATAATCTTTATTGAATTTTTCTTATTTCTTTAAAAAGTATGAAAATGAAAAGATTGCAAAATAAGAAAAAGGAATTAAAATTTAGATTTACCTTGAATTTTTCTATAAAATTTACTCATCAGTTAATTTATTAGAAAATGCCAATTTTAACGGTGTATTTCACTTCGCACTAAACACTTTATTTTGTAAAAAAATTTATTATTCTACCTGACGAAAAAAAAATGGATAAAAATAATGTAATTGTATATTCTACACTGCTTTTTCTTTATTCTTTTCCTGAAACTAGATAATGAAAATATTCGTTTTTTTCTAAACATGTTGCACGTGTAGTGAATACTCAATGTAACGTTAAACTAGGATCATTTTATTCTTTATATAAAATGTAGGTCGACAGAATACCTTTCACCCCATTCCTTATCGACTTCTTTTTACTATAAACAAATGTATGCGACTAAAACAAATATTGAAGAAGCCTCTAGGAAACATCAAATAACAAGTATCTTTCCTTGCCGTGAAATTTTCCGAGTGTTATAAATTTCAATGTCATGGGTTAGTCAAGTATGCAAACATGATTGAAAAAACAACATAAGTATCATCAAGATGTTCAGAGCATCCTTATTCCAATGACCGGTTCTACCATTCAAGTTAGAATCTTGGTGGCTGAACGCTTGACTTTAATAAGCAGGAAGAAATTCAATTTCTTATGATAATATTTTTGAAGAAATATTATTGTAATGTTTAAAACAATGTTTTCCCCCTTCAAGTCAAACAGTCATCAAATTGTCTTCATTAACAGCAGAAATGCATGATATCACAATCTTAACAAAACAATAATGGGCAAGACAAATTGTTATTTGTGTCTCTAAGCCACATCTTGAACTCGTCAGAGGACTTCAGAGTTCTCACGCAGTTGTCGCCCATTCCGATCCGTTGATAGATGGGCAGAGTTATGTAGTAAACGTAGAAGAAACATCAGACTTGACGGTACTGAGATTGTATTCGTCAATGTAATGGCGTCTTCTTAGTTATCGAGGATTTTTTTTTACTTTTGTGTCACAGATTGTTAACGGGAAAATATTAATCGATGATTCTAAGCACTTGGTTTCAATACCTCGATACACTCTAGAACGGAAGTTCAAACAACGTAACCATTTTACAAAAAATGTGTAATCTAATGAAATTGTATAATTTAACAGCTTGCTATTGAAAAAAATAGCAATGTATACGGGAATATATATTTCTAGAGAAGATGTTACTTTGTAGTAGTAATTAATCTTTTGAAAAAATGATATTTAATCAAGTATAATTTTTAAAAATCGCAAAATAATTTATCAAAACTTGAACGAATAATTACTCATCAAGTGGTGAAATCAGATCCTATGTAGTTCAACTTACGCTAAGGATTACATCAAAGAAGCTCAAGAACCTACATAATACTTTCCAGCTAAGAAACGCATTGGAATCATTAATTATAATTCATGTCAATGGGCGCAGTAAACAAGTTCTGTGAATCTTTTGTTTTCTTTCATTGCACGAGCAAGAATGTAAGATAAAAACTTGTTATTTATTATTATAATAATTATAATATTATCGGTGAATAAATTTCAATATTACTTCATCCAAAAAGCTATTTGCATGATACTGATCTTGGTGAGAAATCACAATGATCTCATTTAGGTAGCCCTAGTGAAATTGTTAATAGCTTACTTGAGTTTCGGTATCTCATTATAAGCAACTTGATTCTGAAAGAAAAATTTTATGAAAATTAGAAGCATTCATTGTATGTGAAATTGTATTTTTTTTAAATAATTTTCTCAAGAAAACAAGTGTAATTTAGATTTTTTTGTTTAGATCAGATTCCAAGTTAGCTTTAAATCTATTTGCACATACTAGTGACCTAATTAGCACGAATTGATTGACAGCCGGTTTCTATAGAATCCATAAAAACTTTTTTCCAAGTAATTGAAGTATAAAAACAAATCGCATGAAGATGTTAAGTCAAAAAATACCAAGAAAAGTAAACTGATTTGACATGAAAGAAGAATGAGTAATATGGATGCATCTAGCAAAAAAAAATTATTGTCTTGAACTGATTAAATGTTTATACTAGAAGACAACTATCATAAAACTCGATTCTTTATGGTATGATTATTATATTACTATTAATCAGAAATAATTTCGATATGTATTTACGAATAAAAAAAGTTTGAATTAAATAAGTTTTCATGTAAAATTGTTCAACTTATTTCAATGAATTTAACTTTTAACATATAGTTTTTTAAATAAAGTTTGATGTAAATCGATAAATTTTTCAAAACCGTTATGTCCCAGTTGTGATTAATTAAATTTGACAATCAATTTCTTTATGAATCATTAAAGGCACTTGATTATAGTTATTCTTGTTTAAATTTATGTTATTCACTTATTGTATCAATTTATTATAGAAAAAAAATCTGAAATCAGTTTTATTATTTTTCATTATTATAAATATCAATTACATTATCTTGACAGTTTTAATACTATAATCTCACTATGATTTTTTTATGATTGGATTGTAAGTACTTATATCCTGATGAATAGTAATAAAATCTTCAATTTTTTTTATTTTAAACAGAAAATTTCTTATATATTTTACGACTATCATTTCATACATTTTTATTTAATATAGGGTATCATTATTTTTTTTAGAATGATTCAAAGATTTTATTGAATTTTTTATATTCTGTTATTTTCGAGAAGAAAAAAAAGTAAAAATAAATTTTACTGTCTTACGGCAAGTTTACTCTGCAACAGATCCCCTACAACTGATGACGTATCGTCTTTTAATCGATTCCTTATTTCTATATACCCTTATCTTTACAACGCTGGAGTTTGTCACAAAAGAATAATCATTTATTTATACTATTCCAGGAAATAGTTCCCAACATATTCGTATCTTTCCAAATAATTATAGAAAATAACTCTTGATGACAGCAATTCACCTAACGACTTATAATTGATTCGAAATAATTAACAACATAGACGTAACTTTCTTCTGAGACCTTCGATGATTCTCAGTTTAATTTTCTATAGTGAATATTTCAGAACTTAGTCAACTATAAAGTGTACGAAATGACACTTTTATCACGAAATTTTCGTCTTCTAAGTTTGACAGGTCTTTGGAAACCAACAGAGTGGAAAAGTTGGAAAGCACAGTTATATAATTTGTATACTTTTATAGTAGCATTTGCAAACTTTTCATTCGTAGTTTCTGGAATAATGGCTATTGATATCAAAAACAGTACTCTTGCTGTGATTGTTGATAACGTTTCTTTAACTCTTGCTGCTGTAAATGCATGTGGCAAGCTCTTTTGTGCAGTTTTCTCACGTAAATATATCTTGGAAGTTATAAACTGCCTACAAAACAAACCATTCACTCCTCAAGATCGTGAAGAAGTTATGATTTATAATAAATTCGACCGCTATGCTAAGTAAGCGATATTTTTAAATTATTTTCTTAATTGAGAATTGATTATTGCCAATATTAATAATAAAAACTAAATCATTCGAATGATTTGAATTAAATGTAAAATGCATCATAACTGTAATTTCAGGTGATCTCGATAAAAATTAAATTAGGCAATCCTATGATGTTTCCTAATTTATTAAAATTTTTATTAGCAATTAAAAGTAGTTACACTGAGGAGGAATATATTTCTAAAACGGTATTCTTTAATAACATTTATTAGTAAATTTATTAATTAGTTTGAAAATCAGTTATTTAAATGTTTAGCAAACCAACAGTAGGTCATAAATTTTTAATTTCTGCATTAACTATGTAATCATCATGACAGTGGTAAGTTTCTTCTCAGTGTAATTTCTTTTTTTATACAAATGTACATTCAACGTTACCTTATAAAGATATATTATTTCATATTATCCCTTGACATTTATAATTTCAACGGCATGGTATTCCACGGGTCACATATTTATGATGAATCCACCGGATGTTTTGTTATATCAAGGATGGTTTCCATATAATTATTCACAACCAGCTGTCTACTGGACCACTGCTTTCTATCAATTCTATACAATTGGAAGTGCAGCTTGCATTTACTTGGCATTTGATCCTTTATTACCATGTTTGTTATGCCATATTTACAGTCAAATTTATATTCTGAAATATAGATTTAATTTATTAGTATTGTCTTTGGAAAAATTAAATTCTAAAAAATATACCAAACTTCAAAAAAATATTGTCGAACGGAATTTAATTTGTAAGTGGGTTGAGCATCATATCAAACTTTTAAGGTAAAATTTGATTTATACTATATATTATTTAATTTAGCAAGAATTTTAATGGTAAGTGATTTCTAGTTTAGTTCAGAGTATCAATATTATATTTTCTCAAGTAATTTTTCTACAGTATGCAATAAGCTCATTGATACTTTGTACCATAGCAAAGGTGTTAACAAGTACTCCATTATTTTCTATGGACTTTGTGGGAAATCTTTTATTTTTCTTAGCTATGGCTAAACAAATTTTCTTTCAATGTTATACAGTAAATCAAATGATTATCGAGGTAACGAATTGATAACGAACTATGAATTGAATATCATCTCGAATATTCATTTTTGTATAAAGTAAAACTATCACGCACTTATAATGTTTGATAATTATTTTCAGTTTTCAGATATTACTACTACACTATACAATACAAATTGGTTCCAACTAAGCAAAAATATCCAAAAATCTGTAATTATAATTTTAGCAAAAACTGCAAAACCAGTGGTTTTTAGCAGTGGTTATTTCATCACTTTATCTTTGGAATCATTTACAAAGGTAGACAATAATAATATAACATCATTTTATGATAAATAGTAGATAAAAATATTAATGATTTAAAAATTCAATAGATAATCAAATTTTCTTATACGATTTACAATGTCTTGGAATGAATGATATCATGAAATGCTCATTATTAGTTTTTCAAAAAACATTATATGAATAAAAAAAAAAAATATTAATAGTTGACATCTGACTATATCTTGTGAATAAAATTTACGTAAAATAAATTATAAATAGCAAGTAAGATTACTGAAAATGGAAATTTTTTATACATATTTGTTAACTCATTGTAATGTGTATATTTAAAATAAAAATTCATTTCTGAAAAGAAATACTGTAAAAAAAAATCATTTTCTGAAGAAACTATAAAGATAATTAATAATATCAATAATGTTAATTACGGATTAGTAAATTTTCAATTACTTTTATTATTACTTGATAAATAAATAACCTGTATGAAAATCAAAAATTTTTTGAGAATTATATATCGAGGTTAGGTTATATTCTGTTGTCAAAAAGTGCGGTCAAACTGTTCTGAAAACAACAAGTGGTGGGGAGCCCGAAAGCATTGAACAAGTGAGCATTGAAACAACTGAGAAACTCTTCTCAGAGAAACTATTGGAAACCATTTCGCAACTTTGTATTATTTAATTTCAATTATTTAAGCCGAATTTAATGAAAATAATTAAATAAACACATAATCAACGATGTAAGTGTATTCTATTAATACTATTATTATTTTATAAAAACAAACATCAAATGTTAATCAAATGAAAAACAAAACACATTATATTAAATATTACGCATTTAAATAAGTTGACAGTTTCATAAATTACAAATTTCTAAGACTGTATAGATCTGTATATAAGTTTCTGTTTAATGTTATATTTTTCACAGATAAATTCAAGAATTCGTAGATAATCAATTTTAACTTGTGGATATCAAGTTATCATCATTTGGAAATTACATCTTCAACGTTATATCCAGATTAAGAATGAATTCTAATTGTGAAAACTGTATAAAAATAGAATTGCTTTCAGAAGACAACTACAGTACGTGGAAAATGCAGATCGAAGCTCTTCTTATTAAATGTGGTTTATGGGATTACGTAAACGGAAAAAAGCAATTATCGTCGATGATGGATACTACAGTACGAGGAAACTGGCTGATAAACGACCAAAAAGCAAAATCAGAATTAATTCTGTCTATTGAACCATCTGAATTGAAACATGTTCGCAACTGTGAAACATCACATGAAATGTGGGAACAAGTAGAGTTTATGAATCACGAGATCGAGCAAGAAAAACAACGCTCTTTAAGCAATTAGTAATCACTTGTTATTGTATAAAAACTGATAGTGATGTAGAAGATCACGTCACACGATTTTGGAATATTGTCAATAAATTAGAAAAGATGAATATTAATATAGATGATGAATTACTTGTTATTATGTTTTTGCAAAGCTTACCATCTTCATATCGAACATTCAGATATGCTATCGAATCACGAAATGAATTACCTACGCTTGAAGTACTAAAAATCAAAATTATGGATGAAATCAATGCGAGATACACAAATTCAGAATCAAAGTCAAAACAAGAATGCGCCAAAAATGCCTGCAAAAATATTGACTAAGTTCTGCAATGAGTAATTTTTATTATTTTTTGATGTAGCCAACTCAGTTATCATTGACAATATCAAAAAAAAATTAGTAACTAAATACGATGAAAAATATGGCTTAGAAATTAGTAAAAATGTAAAAAACATTAATAGAAGATAAAAATCATCTGACATTAAGTTGATAAGCATGTGAAGCATAAAGAAGCGAGAGGGATCGTTTTCATCAGAACTACAGTAATTCTAAATAACAAGTAGAACTGGTCTTGACAACTTGAAGCGGAGAAATGAAGTGTTTTGCTACTTACAGATATTTTTCAGTTTTACGTAAGTGAAATTTTGATATAATATCAGTTGAAGCAGAGTAATATTATGTAGTTGTGATACTTTTATGAGTAAATTCGTATTTCTATAATGTAAGTAAAACATTCGGTTCTAAACAAATTATTATTATTATTGCTCATGTATTGTTATGAGTATAAAATAGGAATATTAGACACAACTTTAGTATATTTTTTTATATTTACAAAATACTTCTATTGTCAATCTTAGTTGGCTCTCAACATTATTGAATCTTTTTTTTGTTTTCGTCATTATAGAACTTTAATTAATGTATTTTCTCATCTTACAATAATGATTAAAGCTTGTATTTAAATACTTTTAATAATGTTCTTAAACTTCATGATAGAGTTATAATAAAATTATTGCTTTTTTTTAATTTAATGATAAATACATAAACTGAAAACAATCTCTCATTAAATTCAATTCGAATTGCAGTTAAACACAGTTGCCAAATTCAAAGTTCCATAACATGATTTAAAGAATCTTTTAAATATTCGTAGTATGTTTTCTTTTCCATTTGACACTCACTCAGTTTAATAGAAAAAGTTTCTATTAATGTATAGAAGAATAAACACTATGATTCCTATATATTAAGGACTTGAAACACTCGAATTTCTATATCTCGTACGTGTATAGTTCCATGGTTCAACCGCTACTGATGACGTATTATTTTATAATCGATTTTACGAGACATACGCACGGTTCTCCATGACAAAAGTTTGTGATCATTTATGCAAATTAACGAAGGGAGAAATTGTTATCAACGTTTTCCCATTCTTTACTTCCAAGAAATTACAGAAAATTGTTGATGATGATAGATAATAGACCAAAAACAATTAAATTATTTATTAGAATAATTAAATTGCAGTATGACTAAAAGTTTTTATTAATTGTCAGTCTATAAGATAAGAGTACACAATATAATGTCCCTTTTATCGCGAAATCTTTATCTACTAAGTTTTACAGGTCTATGGAGACCAATAACATGGAATGGATGGAAAGCACAGCTTTACAACATGTATACTTTGATCGTAACTCTTTCAAACTTATTATTTGTAATTTCTGGACTAATGGCTATAAGCATCAAAAACAATACGCTTCAAGTGATCGTTGATAATGTTTCTATAATTCTTGTTGTATCACTCATATGGGCTAAAATTTCTTGTGCTGTTAATTCTCGTAGACTCATTTTAAATGCTATTCACCGTCTAAACAATCGACCCTATATGCCTCAAGATCAAGAAGAACAAATGATTCATGATCGATACGATCGTTATGCTAAGTGAGTTTTTATTTATTCTACAATAAATAAAATTTATTTCCTTATTGTTCTAAATTAACAACCTGTTAATGAAAAGTAAGGAATAATTTTATCAAACAGCTAGTAATACGAAATAGTTTAACTTTTGAATGCATTTTAAAATCAGACATTCCGATAACTTGTTTCGAATTTTAATCATAAATTGTCTGAATTTAAAAACAATATCATGCATTCAATTGTTCATTGCTTTAATTATTTCAATTTAAAGGAGAAATACGTTTTGTGAAGGTATATTTTCTTATGTTATCCTATGGTGTTTCTAATATCAACATCTTGGTATGGATTGAATCACATATTTATGATGGATCCACCAAATCTATTGTTATTTCAAGGATGGTTTCCTTATAACTACTCGATACCAACTTTATATTGGTCAACAGTAGTGTATCAATTTTATGTTCTTGGAAATGCCGGCTTCATTTACTTGGCATTCGATCCAATCTTGCCATGTTTTATATGTTACATATATGCTCAAGTTAATATTCTAAAACATAGATTTAGAATTCTTATTATAACTCTAAAACAATTATGCTATACAAAAATGATTGAAGCTCATAGAAACACAATTCAACGTAAATTAATTTGTAACTGGGTCCAAAATCACCTAGAACTTTTAAAGTAAATAATTCATTTTATTTTAATTTTCATCTAATTCATATAATAATTATTTATTTCGCAAGTACAATAAATTTTTTTTTTTATAGTTTTGTTCAATACATCAATTTTATATTTTCCCAAGTAATATTTTTGCAATATACCATCAGTTCACTGATGCTTTGTACTGTAGTCAAAGTTTTAACCTCGACTTTGGTTACTTCTGTAGATTTCGTTGGGAACATTTTTGTGGTTCTTGCTGTGATAGAACAAATATTTGTCCAATGCTATGCAATTAATCAAATGATTCTAGAGGTAGAAATTTTAGATAAATGAACCTAAATTACATGATTCTAAAAATTAAATGAGATAACGAATATCTCTATCCATTACCAGTTTGCAGATCTTAGCTATAGTATTTATAATAGTTGTTGGTATGATCTGAATAATGATCTTCAAAAATATATCATAATAATAATGGCCAAAACCTCAAAACCAATTGCCTTCAAAAGTGGATACTTTATATCATTATCTTTAGAGTCATTTACAAAGGTAAATAACAAAAAACTGTAGATTATGACAAACGATTTTTTAAAGCATTATATCTTAAGTAAAAGATTAACTTTTCTATTTTTTACAGATACTCAAATTTTCCTACACTATTTATAATGTTTTGGAATAATTGATAATTTTAATTTCATAATTTATTGGTTACTATAATGAACTTATTATATAATCTATAAAAATTCATAAAATAAATATTATGAATTACTTGTTTATATGTAAAAAATATGTAACATTCAATTGTTTTTTAAAATTATTATTAAAAAGTATAAAAGCTTCAATAGGTAATGTTATTAATTTCAGTAAAGTTAACAATCAATTTTGAATTACTAAATTAATATATAGAGTAATAGAATATAATATAAATTAATATTAGAAAGGTTTTTAAAATATATAAAAAATTGTTTTATTCTTACAAATGTTGGGGAGTCTTATATATCACGATACATTTAAATGACGAAGCTAAATGTATTGAAAAATAAATACTTTTTCATGTTGTTAGTATGCAGAATATTCTAAAAAAATAAAATATTGAAATAAAAGAATATTTTTGTTTACATAAAATTAAGAAAAGGATTTTAAGAAAGTAATACATACTATAACTGTCTGTAATACTAAAACTAGTAGATACAGGAAATATGATAAAAATTATGTTTGGTTAATGCATTTTTTAAGATATAATATCAGAAATTTGTTGAAATAAAAGAACATTGTTGACCTTCAATACTAACTTCATACAGGTAATTTCATGTTTTATTCTTATTAAAATTTTTATGTCTGCCAGAAGGTTAAAACGGGAATAATAATAAAATACCAGTGCTAGGTAAAATTGATATCTTCTTCATCGAGAATATTAATAACAAACTAGTAAGACCCTGCGCATGTAGCCGAATACGATCAATGCGCGCCGACAACCTTGAAAAAGGACGGGTGGGTTCATTAGCTCACGACTAAAAGAAGAGAAGGGAGACAGTATTAAATCAACTTACACGCACAAAAGTAGTCGCCATCTGCAAGTTCCTGATACATTTCATAAGCATATGTGGTCAGTCAACGTGGGGATTGTGTGGATAAGACTTCGGCGCGTAAGTTCGATAACTTTTCCTATTTTTAAAATAGAAAGATTTTATTATGCTTGATTACATTTAAATCATTGATTGTAAGCTCAATTTCCGACAATTTATTGTCAAGATTTGATTTCAAGTTTTTTCATGAATCTTACAGAAGAAGGACAATATTCGTTGGAGTCAATAGAGGAGGGGATAGAAAAATAGAAAAGGAAAACAAGAAAATCACGTACTGAGGGAAAGATGTCGAATTCCAAATCAGAGCGAATAGATCTGGACAAACCTAGATGGGATCAAAGCACTTATATTGGAAGAGCCAAACATTTTTTCAATTTAACTAATCCGTTAAACTGTTTTGCAAGTAGTACAGAGCTTGAAAAGGCTCGAGATATTATTTCCAAGTACAAGTATGTTGATAATTTTTCTACAAGTAATATGTTTAGGACATCATTTTTAAATAGTTCATTTGATTTTGAAAATAGATGAATAAAAAAAATCAAAATGCTTATAACATTTAGGTTAAATTATTTTTGGAATTTAATTATACAAGTTTCGTTAAAGTTTTATGTATTGATCGTCATATTAAATTCATTTCCACTGCTGAAGTAATTTAATCTCTGTAATATCCTAATCAATTGAAAGAGGTCAGAAATATTACGAAATAAGAAATGGTGAACTTGAATTAATAATCGTTTACTCATCACTTAATAGTGCTGGAAATTTTTACTGGATTGTATTATGCAATATTTTTAATTATTTATCTTATCAAATTATCTATACTAACTGTTTATTATTGGAATTTCAGGAAAGGAGAATCACTTGATGCGTTAAAAATTACCGAAGATGAATTATGGAAAAACAAATATTTATATGACAGTGCTTATCATCCGGATACTGGTGAAAAAATGATCGTTATTGGCCGTATGAGTGCTCAAGTTCCAATGAATATGTTTGTCACTGGCTGTATGCTGACATTTTACAAGTATGTACTATCAGACCTGTTAATACTATGGATTAAATATTTCTTGCAGGCTTAAGGTGCATTAAAGTTGTAATCTTTCATGGTTAACTCAAATCATCTTGCGATACAATACTTCTCGGAAATAGTGAAAAAAATAAGCGATAACATGTGAGCTGAATAATAATAGTATTAGCCACATGCTGCATGGCCTTCAGTTTATTTTAACTTAATTATTTAAGTGAAAATGAAACAATATATTATAGACTAACCATCATAATTGATACTACAATACTTGACGACTTATTTTCATATGTAAACGATGACGCAGTAACGAAATTAGTATCACATCCATGAAATGTGTCAACTGATATATTAAATGCCTTCAGCTGACTACATTACTCTTAAATGAAAATGATATTTAGAAGTGAAAAAAATCGGATACATTTTTTCAATTCTATTAAAAAAAATAGTATTAAAAGTAATTAAAATTGATATTTAAAATATTAAAAAAATATATATATATATTTATTAAAGTCAATTACCAATGTAAAAATATAGAAAAATCTTTCCACTGGGAAGTTAAAAAACAGTATTATTCTTTTTCATTTTTTGAAAAATAATTTCGATTTAATTCTCGGTTAGACATTGTCAACACATGCTAATTATAATTTTATGAATTTCAATGCCAAAAATTTATAAATAATCTAGTTATTTTGTGAATACAATTTGAACGTTAGGTCAACACCAGCAGTTATATTTTGGCAATGGTTCAACCAGTCGTTCAATGCAGTGGTGAACTATACAAACAGAAGCGGAACGAGTCCAATCCCCATAGAAACACTAGCTCAAAGCTATGTTGGAGCTGTAGGAGGTGCAGTTTTCACAGCTCTTACGTTGAACCGACTCGTTCGTTTTGCTCCACCGTTGGTTGGACGATTAGTTCCATTCGCTGCAGTTGCTGCAGCAAATTGTGTAAATATTCCTTTGATGAGGATAACAGAGCTCCAAAATGGTATCGAATTACAAAATGAAAAAGGAAACGTTGTTGGCCATAGTAAGAAAGCAGCAAGAGAAGCTATTGCTTCAGTTACAATATCTAGAATTCTGATGGCATCACCTAGCATGGGTTTGTTTCTCCATTTCATATAATCAACTGATATTATTGTTATAATGATATTTAAAAGAATAGTTGAAATAATTTATGTTTAATTTCATGAATGTAAGTTGAATTTGTAATTGTAATGAGTATCTTTTTTTCAGTATTATCACCAATGCTAATGAACTACCTCGATCGACGTCGGCTTTTAGTCAATGCAAAGTGGGCCGCAGGACCAATACAATTGGCTGTATGCGGTGTCTGTTTAACATTTGCAACTCCACTTTGTTGCGCATTATTTGCTCAACGAGTTCCAATTTCCATTGACCGTTTGGAACCCGAAGTACAAAAAGAAGTTTTGAGTGTAGATCCGAATGCTAAAGTTCTTCTATATAATAAGGGCCTTTGAATTATTAACTGAACTAGTCATATACATATACATAATAATATTGAAACAATTCTTTTACTGCCTCACTATGTCCGCCCACATAAAAACTTAGCACACTTGGATTATTCAGGGTGGATATAATGGAATGATAAACAATGGAAGTTAATTAAGATAAGTCTATATTTAGATAATAATTGTCAATGCTAAATCAAAGTTGCTGTTATATAAATCAGAGAATCTCTATAATGAACATTCCTTTAAAATAGGAATAATGATGTTATGAATGTAAGTGAAGGAAGTTTGACAATATTTCAATACACATTCATGTTCGATATTCCAACAGACAAAATGAATGTATAATTAATCTTTAAAACGTGTCAATGTCTTTACAAAAAAAGTTATTCCAACTATATTGTTTTTTTTTTAATTTTTAATGAAGAGCCAATTGGATTTCATAGTTTTATGATTTCATATATTCAATATATTTATAAAAATTATTTTATATTGTTTAATTATAAATAATGCATTTATGTTATCTTTCAAAAAAAGAAAACTTACTAAATGAATATTTAATTTTTTACTTTGTAACGTTTTATATAAAATCGTTTTAAGGGTTAATTAAAGACTACCTTGTAAGACTATTAATCTATGCTAATGTGCGAGTGATAAACTGACAATAAATAATATTAAATTAGTCAGGATTTTTTATTTAACTGATACATAGATTATTTTACTTTTAAAAAAAAAATCTAATAATCATGGAACGGTTGATCGAATATGGGCACAGTAGGTTTCCGTTCAGCATCTGCATTTGTATTGTATTTAGGATGAGTGACAACGTAAAGTTCTAAATTTGGTGATCGACCCCAGTCATATTTAATTGGTGGTGGTATAGCTCTTATTTTTCTACCAAATCGTCCATCTTTTCTATGCCAGAGACCACTTCGTGGGCGGTTACCAAGTTCTCGATTTTTCTGAGCACTTCCAATAGGAGTATTAATATGATCTATATTAGACAACCGTCCAACAGTTGCCATGCAAGTTTCATGTAGACTGAACAGTTTTTTACTGGGCATTTCAACAATAACACGATCAAGACCATCTTTACGAAGAATTGTTCCAAATGTTCCAGCAGCATGAATCAAACATCCACCGAATCTTGGATATTTTTCAACACAGTGCACTATAGTACCAATAGGTAAAGCTCCCAATGGATAAGCGTCTCCCTCATAAGCTCTTACAGCCATTCGAGGAATCGCACACAATGTTTTGATAATCTGACCAGGTTTCATATTTTCCGTGGCTAATATATATTTTAATTCAGTACCACTACCTACTAAAGCCACATGTGCAGTTCTACAGCCATCGATAAAAACCTCAAGAACTTTTTCTTCTTTTGGAGCGGCTTCTGGATCGGTTGGCCCAGTTCTTTTCCATTTAATCCAATGATATTTGTGTTTTATTCCTCCACCAATTCCGATACATACTTTTCGACCTGAATTGTTAACAAAGTGTTTTTTATTATCAGTACTGTCTTGATAAAAGCTTATTCATAACTATAATTATAATTGTAATCTTGTAATGAATGAGATGATTATTTTATTTTTCGATGAATATACATTCATAAACATCTTACATAATAGTTATAATCAGAGTTATACCATAAATATTATTGATAAGTATTATTTGCAAGCAAAAACTATTTACCGGTGATAGGATCTCTTCCAGCAAGATTTGTAACCTGAAGAGGTTTGATTGTGTACTCATCTTCCCAATGAATGAATCTTCGATAAGATTTTCCTTTAATACCTGGTTTTGGTTTTTTTGACGGAGTCCATGATAAAGTTGTTCTAACTTGTTGTAACTGACACAAAATTGGTGATTTTGGTAATAATGTATCAATATTATTTGCAATTATTCGTCGAATTATCATGGACGCTGCCATTTTTCTAAAGTACAAAAACAAGTAGTACCATCTTGTGTTTGAACTTTCAAAATAAATATCGGTAAAGTAAATTACTTACTCATTTTTATCGGTAAATTATCATTCTTTTTTTCAGCCAACCATAAATCGATATCACAGAGCATGCAATCGTGTTCAAAAATAAACAATTAATTTCAAGTATGATTAAAAAAACTTTCAATAATAACATGCTATACACTATCAAAAAATTTCTTAAAATTTGTGTCAAACATTCATCCCTTCCCAAAGGTAAACAATATTAAACCATAACAAACAACTACAGACGCGTTTTTTATGTAAGATTGAATATTTTATTTATTCAGTGTTTATTTAATTATTATAATTATATTTTTATCAATGTATTGTATTTATTTATTTATTTACTTATGTCTGTATTTATATATGCATTTATTAATCAATGTATTATTTATTTATAAATTTATGTAATGTGAAATGCATTGTACAACAGCTTTGAAAATTAAAATATTTACTTCAGAAAATGAAAAATTTCATATTCGCTTAGTCGTAAATATTTTTTACATATGTTATAATAATTTTTTTTACTACCAACATAGCATAAATTAACTGTGATTAATTCTTGTTGGAAAGTGTTTAAGAAAAATTATCACTAGCATGAATAAAAAAAATGGTCAGCGTCATCTGTTTAAAGTCCAAGGATCTAGTAGATAAGACAGAAATATGTCAGACACGAGACATAATCATCCTTACTAGTCTTTTTATATACTCCAGAATTTTAAACTATTTACATACATTATTTCTGCTTTACTTTTTTTCGATTACTTAAATAATAATTTAATATGAATAACGAATTAATAACATTAATTTAATACGTATTTAATTTTTTCGTTAAAAATTGTACGATATTTACATAATACGTACACTTTTTTATTAAAAAAAAACCTTTGAAAATCAAACAAAATTATCGTTCGTATATATGTAAACTCGATAAAAGCCGAAATTGCGATGAACGAGGCAAGCCATTACCACTACCCTAACTACCCTCTGAGTGCCCCGATAGAGCCAACATTAACCCTTTGGGCAATCAACTACATACACAGAAAGAGTCAGTTATTTCCAATCCTCATTAAAGCACTTCTACCATTATAAACTACCTATATCTTAACGAGTCAGAAATTTTAGCGAAGCAGTCAAGTATAAGGAGATAAAGAAAGAGAAAAGACGCGGAGAAGGGCTTAATTGACTTAGGGTAATTATTTTATTAAGTGAGAAGATGGCGGAGAGAATACGAAAAGAGGAAACCGTCAGAATTTTCTTCTGGCGTATACGAATTTGAAAGCTTCGACAGTGATGTAGACGTCGATTTCAAAGAATGGAAGATGCTGAAATGTAAGGGGTGAAGTAAGACATTTAAATACCTGCGTAGCTTAACTAAAACGTACATAGGCAATCACTGTGCTTGAAAGCATCTACAGCTTCCTTGACTATCGATGTAACGCAGACATTTCAGCAAACCATGAAAGAGAGAGAGCAAGTTGAGCGGATGTGTAGATGTTGACTGGTATGGGTGCAAAACGCGCGCGCATCAAGCATTCCCTGTCGCGAAGGAGGAACATCTATTACCCGGTACATAGACCAGCGGTAGAGAAATCGTTGAGGGTGGGTGCGGGCAAGAGTAGTCGAGCGGCAAATTGTCCGCCATCTTACCCACCTTATACCTTACCTCACACCCTCAAGCCAACCAACTCGCTTACTCCCTCTTAACTCTCTTTCTCCCTTTACTCCATTTCTCCCACTTTAACTCCTCGCTTCGTCTTTCACGAGCCAACTATACCCCTGCCGTGACGCCGCCTCGAAAGCTTTAGATTACCTACCCCCTTATAAGCGCTCGTGTTGCCCATTTATTACCACAACTGCGACAACCACGCGAGACCACCGCGTTTACTGCTTTCATTTGGGTTCGAGCAAGGACCATTTTTTCTCACTTTTTCATTCCTTCGATTTATTGTACTAATTTTTTGCAGCTATTAATTTCAATTATTTTTAAACAAATTGTCTCCGAAAATTTTATTTATTGTAAATGGAAATTTTTTTAAAGACTTTTAGATGACTGGAAAATATTTTTTTATTTATTTAAATACATATATTTGGGGAAAAAAGTAATTTAAAAAATTTGTGATGTATGTCAAACATTGCTTATATAGTATTTATTTTTTTGTTTTTTAACTAGAAGAAAAGTTTTGGTAGTATAAAAAAAATTTAATTGCTGAATAATATAAAATATGAGGAAGAAGTTTTGTTGATCAAGTTGATTGTAATGCAAAAAAAATTAATGCTTAATTAATTAAATTATTTCAGTATAAAAAATGGTAATGTTGGTCTTTTCTTTTTCTTTTAAACAATCTTTCTCACTCTTCAATCTCTTTTCTCCATAAACCATAATTTGCATCACCGTGTACTAAGAATAAAAGGTAAAAGCGGTCCCTCTCGACTTGCTGGAGGCAATTCTCGAGCACTCTTTCATCTCTATTTCTTTTTTCTTTATTTCTTTCTATCATACTCTCCTTGAGCGTGGATAAAAAACAACGAGGGAAAACTAAAATAATAAAATAAAATAAAAAATATCTATATGTATAAAATAAAAGTAAGATCAAGATAAAAGCAGTGTGCGTGGTCGGTGGAACATTTCCTCCAGGGATAAACTTGAAGGATCATTTCTAAAAAAAAGTTCACAACTCACACTCGTCATCATAAACTTTTTTCGCGGTATAATAATAAGTACAAAAGATGTGCGAGGGATGCTGGAGACAATCTCTAAGAATGTATAGACCCTGCTAAAGACAAGGTGAAAATGTTGAAGGAAGTTGATGTGTTTCATCCTCGTTGGTCGTTTCCTCCCAATTCGATGTTGGGTTATGACGTGAAGGGGCTGTAGAGTCAGAGGAAACTGGTATGGTGATGCGAAGGAGGGTACAAATAATAACAATAATCATATTTCCCGGCAACATGGCCGCTATGTAAAGGGTGTTAAGGGTAGTGGGGAATGCTTGCATGTGGGAGGATGATTGTGAATGCGATCCTGGAAGGTGGGAGGCCACAGAGGGAAGAAGCAGGAGAGTTATCATAATATTACAAACCACCAGGGCCGTATCTATATCACACGATACACGTACTAAGTCCCCATGCAATTCACGCGAATCACCGCATCCAGCAATTGTCGCGTCGCCTAGCTCGTTTGCGTATACGACCTCTCGCTCCAATATGCTCTTGTAACCATAGTTATTTTCCTCCCTGTATCATGTCCCCCTTCATATTTCCCTCGATGCTCTTACCATGGACTCAACTAGAACTCTACCTGACTTTTGCACCACGCCCTCTCGTTTCCTGTTACGTCTCTGTACCACTCTCCTCTTTGTTCTATATTTTTTTATAGCTACCACTTGACTCTCGGCGGATAACGAGAGCCACGTTCCTCAAACTCATTCCAGGGACGAGCGAGTTATAGGAAAATAAAAGAGATGGTAAAAAAGACAAGGGAAATATAATAGTAATTAGCAATAAATTTCTACTGAATTGACATCAGAAATTATTGTTGTGGGTTATTACAGAAACTGGAGATAAAAATTATATTTTTCATGAATAAATAGATGAAGAGAAAATATTTTTTAATTTATATTTTACATAGAGTATTTTGTGAAAAATCTTTTTTTTTACATTTAAACATTGTATTGTGAAGTTAAAATAATTAAATTGATTGAACTTGAAATTTAAATATAGAATGTTTTGAATGTTTTATCGTTTGAGATAAAATATTGTGAAGAGTAGATCAATAATAAATGCTTTTAGTTTATAAGTATATCAAATTAAAACGGTAAAAAATCATTTTTTTAATAAAAAGTATCTAAAAAGTTTTAAAATTATTTTACTACTTCAAGTATAAAAAGAGTCTGTACTTTTCATTCATCAAAATACTTCAGACGCAGAGAGTAAGGTAAATATACGACAAACAAAAAAGAAAAAAAAGAGGAAACTCTGAAGAATGCAAGTTTCGAAATCACAGTAGTTAATTTTTTCCAGATGTTTCTTAAGATTTTTATTTAATTATCATACAAACGACTTTAATTTTTTTATTTTCTTTTTTTCCATGAAATCTTAAAAATTCTATATGTCTCATCAATCGTCATTCTATAAAATAGACTTGTCATTTTGAATAATTATTTTCATTGAATTAATTCAAAAATATCTTCATCAATGACATGTCTACAACTGTTTTAATAAAATGAAAACTATTTCAACATAAATTAATTAAAATTTTTATTTAAAATGAAACGAAGATTTTTTTGTATATTAAAAACTTTGTTTTTGTTATTATTATTATAAAACTAGTAAAGTGAAGCATTACTACTCTTGGACATCATTACAAAAATAAAGAGCGATTTTATTTCTTACAGTATTACCTCAAATAAATAAACAAATCGACAGTCTTGAGCTTGTAAAACAGATTTGTCGAAAATCCCCAGTGTTTTGTTTCCAAGTATACCACTAAAAATAAAACAATCGAGTGGAATAAAATAAAAGCCTACGTACTTTCTTTTACTTCACGAATTCGTCTGTTTAGGTATTCTTGCAGTCGGGGTAAAGGTTTCGAGGATTTAGGAATTTCGGGGATCAGAGAGGAGGAAAACAAAGTGAGAGTAGAGTAACTCTGCTTTTGATCCGACCCGACGGGAACCGCGACGCCTCCAGCAGGTGAGTGTACGACGAATTCGTAAAAGCTGCCGGCCGAATCCTCACATTTTGGTTTGAGAATAGGCAATGGTGGTGACAAGAAGAAAGGAAAGGAGGATGAAGCAAAAGAAGAAGGAGAAGAAAGAGAAGTCGAGTAAGTGAGATAAAGGACAACGAGTGCCTCGAGTGACACCGCGAGCACACAGTTGGACGATGGAGGAAGCCGAGGGTACACGGGAACGTTAGAAGACCGAGGATCGAGCCTGTAGTGGGGT